AGGATCGTCCGTGTCCAGAGATGACTCCTCCCAGAGCACGGGAGAGTAAGAGGGAGAGGGAATGTCAAGCTGGTCGTTGCCGGCAGGTGGGGAGAAGGCAGTAGCGTGGAAGGAAAGTGTGAGCGCATCATTCTCAATGGAAGTGCTGAACCGGAAATTGCCGGGATTCTCAAAAAGGAAATCGGCCAGTTCGGCGCGAGTATTGTCGAACACGTGTTCCGGCATCTTCCGAAAACGCAATAGATTACCAAAAATGGATGTGTGTGTGATTTCTGGATGCCTCGCGCTGTATTTCTCAGACACGAGGCTAGTGGGCGCTGGGCGTAGCGCTGGTTCTGGCGCTTCTTTTATGCTTTTTGAGAAATCTTTTATTTCAATTTTGGCTGACTGATCCCGGCCTTTGCTGATAAATTTCTTACCAATAAAATTCTCGGCACGGAGATCATTTTGCAAAAGTTTAGTCACGTGATTTTTGAGTTTAGAGTTTCGCGCGCTAAATTCCGAATTTGGCAATTCTTCATTAATTTCGCAAAACATGGTTGTTTCGCCCATATTACTGACCCAAGTGGACGGTTCAAAGTCCCAATTAGGATCATTTCCGTCAGGAGTGCATAGAAGTTCATAACGGACTTCTAAATCGAGTGGATTTTTGAATAATAACCACGTCCCGTCCTTTCTTTCGTCAATGGAGACGTAGTTTCCTCTTTGCCATGGACGACCTAATAATAGACTGAATGGTACGTGATCGCCAACAAACAAATTTGCGTGAGTACTAACTCCTCCACAATCTAGTGGAACATTTTGTACCAATCCACGAAGTTTGCCTTCACCACCGTTTGCGTCATTCATAGATACTGACTTGGCAATATCAATAGGCCTATTAATAATAGTCTTCCAGACGTGTTTATTTACGATATTGAGTTGTGAACCTGTGTCAATTATTGCGTTAATCGCTTGACCGTCACAATGCATAGCTATTTTGATTAATAGCCCGCGTGTCTTTGTCCATACCGAATGTGCTTCTATCTTTGAGTCATTAGGTAAGGACTTCGGTTTAATAGCATTAGCGAGGATTCCGCTAAGCTCACGAGAGGTGCCAAGAAGCTCTCCTACCTCAAGTCGGATAGGAGTCCTCAACACTGTTTCAAGAATTTTCTCTGGCTTAATCTTAGCCGCTATGTCGGAGACACGTTGACGTGTTGTCATATTCTTACGATCCGAGTTTGGGGTTGATTTGTAAGGTGTTTCATTGGTCTTTGGGTGTTTCTCATTGATCTTCCTTTCATCCACATCATCCATGACAATGTCTTCACTATCCCACCCATTATCTAGACCTTTTCCCGTCTCTTTCTTATTTGCGGGCTTTGTCTTTGTGGTTGGAACGGGTTGTGTGGATTTAGGTTTGGTATGAGTATCAGCCTTTTTGGCTTGAGTGGTGGGAACATTATCTTTTCCTTTATCTTTTTCACTTGGTTTCCTTAAATTTTTGCTTTGACCTGGAGGGAATACCTCCTCAAATCTTTCACGTCTTCCTTGTGTGGAGTTTCGTGTGACCCTTTCAACCGGGAATGCATATGTTTCTTCATCTGTATCACTTTCTTCTTCATCAGTCTCTTCGTGCCGGTTGATTGAATCGTCCGTGTCACTATCTTTGCTATCCGAACTCACATACTCTTCAATGTATGCAGTCCTAGACTCTTGAAATTTATTTTGCTTATTTGCACTATAGGTTTGTGCGTCTCCGCTATTCACTTTAATAAAGTGAGCTACTGGCACACTGTCCTCTCGCTTTAGTGCTTCGATAATCGTTTCTTCAGGTAACCGTCTTACGGCTCTTCCATCTGGTTTTCCGATTTGCCCACGGTGTGTACGTTGGAGTTTACCGTCAGCAATTAGTTTATTGATTTGTGGACACATTGGAATGCCATGCCCCTTTTCGCCACAACCAAAGCATGTTCGTTCATTGAAAGGGGTGTTTGGTGGGTGATAGAACCTAGTACCTGGTTGTGGTCCTCTGAATGTCTGATTTGCATTATTGTTTTGCCTTACATTACTTTGTCCATTTTGATTGTTGTAAGGCTTATATTCTCCTTGGGTAGCATTACCTCTTTTCAAAATAGGGGCTGCTATCATATCTTTGATGGTAGGATCAATTCGTGTTGCCCTGTAGTAATACAGAGCATAGTCTGGGTCATCGAGTGAGATTGCATTAAGTCTCTTGATGAGTCCCTCCATTTCATCCATAGGTTCTGGTGAAGTGATACCAGGACTCTTAGTATCCTTTGAGGAAGTCTTAGTCTTGGCTTCCTTGACATGCCCTTTTGCTTTCTTTTGAGCTTTCTTTACTACTTTCTTATCTTTTGGCTCTGGGGCCTTCTTCTTCTTACGAAAAAACTCGGTTTCAGACTCACTAGACTCTGAGTCTGTATTGGCATCAGAGTTTTCTTCAGTTGAGGAGTCAGTTTCAGACTCGGTCTCTACTTCAGAAACTAATAGGTCTGCATCAAACCGGTCACGGTGTAGCAATTTCTCTGCTATTGCAATAACTCGGTCTACTGGGAAGGCTTCGGATAGATCTCTGTCTGGATCCTTTGCCATGAGGCGTGTTTCGATTTTAATACGGAGTTTCTTATAAATTCCCTCCCAGAAGTAACTTGCATATTCTTCACTTGTTAATTTCTTGGCTTGTTCAAGCCATCCTGCAATACGAATAAACCCTCTCACATACTTCTTCCAAGCAGTGAGTGTAGGGATTTACTTTCCTCGTGTTGTCCTTACATAGGACAATAAATCTTTGCGTCTATATCGCTTCGTGTCAAGGTCTGCATCATAATACTTCAGAATGTCAGCCTTGAGTTTGCTCCAGTTATTTGATCTGAAACTGGGTAGTCCCTCTACAAATTCTGTTACGTGACGGGACATGTACTGGGTAATAGATTCACATTTCTCCTCATCAGAGGTTACATTGTGATAATCACACAGTTTTTCATAGTGTTTCAGAAAGTCCTTGACTTCTGAAAATCCACCCTTGAATTTGGCAGGTGCTGCCTTAGTTCCAGGGTTAGGTAATGTTAATACGGATCGTGTAGTCATGTTTGACTTTTGTTTGTGTTGCTTTGATATGATTGTTGATGTTGTGGTGTGTGGGTGGAGTGATTTATACAAAGTATGGCTTTGTTTACGATTGTTGCGTTATGTTTGGTACAAGAAGAAGCCTCCCTCGCGGTGGGCTCCAGTGATGTCTTGTTACTTAAGGGTCTTATATAAAAGTTGTGTATAATGACAACACAATTATACACAGGGAAGACTTCTTGCCAGTCCTTAAGTCCACGGTCTCCGACTTTTCTACTTCGTGGGAGGTAACGTGGTGAGTTCTTGGGAGGATTTAGTTTGTTGTCCTCTTCTTGTGTAGTCTGATACGAAGTGTTGTGGAATGTTCTGTGTTCTGGATAAATTCGTTAGGTTTGTTTCAGCCTAGTAGGTCGTGTTTCAACCTATGAAAGTCTGTTTCAACTTTGTCGTCCTTAGATATGTGTCTCACTTTCCGTTGAAAGAGAGAGTCTTATGTATACACGTAAAGCTTAGAATGAGAGCTGTTCGATGGTTATATAGTCAACCCCTGTAAGGTAGTATATAACCTAGAGTAGAATAACGATAATGAAAGTTATATAGTCAACCCCTGTAAGGTAGTATATAACTTTAGAATAGAATAATGATGTGTCTTAGTCTTACTTCAAGGCACGTTGCCTGCACTTTTATTCTTACGTACTCTCACACGGTTTGAGAGAAGAATGAAAAATGGGAAGTTATATTTTATGGGTGAAAATGGGGTCCTTTTATACCTTTTGGGAACCCCCTTACTAAGCATGATTTATCAGATGGATTGGTAAGAATGTGGCTTACAAACCAGATGATGAATCAGCTTATTACTAAGTACATTACAAATACAGTGTAATCTTACAAAGAATTTACAAAGCATGACAAATCATGACAAAACATGATGAGTCATGTGAATGTTGTTACAAAGCATGACCAATCATGACTAAACATGTTGAGTCAGCTTAAATAATGTTACAAACCAGAATATTCCCCAGTCACATGATGTGCTGACAAATAAAATCTGGTGGCTGAAAGAAGCCAAATAAAAATAAACAGTCAGAAATAAATAGAGATACAAAAACTTTGACAAACAAATCTGTGGCTGAAAGTAGCCAAATAAAAATAAATAATGAGAAATAAACAGAAGGTCACATGCTCATAAAAATACAAGGTAAAATAAATCTGAAAAGTGAGAAATAAAATACAAGACAATGAAATAAAGGAAAAATAGAAAGGTAACTCAGTGACAGAGGGCTAGACAGTCTCTCATATCTTCCTTATCACTCTCTATATATATCTGACATGGTATGAATCACATACCATGCATGACAGCGTGGCATTTTGAACGATCTACAAAGTGGGTATTTGCCGAAAACTGTAGAGCAGATGAGAATAAAGTTAAGATTCAGTCTATAGTAGGGAGTGACTTTGAGAGGGTAGAAGTAATACTGAGTGGTCCTAGAGGTCTATTGGGATGGTTAATGGAGGCTTGTAAAGAGGTGCTGGAGGCCCGCGAGGGAATGAAAGAGCACGAGCTATAATTAGATGGCGGAAGGGTGGGTCTCAGAGACCAGTTTCCCATAACATAGAAACCGGGTCTCTTAGACCCTTTATAAGCACCGAAAAGTGCTGCCTGAGGTGGGTATGCTGAGCTGCACAATATGACTGTATGTCGCTTACCTGTGCGTTTCCGAATGCACATCAGTTGAGAGAAAGGTATGAAAGCAGCGAGATTCCTCCATTTTACGAGTAAGAAGAATCTATCGAAAAGAATGGGATCAGTAATATCTCTACCGTGCGTTGTAAGGGCTTTGTCTTTTGTCGTCGGAAGCTAACAATCTTTCGATAGTACAGGTCATAGTAATGTCGGGTATATAACCACCTTATTACTGAACTTAGTGCTTTTGTTACCGAAGACGAACAACCCCAAGTTGGACAATTATGTCCTCGTGCTGTAAGTTTCTTGTCAACCAAGTCTTTGAAGTGTTTGTATTGATTGATGTGTGGTCTCACCACGTACTGGATAGAACCTGGTATCTGGTGGTGCGAGTGTATTGTAGCTTGTCTCTAGTAGGCTGGTGAGAACCTCGAGTCATCTTCCAGGGACCCAGGTCAAGCCCTAGTTTACCTGAAGGCGAACACAACATGACGATTGGATGGAAGAAGGTGAGCATTTGGCAAAATCTTCCTTAGAAATCGACTCACGCGAACATCAGGTGAGGACTGCGCTGAAGACATACAAGCATCTTCCCTACAGCTTTGTGTATCTGTTCTCCTTCCTTCTCACAGATGTACTGTTTGGCTGTCTGCCTCTCGAGCCATACCTGGCATCTTCTTGGACAGGGGCTGAATATCGTCTGAACTCTCGTTACCATTTGCCAGAACAGCAAGTTCAGTTTCTCGCTCCTGCAAAATATCCCCTTGGGCTTGTCACAGGCGACTACCTCGGCTATGAGTGCCGCTGAGTCACTTATTCTGCAGTCCCTGGACCATACACAACTTATCTTGCTAACTGTGGTACTGGCGCAAATTAGTTGTGAGTAACCCGATACTGAACCTGCCAGTACTTTAGCCTTGCGGAAAGCATCCAGCAAGCTGTTTGCAATGAAAATATCAAGATTGAAAACTGTCTTGATTCAATATCGAAAAGTAGATTCGTTCATTCCTCTTTCACCTTCGGCATCCCTTCTCACATCTACAACGGTCCCTACTGCAGGTGCATCCGGGATCCCTCACTAGCACTAGTGCTGCCTCTGCGTTGTCTAGCTCTGGAAAATATACTTGACAGAAAGCTGTTTCCGAACAATCTTTTCGCACTCAGCTTGTCTAACGTCTTCTACGAATACTGAATCAAGCTCCTGTACTCTTAATGTGTGCACACTCACGTACTCACACCATTCCCTAGTAGCCACTCAGAGATACCGCAATCTCAGTTCAGTTCGATGAAATCACAGGTCTACAACGACCACTCTACCCATGACACACATTTCGAGCCCTGAGCTGGCCCAGTTCCCAAACACCGTGCCATATTTTGTGAATGGCAACTTGTGTGAAGCAGAGCCTTGCGACTGAGAAGAAGATGCTGGTACGTGTCCTACAAGCAAGTATTCAGGCGTTCGAATCAGCCAAAGCCTCACTAATAGCTGTATGCCCTCTCAGATCTCCTCTCTCACAACAGGACGCTCACAAATCCCGCGTGTAGTCGAAGAAGGCATTGAATGCTTCGCAGTGTCCTCCCAGACACGACAATCATAGCTGCTTTGGACATCATTTATCGTGAGGATGGTGAGTAATATGCTGAAAATTTTGCGGCTGAATGATGGGCCTTCAATCATAAAGTACAAGACTTCTTGGGACCAGCATCACTGCGAAGTTCCAGGCATTACTTCAACATACACCGTCTTTCCCCACCTCGATGTTGCATCTATAGCCGTGTCTGGTTACTGCACCTGCCGATCATTCGCATGTGCGGTGCTAGTATCCGAGAGTCGTCTTGTGTGAATTTACATCCCAATGGTCATAGGTGAATGACGCCGCTGGTAGTGCAAACTTGTCTTGGCGGTATTCCCTGCAGATAGGTTGTCTCGTTGTCTTGATGACTTACTGTTGAAATTTGCGGGACATGTCTCTCCCTAGAGATTCTGCCTGGAATCCTCGACCGCAAGCATATCTTCATTTCTATCAAAGGCCTTGTAGAAATAAGGAGCACCTGATTGAACAACGTGTCAGCGTTCCTTAGTTCTTTGCTTCTTGATGGCACGGCCATCACCGTGAAGACTGAGGTCCTCGGACCTCGTCATGACACGTAGCACAAGAACACGACATTTCGGTTATATCCGAACATGGAAGAAATGCCTTCGAGTTCGATCTTGGTTACTCCATAAGTATTCGCAGCATGGAGTTGAACCATCCACGACACCGCAGTATCGTGGTCTCTGTAACAGGCAGGTGTAGATGGATGATTGATCATCCGATCAAGCAATTCTCGATTATAGGAGGCTGTACAACTGATACATTACAAGGAAGTGCAGTTGCTTTGAGTCGATCGAGAAGGGTGAAGAAGGTTATCACATAGAACATCTTTTACTGTGATCCCCTATTCTGCCGGTCTATGCTTTCGTAGCGTGGTGGCTGGTGAGCGAGAACGAACTGAATTGAACAATGACTTAGATACGACGATTTGACAGGGTCTAAATGATGAGGAAAAGGTTGTTTGGGCGTGGGCTTCTCATTCCGGCGCATGTGCACCGTAGGAGAAGGAATTGAGTAGTTTAGCCCGTACCCTGAGAGAGGAAGCAGCGGGCGGGTGCAAGAGAATAATGGAGTGTAAAATGGAGTAAACGATAGGCAGATCTCAGGCTACTGCTGAACAACTGAGACTCAACTATCATGCCATCGTCGTGGGTCCGAGCAAGGTAGGCTGGTAGCACACACCTAGGTGTGCCTCGCTCATGCGTAGACTCGATTCTATGTTAACCTCTTCCCAACAATCTTGACTCACTTCGGCTGTTACGAAAATTGATGACTATTTCATTAATCATCATTGGATGGACAGTCTTAAGGCCGTTACAATCAGCACCTCTATTACCGGCCTGACCAAACCTGAAGAATATCCATCCAATGATGATCGACGAAATAGTCACCAATTGTCGTGACAGCCAAAGTGAGTCAAGATTGTCGGGAAGTGCCCATATCTGACATGTTTCGATAGCGAAATCTAATGATGATTCTCCCGACTCAGACACCATCCCAGCACCATCATTCATCCCCAACAATCTTGCTGTTTTAGTAAGTATCATACGGCTGAGTGCATTTTCCCCTCAGACCGGTAGAACTGGTCCTGGTCAGTGCAGTACCGCAGATCTAGTAGAAGCATATCGCTCTTCCAGAAAAAAAATTTCATGTGCGTACATTGCAAGATATGAACCATAAGGCCTAAGGATTACAGGATGAAATGTGTCGTGAAACACGAGGGCGTCAACCTTCACACTGACGGACAGAGATGTCCGAATTTGAGGCCATGAACGTGTGTCACTAGTTGTATGTTCGATAAGGGACTTCAAATGAATATGTTCTTCGTGCGTTACTCGGACCACGAAGAATAATATTCAGCACATAGTATAAAAAGCCGTCTGCTTACTACCGTCTCATTCAGATCGATTTGACCCCACATCACATCCTCACAAACAATGCATCTCCCCTCTGTCGTCGCCGTTGCTTCCGCTTTGATAGCATTAGTATCTGCCACTCCCACTAACATTGATAGCACCGGAGGGTGTCCTATATTGTGCGCGACACAAAATTGCTGCGCTGGGCACAATTGTAAGATGCTGGGCCTCGTATATGTGAGTATAAGTATTTTGCGTCTTGGATTAAACCACACGACTCACCGGCGTGGTAGCCCGTCTGGACGTGTGTTTAAGACGAATGAGTGCATGGCATGTCAACGTTTCAACTACGGTGAGTCGTATTTCTACTTCAATCAGCATCAATGCACATGATGGCTGATGGCACGACATAAAAATTACTAGTTGATTTCACCAATGTCTTGGCTCCGAACAAATTTGACTGCCGCTCGAGCAATGGAGATCTTGGAATAGGGGAAATCTCAAATACTTGAATAAATAGAATGACTAAAGTACTTACGAGTTTTGCAGTCTCGTTGTACGCTTGAACATATAAGCCTCGATGGTACCATGACTCTTCCCCTCATAGGCGCTGTTGACTAGTTATGATGCATTTTAGTCTGCACTGGCCCACTGGAAGATGTCACAACCCTACTAGATGGTGGTCTATATCCGAAGTTGTCATTGTCAAACTGCGAAAGCTCGAGATCCCGAAATCTGAAATGGCACTAGGCCGCTGTGAGTGATCCATGTACTTCCAACCATGGACGTCTGGACAACGAAAATATCGTAGATCTGCAAATGGAAGACTACATAGTCATCAAAGCCATTGATTTATAAGAAAAAGTATCCGGCACAAAGTGCCGGCTGTCAAGAAGGAAGAACCAGCCTTGTTATCACAGGACAGACCTCATGTCATTTGTGGAAGCCAGAAATGAAAATAAAGAGCTGCATCACAAAACGTCGAGAGAAGTCGTTCAGGAAATCCGTCGACAATGTCGATGCATTAATCAACATCATGAAGAACACAGGCGGTGATCCTGATGTCAAGTGCTCTTAGCCTCGTAGAAGCAGAAACAACAGGAATAATTACGAAGAGAATGTTTGCACAATATAGGTATTTGAAGAGATCCTAAAATCCTTGAAATGAGAAAGACATGAAAGCGTGCACACTGCAGGACGTGGTGCGGAAGACGGAATATGACAGTTACGCGATCTCCAAAATATTCAAGATCGAGAAAGGACAAAAAAGGTAGAGGTGATTGTCACTCACTGGACCGCTGCAGGCGCACCCATACTCCAATTCCACACGACATCCGTCATGAGCTATATCACCACGCAATCCCTCGTGAGCTTGTACCCACTGGCACCAAGTTGGACGATTGCGAGCAAATGCTTCATCGGCCCACGCCTATATCTCAAAGGAAAGACCAATCCACACACAGTGGATGTGCTGATGAAACATGTCGGGCGAGGATTCGAAATCAGTGTGGATCCGTTCAAGTTGGGAGATCATGGTTAGTACGGTAACAAGGATGCAAAGAGTAGATACTGCCCTCACAAACTCAGAAGCACAATGGATAATAAAGTACGGCAATGGAACTACGACGCGACAAAAACCTTGGAAGATATGATAATAGGATGGCAGAACATGCCAATTATGGTGTGGTGGCTCAGAGGGAATGAGTGCGGGGAGGGAAACGAAGAAACCATCTCGTTGATGTTTGTATCCGCTTGAAGAAGTAAACGATTCAAGTATAAAGTTAAGTAACACAGCTGACGTGGTAATTGCATGCACATTCTGCACAAAAGCTTGAATTTGTGAATCAAGAACGGGGAATGGTTTGAGATTGATAAAGGCCGGACAAGAACGGAAATGGGTTGAGGGTGAATGCGTCTTTACGAAAGGCATCAAAATACCGTAATGATAATGAATTGCAGGGTCCTGAATTATTACCGCTAGACTGCGCTAGTCGCTGCAACCCAGATGATGTGCGCATGTAGATCTAGATCTTAGGCATTGCTGGTCAATATTTCAATGCCCACCAGAGTGGGTGCCATCCGAGCTTCTATAGCCCGGCGGAGAATCCGTTGAGACCGTATTGTCATGTCATTTTTGACGAATCGCGCGTCAAAACGACCGACGGTTCTCCTACATCAGAGCATTCAGAAATGCAGTTATTTGAGGACGAACAAAGGGTTGCAAGAATGATAGGGAAGCGACGGGACTTGGAGCATAATTGGTACACGAGCTGCTACCTAAGTGCCAAAACTACATCTAACATGCGTGTGATACGTATGCCGCAGCTGTATGACATCATCTTTAAAGTAGTCCAAAAACTTTGAGACAAAAACGTACGACTACAATATCTCTATGGTCCTGATGTCCATCGAGTCTCCAACAGAAACCACGTCCTGGACTTGTCCAATGATATCATGATCCGTCGCAATCCTCTTGTATTCTCCACTGCGCTGCTGCGCTAGCAAAAATGCGCTGAAAGGCTGCCCAAGGCGAACAAGTAACCGCAATGCTCGTGATTCTAGCTCAGACATCCCCTGTTTTATAGGAGAACCACCAGACCAGTCGTCTGACGGAGAAGAAGGCGGCGTCCCATAATCCTCCTCGCTCTCCGTATCATCTCCACGGTCAGACGGTTCTGGAAATTCTGCAAAGTCAGGTAGCTCCAGAAGAGACCGATCCCAGGGGCGGAGGAAGAGAAATTGTTGCTCAGTGGGCCTTGCCGGCCAGAATGTAACCAGGGTTTCTGCGGTGGTGATAAGCAGGTCGTGAAGTCCGTCTGCCTTCACCCTATACATGAGATGACTTTCCGGGGTTGGACTACCCACCCGGCGTCTGATTTCTGTGACATTGAATGCAATACAAGGCAGATGCAGTCTTTGTGCTGCGAAGCGAGGGATGCTCGTGTTCCGAAGCCGAGTATAAAGGTTTGAAGCGAAATCAGCAGCCGCCGTCTTTCGCAGCGAAGAAATCGATGACTGAATTTCATCTTCGGTTAGGGATGGTAGCTGGAATGGTGGAGCTTCGTATGAAGTGATGGAGGCTGGTAGACAGCTGTTGAACTCTGATGACGTTCCGACCCAATCAAGACTACTGATGTCGCCCGACCGAGCCACGATCTCCTGCAGGAGCCGCCCAAGAGCCTTGTCCTGCTTCTCCCCATAGTCTACAGGCAGACGGACGCCAAAGATGCCAAATAACGAGTATGCGATATCTTCTTGGCGCGTGGTGACGCGGGTTGACGCCCAATGGAGTTTTGCTCGGGCGCTATTCATACTAGGACGAAAGGCTGCAACGGCTGGTCGGTCTATTCCCGTTGCGTCCTTTATCTCATGCATGATTTCGACGGAATCCTTGTGGTTGGGAGTACGATCATTACGATAAAGAGTCCAATTGCTCTGATAGAAGAGAATGACTTTGGGAGCGGTGAATTCCTGAACCGTCCATCCGCGCGTGTTCCAAGCGCTCTTCGCCAGTGCGCCAGACTTTGACGATGGCGGAACATCAGACAGGTAGACGATCGTGAGCGCGGAATGATGATACCATACGAACATGGAGTTGACCGATTCTTGGACTTCGACGTTGTTGCTCTTGTCGATGCAGCATGTATCACTCCATGCCTAGTTATACCCCATATCACGAGCAGTTTTGCAGAAAGACCGTAGCTTCGTCATGCCGCCAATCGGATCCAACACCGAGTCGTACACGCACTTTCCCTGGATATCCTGCAGCAGCGGCTCCCTCCCTTCCCACCTGTGTGATAGTATGGCATATTGCAGGTATCTCTTCACCACTTCTTCGATACGCTCTATGTGCAAGTCTGCGTGCGTGATTGTTGACGACACAAGCTCCTTATACTGTGTGCTGATTTTGAAGGCGTCTATCTGCGTCTCTCGATCGCATAAGAGACCGGTGTTGGTGTCGAGGACACGCAACGGAGCGTTGTCGAGTCGGGCATCGATGACCCGTCGAATGGCGCGTTCTACTTCAGAAGGTCTGAGATACTCCTGGCGCAGGTCTGGAGAAAGAGTTAAACACGTTGACGAATGCGTTGTCAGAGACTTACTTCGTGTCTGAACATCGGGTGCATTGTCCAATATCGAGAGCATCGTTTGGAAAGTTTCAATCGCTTCATCATAGCGCTCCGCACCATGAAGCGCTGCGTGCTTCAAGTGGTATCCAAGATAAGACAAAGAGTCGAGTTCGATGACCTATGGATCGCTACAATGAGCACTGGCTATGGGACAATAGCTCCCATTACACCTTCTGCGCATCGAGAAGTGCGTCCATCCATAGCATTTTGCCCAACTTTGCCTTGCTACGATTTGCAAAATCAACATCAGATGCAGAGTTTGAGTTGATGACCGCCGAGTATAGGTGGATAGCCTTGTCATAATCATTCTCAGCGAGGGCGCAATCTGCTTTGACAGTACATAGCACGCTATATTGTTGCTTGAATTCTGAGTCAAATGCAGGTGAGTATGATGGCCTAGGGTGACATCACTAAAACTCGCCATTGGACCAATCGAGGCAGCTGGCCTTCGCAGTCTCGTCGATGGCGTCCATCATGTATTTGTGTGCTTCGAGGGCTTGATCGGGTTTACCTGCCGAAAGGAATGCCTGACACCGTTTCTGGTGTGTAGTGAGCAACAAGGACTCGAGATCCCAGCCGAAGAGCTGCAAAAAGGACTATGTTATGAAAAGCATGATGTATGCATGATGTCGACGCACCACCGTCAAGTCTTGGTATGCGAAATGAATGTATTTCGATGAGAAAGCGTCTGAGTCAACAGCAGCAGTGAAGTGATCAGCGGCTTCGTCGTGATGCGCGCTATCGAAAGCCTTGATTCCAAGTTGAACGCGTAAATATGTCTAATGTACATGAAGGTCAGTATTGAGGACCAAGCGTAGCCCATGACACTCACTTCCACGACATGACGCGCGAGAGGGTCAACATTCGGACAGGCGGCAGCCAGGTCTTTGATGAGCAGCATTGCTTCCTCATGTTGATCCGCGTTGAAGAGTGCGATGGCCTGGAATACCAGATGAAGCGGATAGCATGGGAGACGAATTGAATGTACCTTGATTAGGAGAAGCGATTGGTTGGTTTCTGAATCTTGATTCGTGAACATGGATGCGACGTCGAATGCTATCCTTGCTTCCCGGACGTGACCTTTTCCGCAGAGGGCAATGCCTTTCGAGATAAAGCCCATCAATGATGGCCTAATATTGATTGACTATGTCACGGATGATGTTAGCCTTCCGTAAGGTGACAATGATGGGTGGGTCCATCTCACCTTGATTGCATCCTCAAGGGCGTGGTCCAAGTTGTGCTTCCGGGCCATAACGAAGGAACGATTGGCATATGAAGTAAAGCCGTTGGCGTTGGCGTGGATGTCTCGGGTGAGGAGTTCTTCAGCAATAGACAAGTGCCCAGCTAGACAGGCATCGCGGCCTGTTGTGATATCAAGGATCTGTACAAAGGATGCTCGAATTGCGTGATGAGAGTCGAAAATGGAAACCCGCCTTTGAATTGACGTCGCTGGGTACTACCCATTCTGAGATCTTGTTATCATAACCTACGCTGAGGATGTGCTTGCCATCCACAGAGAACGTGACACGTGTCGCGTATGATGAATGCTGAAAGATGGCGATGGTTCGTTGATCTGAGAGCCGCCAGAGACGGACATGCTTGTCACTAGATGCAGAAGCGACGAGGGTGCCAGTGGGATGAATGGCAATGGCGTTGATATCGTGAGTGTGGCCATTCCAGGGATGACCGACCTGCCTCCAGGTTGATGTGTCCCACTCCGATATGTATTTACTGTGTGCTGCAAGAAGGCGTGTGCCATCGGGCGTCCACGCGAGTGAGCCGTTCCAACCGAAAATACACTTGAGACCTGCCAAAGATGCGACGTGTTCCCTTGTGCCTGGATTATAAATTTGGATATTTCCGTATGTTGCGATGGCAAGAAGTTCACCAGAAGGCGAATATCGAACGCAGAAGTCAGAACCACACACGATTGGATCTCCTTGCATCTGCCACGTTTTGGTACACCAAAACTTCACCGTGCCCTCAGTTGAACCAGTGGCCAGCACCGTACCATCCGGAGAAAAATTCACCGAGCTGATGTTTCTGGAATGGGCTTTGATGGGTTGGGTGATGGATTCGCCAGTTTCACCGTGCCAGGCGATGACTTTTCCATCATCATCACCGCTTGCTATTATTTTACCCTCTCGCGATATCGTCAATGCCCGCACCGTAATGCCATGTCCTTCCATCTTCTTCAACACAACACCTGTCTCCAAGTCCCAAAGACGAAGTGTCTTGTCGTCCGAACCCGTAATCATTCGTCGTTTGTCGGGGAACACTGTGACTGCCCATACGGTGTCCTCATGATCTTCAAAAGTTCGAATGGGTGTGGTGCTTGCAGTGAGCTGTGACATTTTACTGGAGGTTGATGGTGTTGAGCACAGCCGAGGGATTGTGGGTGTCTTTCTATAAGTTACAGAGGTGCGTGTATCGTGCGTTTTTATGTTGCTTCACCACGCTAACCATCCTCGTTTCTATAGACGCCCAAGACACGAGGCAGTCGGCCATCACCGTTTCAGCAAGAATGCTCCCAGCCAGTGATAACCGACTGCACTGGCTACATGCGTCCGATATTTGTCTTCACGATATTATCGGGCCCACTTTGCTTATCTATGTTTCACACTACCAGGGTGTTTATCCTCTGGGCTATACAAAAACTCTGTTCCATGGGCTTGCCACAGCAGCGGGATATGATCCCCTCGCAGGGCCCGGCTCGTCATGCCTTGCAACAACTACTTCTGGCCAATGTGCATTTCCCTGGGGTAGCAGCACAAAGTCAGTTTCTAGTGTGGTGTTAATCGCGAATGGCATCAGTTTCGCCATGATATCAGCCATATTCACTACCATTGGCTCTGTTACTGACTATGGCACATTCAGATGGTACTTGATGTCACAGTGGTATGCTGAGCTGCGCAATATGACTGTATGACGCTTACCTGTGCGTTTCCGAATGCACGTCAGTTGAGAGAAAAGTATGAAAGCAGCGAGATTCCTCCTGAATTTTACGAGTAAGAAGAATCTATGGAAAAGAATGGGATCAGTAATATCTCTACCGTGCGTTGTATGGGCTGTGTTTTTTGTCGTCGGAAGCTGACAATCTTTCGATACCGGTTCATAGTAATGTCAGGTATATAACCATCATATTGCTGAACTTAGCGCTTTTGTTACCGACGACCCCAAGTTGGACAATTAAGGTCAGGCAGGCCTTAGTTTACCTGAAGGTGAACACCACATAAGGATTGGATGGAAGGAGGTGAGTATTTGGCAAAATATTCCTTAGAAATCGACTCACACGAACATCAGGTCAGGGCTGCACTGAAGACATACAAGCATCTTCCCTACAGCTTTGTGTATCTCTTCTCACAAATGTACTGTTCGGTTGTCTGCCTTTCGAGCCATACCTGGCATCTTCTTGGACGGGCTGAATACCACCGGAACTCTCGATACCATTTGCCAGAACAGCAAGTTCGATCTCGTTCCTGCAATATACTCCCTTGGGCTTGTCACAGGCGACTACCTCGACTATGAGTACGAAGAAGATGGTGTGTAGCGCTAGTATTTCACGTACTTGTTTATGTGACCGTCAACGGTACAACTTGTGGTGACTAATGTTGTCTCTATTTTGATTTTGCAGTGGGGTATGATTGAAATACGGACAGAAAACATGTACATGAGGTTCCATAATATCTGGGAGTTCTGGTTTGTCCAGAATCCACTTTTCTCTACCTATCTTTATCAGGGCATACAACATTGCGTTCGACATTTTCCAGGCGCCTTACTACGCGTTCTCCCAGACAATGATGGCCGAGCCCGGTTCTGATAACATATCGTGTATTTTGCCTTTGTCGTACTTCCCATCCCATTGCGTTCGGCTTACATCGACCAGTTCTTCGGTCTCTTTTATCCAATCGCGCTTTTTCTATGGTAGGACTCAATGTCATATAGGTCATCATCAACAAGACGGGGAGTGGTTCCCGTTCTTCTTTGCGTTGTGTATGGCTACTTCGGTGATCTGGTTTGGCGTTGATGTGATAAAGGGGCACAGGGATGTTGTGAGGTGGGTGGCTGATTAAATGCAGGTACACTCAGCAGAACGATCGTTATATATGCATTGCTCTTTGGAATGACTTCGGGCATATCCGATGTATCCATCATGTCAGGATACAGCATTCGATGTACATCTACTAATGAAACAACATTGGCCAAACGACGTAGTATGCACAAGCAGACCCTATATGCATGTGACCGGAAATCCCTATAAAAATCATAGTACAAGTCAAGTACAAGTAATGATGCTAGTAACACATAGTTAAGGTGTCTGGGTATGGTAAAATGATTAATTTAAAAAGTGGGGGAGGAAAGAAGGCAACAGAAGAACGGTGAGGAAGTCCTAACATATTCCAGATGATTAAGCATCACTGTCACTCGCATTACTGTCGGTCTCATCGTTGCCCCAGACAGCAAATGCGCGGGGTTGATGTTGGTCGTAATCCCTCGAATCTACTCGGTGATAGTTTCTGCGACCTGAGAGCGTATCTGCGATGGTGGGAGTCTGAAGATTGTCATCAAATTCCCTGTCCTTAGGAATACGACTACGACCACTTGAATATTGTTCTCGAGAATGTATATCGTCCCGAGCACCACGCTGCGCAACGTGCATGGTCGACAACGAATCATCCGAAGAGTTTGAAAGTGCAGGGGAGGGCGTCCTTAATTGATGGTCAATGTGGAAGGGATTGATATGAGGCGGACGATGTGCGGGTCCAGCGAACCGTCCTGGAGTATCAACACCAGAGCGCAGACCCGACCTTGAACGCGAACGTGATTTGGCAGAGCGAGATGATTTGAGATGACGTCCTTGAGTGAGTGCAAGCGCAGCCAACTGCGGTGTCGAGAGTAAATCCTCATCTGTCTGGGAGCCCATTTCCTCACGAGCTTTTGCAAGACCGACTGCAGCATCTGTAGCATTTAACTCGTTCGGAACTTGGATACCAGCACGTCCGATGGTCGAAGCCTCAGGCGACGAATCATCAATGTCAAATTTGACATCTTCATCTTCATCGTCAGACGTCTCATCCTCCTCTTCATCCTCCAAAGTTTCATCGAATATGTCATCAAGCTGCATTTTTTCAGCCCTCCTCGTTTTCCCCAGGCTGGATTTCCGTGACGGGCCCTCTTCGACTACAACAAACGATTTTTGACGCTCACGTTCATTCCATTTTAGGGTTCGTGAGATGGCGTGGAACCAGTCAGTTGACTGTTTATCCGCGCAAACAGTGGGGAAAGGGTATTTGGAAGCAGTTATTTTGATATGATCACCCTCTGCAAAAGAAGTAAGCGACGGAATGAAAAGTAACATCTAATGACAAACGTTGCAGTTCCACACGGCCTCGGCCGTCGAAAGACACCCAAGCGGTGCTACGAGAATTATATGGGACACATATGCGAAGCTCCATACTGTCAGGAAGAAGCATGGGACGGAACGATAGCGTGTGAGGGCAGATGGGACTGATAAGGATTGCAGGTATCTCGGGGTGAACCAAGGACCCTCCGGCAGATAACTACACAGAGAGGAGTTGATATCAGTGACCGATCAGTGAAAGTGAGAGACCTACCGAATAAGCGGTGGAACCTGTGGGCGTCGCTACACAAAGCCCATCAGCTTGCACGGTTGTCATGTGGTGTTCGTCGCCTTCAAAATCATAAATATATATATCCCAAATATCAGAAGAGGTAACACACCAAATAATTCAAGCAAGCTGACATAGGGACTGGGTCCCCGGTCCACCACAAGGTCATTGATGACCTCAAACGTCTCAACTGGCCTTGTTGTGAAGCACATGATCTCCTTGTCCTTCGAACACTTGCCGCCCTCCGAGGTGGTAAATCCGCCAGACCAGCCTCCTTCGAGTGCCTCCCATCCTCCTTTGTTGACGTCCTTCATCATGATTTCACCTGTTTCACCCTTTTTCACGGCTTTGCGGCACTTTCCCTTGTCGAATACAGCACGGTAGACTGTACAAGTAAATCGCATGCGTAGGTTGACACGAATACCTGTGTCGATGGCTGAGTCTACAACCGCTTGATAGTCAGCGAAGTCGAAATTAGTGAGAAAGCCGAGGGAACCGAGTGCGAAAGAGAGAACGGGAGGAACAATTCGCTGAAAGAGCCATGATGTGAAAAGAACAGTGCCATCTCCTCCAAGCTAAGTCTCAAAATAAGTGGACTCAACGAGACGTGTGAGATGGATCGCTTACCGTGATGACAAAATCGAACAGATGTGGACTATCTCGGCACATATCACTAGTCCAGTATCGTAGCTGACCCTCCTGGGGTGTGTTGAAATCATCTTGATGAGTGGATGACGATGATAAGGAAGAGAGAGAGTTGCTGCTGGATGACCGTCTTCGTGGGAGAGGCTCGAACAATTCCGGATGATCTCTTTGTAAACCTTCGGCGTCAAACCTCCTCGATTTGCGCAGTTGATGGTCTACATAGCTGGTGAAGTCATCGTAAACGCCCTGAATGATATACTAGGCTCAAAACTCACACAATAAGGCCTCGCCCCCCTTGACGATGTTTAAGCATCAGATACAATGCAAGTTCACGCGTCAGGTTGATAAGGCGGTTATCCCTGGCCTTGGTTACAATGAGGACGCTCTGGATATTGGATTTTATTCGAGCACGTCCTGAAGGAGCATAGTTATTGAGTGAATGGAAAGTCTGAGAATAAGAAGAACGCTCACCGAGTTGCTTGCTCATTTCACGAACCCCGACTGCTGTCTCTGCCAGCTGTTTCGTAAGGCTGCCGCCATATGTATCGCTATCATCATCTTCTGAGACTTCATCAGGATAAGAGAATTCAAGGTGGTGTTGAGGCTGATGGCGTTGCTGAAGAGCCTTGGCGACTCCAACGTCTGATCCAGGTACCTCGTTATCTTTAGTATGGACATCAAGCCAGTCCTGTAGCGATGCTCCTTTATCTAGGTGTGAATGTACGAAGCAAGGTGACTTTGCAGATAGACTCCTATGTTCGATGGGCATTGCTAACGATGAACTGGGACTGGAGTTTGAGCTCGAGCTTGAAATTGATTTGGGCGATTCGGTAGATGGAGGTGCCATAAAGAGGTCGTTGTGAATTGGTGTTGTGGGATTATCACCTGGACTTATCCGTTGTGCCACTGCCTTTCGTGAAGGTGGTTGTTGCTCTACCACAACGTCATGATGCCATGTGATGTTTGTATGCAGCGACGATAGCGACGATAACAGCGATAGCCGACTGTTTTTTCTCGATAACGAGGGTCGAATCACGTTTTCTGTGGGCATACCGTCCGCTCGTCCGTCTGCTGGCGAAGTTGGTGGAGTGGAATACGTCTCAATCTCTTCAGACATTTCAGGCTGCCAGATATACCGTGGTCGTTCTGTGGTTATTATTGGGAGACGCAGCTGGGAAGTTAGTATCTCCTTTGATTCCCAAAGGTCTTTACACTTTATATTTGTTCGCATCAGGTTTTCAAGCCTCGGCTTCGATAGAAGTCTCCCAGACAACTCAGATGCAGCCACCTTGATGGCTGATACGATACGTCTCTCGATGGCACTGTCTATTATAATATACCAAAATCTTCATTATCAGCACTGTCGAGCATCGCCATTGGACACAAGACAGCATTTGCACGATAAACGTGAACTTAATCTTCTCACAACAGCCCTGACCTCTGTGACCCTTCACACCTAAATCTGGCACTGCAGATTAGACGAGCCATCCCTTCCCACCCAAGCATCCTGCAAGGGATACTTCCATCTGCGCAGGTATCCCTACTTGGTGTCCAGAGGTGTCCAGGGACACCGGGGGCTGTCCATTTGATCGTCTCTCGTCACCGTGGTTTGTTTGATGTAAGCACGTTGGCTTATTAGAATTCCCATAATTTACACAAATGCTGTCCGAGATAAAGCTTTCAGTATCACTGCCTTTTAGCGTAACGGCTAGGTGAATGACTCAGTTACATTTGATCATCAATACTCATTTGGAAATTGCAGTCTAATCTCCATTGCATAGGTGTAACGCCTCACAGACCTGCTTATGCAGAAACTGCGGCCTAGGCGCTCCGCATATGCCTAAGGCGGCCTGACTGATATTAATAGCACCAAATCGACTTCCCCGGACAACTCAGCAACGCTCGCCCACGATTTCTAGAGTCCAGATGACCATATTGCTATGGCAAAGTTACGATTATACCTCTGGATGTTACGGCCTCTGAGTCTCAAGATTGTGGGTGAAGAATTGCAATTGGCGAACGCACTTATTGGAATGGTCCCGCTCATCCACGCACACGAACCCACAAGTCCTTGATTGTTATATGATTTCAACGCATGGGTAGTACGTGTATGACAGTGCCATAGTAACCAAGGTGGTTGCTTATACTGCTAAAAAGACTTCAAAAGAACACTGTACCCCGCAGAACAAATCTCTCTAGCTTTCTGTAATCTGGTCGATCTTTGGCTACTGCCCAGAGCCAGATATCTAGTTCGGGCAATGTAATATCTTTCAGCCATGCTTGCTCTTTACTGAGTTGTCCATCACCCCTTGCATATTGAACAATTCTCTCGCAAGCGTGTACGGCAGCCGCACGCAACAGATAGGCCTGCTCCGTCGTGAGTACAGGACCATCCTTTGGGGGTGTTTTCTTGGTATCTTGCGCAACTGCTTGTGAAGCCTCAAGAGGTAAAGCCAAGAGTGTGTTAATCCTATCTTCGCTCTCGGCACCAGGGAACAAATCACGAAGTTCGTGAGATGTTGCGCCGCTCAGGTCCAAAACTCCCAAATGGACCAAAAGGGACGGCAAAACATTATCGGTGAACACGGGTGCCTGAGCTGTGTTGGGGATGTGAAACGATGGCGAAGAACCAAAACGAATCTTCACTGCATGTATAAGAAAAAGTGCCTTTTTGAAGCAGTACACAGCTTCGAAAGTTTGATGAGTGCGAAGACAGTTTTAGATATGATCTGCCGCCCACTCACGTTTCCCGTTAACAACCGCCATGTCGCGGAAAGCTGGAATAGCTCTGACCAGCTAATTCAAAAGAGTTGATTATTCGGTGGTTGCGAGGTGTAAAAATCGCAGCCCACCCTCTCTAACACGATTCCAAGACTTGCGCTAGGATCAGCCTTTGCTCCTTCCTTCAAGCTCTCCAAAACAAAGCTCCCTAAATCCGAATATCCTGAAGCCTCCAGAATCTGACCCGTCTCGATTAGGGTCGAGCTGATCAGTTTCACCAGCTCATATATTGGTCCACCGAGTTCCCCGACCGTGAGACCAGGGATCTTCTCATGAGGTCGCTCGACGTGGATCGTGACGCCCATGTGTTGTGCCACTTGCTGCTCACTCATGGTCTTCATGCCTTTCGCAGAAAGTAAATCTCCCTGCCCTGTCGCAGAGGACAGATAAAGAGAGAATGTAAACGCCCGTATATTATCCCATGCGCCTCGTCCTGTCTGTTCGTGAAGTGGCACTCGATAGCCGGAGGCGAAGTTCAGGAGAGAAAGAACAGACAAAAAGTTTAGCTCTGATAAGAGTGAGGGGAACTTGAGAGGGAATGCAAGCCCGTGAGAGCCTGAGACGCGATGAAACGAGGATTGAAAAGAGGGAGATTCCAGGAGGCGTCTGATAGCGGCATCTTCGACCTAACGAATCAACCGGTCAAATGCTGATCGCAGAAAGAAATCCTTGGCAGATCGACACGAAATGTATGCGATAGATTGCAAGGATAACAAACGGACATGGATGGTGCGACATACAAAGACAAGCTGAATACAGAGAAAAAATTAAGTACTCGTCAAAACGCTCACCTTGATATGTGCGGCCACTGTCGCGATCCGGCAAGACTCTTTGATGGATGAGACGAAAGTCCCAGATGAGGGGAAATCAGGCTCCATGGGCCGCAAACCACTGTGCATATCATGTATATGCAAGACCGTAGAAGTGCAAAATGACGGAAACTACCGTATATGATGGTAAAACCGAAAGATTTAACCCAGTCGCAGTTCAAGTCGCAGTCCGATTTGACACTGTTCTGCAGTTGATTTTCATACGTCGAGAAAATTCTGATCAGTAAAGAGCTATAGTGTCAAATATAAGAGAGGCCTGCTGAAGGAGAACAGGTGTGGTACCTGAGGGAGCGGTGGCACGGGTCAGACTCGAGTGTGTGGGGTCTTGAGCAATGACATAATACACTTGTGCAATTCCAACCGAGCAGGGATGCAGAGCGCGGGTGACCGACATGCTTCAAACGCGCGTACACCATACCGGGGAAAGCGCCATAATGTGTAATCATACAACTATTTCGTACAATTCCACTTCCTGAAACTACCTCGCCGACAGACCACTAAAGAAACGTACATTCACTGCTAAGACACGTCAGCTCCACTTCGGAAACATTAGGGTCTTGCTGAAGACAAGCGGATCAGCGGGATTGCTGCCACAACATGACCATGAAACGTACTCAGGCGATGATTTAAAGTGATTTCGAGGACAGCATTGATTAACTCCTCCTTCGCCTGACGGCACAAATACTCTTTCTCCTTCGCGGCAGTGGCCACAGCCTTTTCATAAGCGTGGACGGTAGCGTTCACACCTTTCTCGACAGCAGCTGCATGGGGAGATGCCATGTACTGCTCCAGAGCGACATGAAAAGAGGGATTGGACCCCTGCTCGTCCTGAAGATAGCGCCGCTTGTCGAAAATGTAGAAAGAGTGTTCGAAGATAATGACAACAGCTAAATGGTCGATAATAAGCAGGTTGATCACAACGTAACATTGAAACTCACAAGAAATGAGCTGAACAATGATCTCCAAGGGTGATGACTCGTTAGAGGCCTGGTAGATTCGCAACATGAGAAATGTGTACAATCTGTGACCAACTGGACGTACCACAGAGAGTACCTTGGACTGTATCTCTACGAGGTGATCGTGCTGAAGTGTTTCCTATAAATGGATCAGCATGGCTCAAGTTCGAACGAGGGTTAACAAACGTACTGCCTGCAAGTAAATGCTTAATGTAAATGAGAGCAACCTTTGAATGTTCCAATAAGCTTACCGAAATATGCGGAAACCAGTCGCCCAAGGTCCTTATTATCTTCTGATGACCTTCAGATGTCGTTTTTTCTTCCGGGTCAAGATGTTCTGGGAGTGTTCTGGACAACATCAGTTCCTAACGCTCGCGGGAGGTAGATGAAACCATAGGTAGTTACCTCTCAATTGCATATTTCATGCAGATCTCCAAATTGGTCCGCTGGGTCGAGACGAATAATTGTTTCAGTGCTTCGTCATCCAAGGTTCCAGCCGTGCGTTCGATCAGCGCCCCGCAATGTGCATTATCTTTGTCCATATCTGATGGATCAACGGTCATCATGTATTACAACTCAACCATAAACCGGCTTACTAGGAAGGCATACGTGACCTTTTGGAGGCCATTGGACGCCATTGATAAGCTTCAATTGCGGTCCATCTCGAAATGTTTCTTCGGCGCGTTTCGGGGCAAGTTCTTTAGCGTCCTTCCGAGATCTTCCTTCCTTTTTCAGTTGCGAGTACGCGACGCCGTAGAGGGCATCAAACTTTGTGAATAATACGATCACTGGAACTGAGGATTGTGATTCTGCGCATCAGTCGAACGTCAACGAGCGTGGGATACCAAAACTTACTGCTTCCTGTGTCGCACTGAGAGAAGAATTTCTCTTCGCTTGCAGTGAATGACCTGCTTGCTTCATCCATTGGAATGCAGTACCTGTGTTGAAACCTTGAGATAGCGCATATCGCGGCTGATAAGTTGCAATTACCATATAGCATGAAGTTGATTTGTTATTTTGGTTTCCTTGGAACGGTCAGTGATGAATGCCTTGACCTTGATGAATTCTGATTCGCCGCCTGCCTCGAAACCGCGTGAATCATGGAAAACGAAGCCAGGGTTGCTTCGAAACACCGTTTCGTTCTCGATATCGTGCAGTCCGCGCTGAGAGCACGTCAGTTCACGATATCGACTAAGAGCACAACTTACCTCTCTGGATGGCGCTAAAACTGCAAGATCCACCTGGTGTCCATGAGTCAGTACCACCCTCCTACTAGTATTGTGATGTCCACCTTTTTCCCGGCGCTGTTGTATGTTTCAGGGTTGTCCCGTGTCTTACAGACTCTCTGGAGGATGGTGGTTTTTCCTGCATTTGCTCTTCCTATAACGAGAATTCGAAAGCGACCGATTTTCTCTCTTATCTTTGAAGGATCCATGGGAGACGGTAAATGTGACTCAACTTGGAGAAGCGTTGGTATAGCCTTATAATCAATTGCAGTGTCAGTGTGTGAACCCGGCAAATATGCCCAACCCGAGACCAGCCTATCTATTCGAATCAGTGGGCAACATATGGGCTTGATATTGATATTGATATTTGATATAACTGTGTATGAACCATATGCATGCATGGGGCGTACAGGACAAGCTATCAGCATAAGATCCATATTCGAAATTAGTCTATCGTGGTCAAGCCATAGGTTGAATCAACACTCACTTGGATATATTCGCATCATACATATCTCGTGTACCAATCACAAGACACTAGGCCAAAATCGTAACAAACACAATGACAGCTTTGGGGTCAGTGGTACCGTATACGTGCCCTGTTACAGCAGCAGCGGTCAATACCTCCAGCACCGCTCGATAAGGGTAATTTCTGTCGTGTATAAGGTCAAGTACCTTGTCCGAATCGTGCCCATCGCGTGTTTATCACTGCTCACCACGGGCCCGGTCTGCAGTCTCTCGCTGCCTATCAGGCTACCACACCTAACCTCCAACCCAACTTCATGAAGCCTGGCGCTAAGCTTTGAAACCTCACGCTGACTCCGATCCCCGCACCAGAACGTGACCTCCTGATGCCACTTCCTGCTTTCGCTCAGTCGCACGAGGAAAATGACGGAGTGCTTATTGTACTTCCTGAATAGCACTGGGCGGAATGCGATTCAGGCAATACAAATAACACTCTAAGTAAGAAAGCCAACACACAAGACAAGAAGACACGAGAAAAAAACATGGCCAACAAATGAAGGAGACATGTCTCTATGTTTCTTAAAGCTCATCCAACTTCAACGAAGGATTTCGAAACGGACAGCGTGCTCGAGTTATCATCGCTGTTTGCGAGTGCTAGGATGATGATCGATGACGGCTGATAGGGGTGTATACCGGCGCAGGTTCGTGTTTTGGAACATCTGGCGATAAAGATGCCAATGAGATACGAGCAATACAATCCTCCATACACGGGGGAGATGTGGTTGAGGCAGGAAACGTCGATATGAAATAAATTGGTGACAGTGTGTCGGCAGCATGATGTAGGATGAGTTTGGCGGAGGTAAGGCAGGCTTTCGCGGAGAAGTTAGAACAACAGTAGCTATATGAGAGCGTTGGCGCTCAAAGTGCACCCTCAATCACCGAAGGACGAGGGTAGCGAAGACGATGGACGAGTAGAATTTGGTGCGGGGGGTGGAGCCGTGGAGCCTGTGGAGGGCACACGCTGCCGCACGCACCGACGAGACTTGACTTGCGAGCTAGATGAGCACGGATGATAGTTATTCTGGACAAGTAACTTGAGAGAGACAAGTAATGAACAACCCGCGTTGTAGGTTGAGTTGATTGATGTTTAGGTGACACCTTTCGTGCACACTGCAAACGAATCATCGTTGACGTTGGCGAGTGCCAGAAAGTTGACCTGAAATTTTTAACCGCCGCTGTTGCTACTACATAGTAACAAGTAACTTAAATTACTCCAATAAGCCAGAGGCAAATTAACAGCTGACGAGGTTTTCGAGGTCTTGTCACTGCACATGCCTTGAATCATTCAAATTTAGCGCTCACGAGCTGTGCATCCTGCATCAGTGATCACTAGCACTGGCTGGTCGTTCGAGTCCGCCTGGCACAAAACACGTTGTCCTTTCTCGAACAGGTCACCGTCGGTAGTGCCTCCTGAAAATGCTGAGGCAAGCATATCAAGAAACAGAGAAATGAGAAGTATCACCGGCACAACAAGTTGTACGAACGTGAAGGATCTACCACCATGTGGTGCACAGTACTGCTGGGATGCACTTTGAGAAGGTGAGCAGGGCCCTGGTTGCACCGCACTTGAAATTTGAAAGCCAGAGCACGAGATTCATCGCTTTGCTCGAATGCGGAGTTCCAAATTGAACTGTCTTCAACGATCATCATCATGATCGTAGCACTTCCACTTCGAATTCGTTCCTTGAGACAAACGCATTGCAAAATGCAAATGATATCGCGCGCTTTTTCTGTCACATCAGGGATAGCCACAGGTCAGTAAAAAATTTAGCCGGTGCCGTCAGGTTCAAACGTTATACAGATGTCCGCCAACAACTGATGTCCGGAGTCAAGACCGCTATGAAGGTGACTGTCCTGTTGAAACCATATTATTCACCTGCCAATAAAGCGCTTAAATAGACGAAGGATTCAGTAACTTCTACAACTATACGCGTGAGCGCTTATCCTCAACAGTGAAGCTAAAGGTTCTAATTTCTGAGGTGCCTAATAACGCAGTCCATTCTCTCGGAAGTCTATGCTGCCGACAAGTCAGCTGGTTCACCCGTGTCATCCTCCGCTATAACCGCGATCCTACGAAAAGGCACCTTACGACGTGTCAGTCCAGAATTTCATTCATTGATATTGCTCATTACTTGATTTGTTTTCTTGCGCAGCGTGATTCAGCCATTCAGTTCATCAGTGCTTCCAGACCGGACTTGGCTCAAAAAGAACATCGCGAGGCAGACATTCTCGCGGCTTTCTTGCCCCCTTTGATGTCGGACGTGGATATCGACCGTATTCTCAACGAGGTGATCGCTGAAACAACACTCGATGGGGATTCACGCAAAATCCTTGGGCAAGTATACAAAATCTTCTACTCTAGGGTAGATAAATCAAATGTGGACGCCAACACTGTGAAGCGTAAGGCTGAAGCACTCCTGTTGAACATTTGAATAAGTATCAATTAATTTAAATCAAGTATACAATTTTCCATAGTCAGGTCAGGATGATATTCGACGGTGTAACAACGGTACAAGTGTGTTACGTGTTAGACTCTTCAGTAGCAGAGGAAGGTGAAGGATCGTGTGATTGGGCAACAGTTGAAGACGTGTCACTGGAAACTGGCAAGGCGCTTCGTACTCGAGTGAGATCATCCACACAACGATTCACTGCAACCGAAACTCCTTCGAGTATCCTGAGTCTCTCATCAATGGCTTCTCGAGTAATCCGATCCATGAGCATCAGCTGCTCGTCTGTCAGATTGGGTGGCAGGCTACGTAATGGCGTCTGAGCGGCATCCACGTGGACAGAAGCGCCAAGATTTAGCGGAGGTACCACATCACTATTTAAGGATGGTGAGAGTGATTGCCACAAGTGCGTGTGGGACGGGTTAACGCCTTGTGATGTCCCTATTCGGGAGGGAATTTCATGGGCGTGTAATGGAATGAAAGAAGGGATTGCCAATTCTGGATCTGGCATGGCAGAAGAAACACTGATATCAGGAGGTGATACGTTCGGCGCCTCACCAGAGTCAGGCTTGGTAGCAGGTGTATCATTGGATGATGCAGGTGCCTCATCATGGGGTCTCTGGGTATTCTTGTGCCCAATTCGCTGCAATGCGGCGGCGGCAGCAGCTTCTTGGGGATTCAGCCGCGAGTCACCTGCGACGGCCGAGGGTTGACCTGAGGCGCCCGAAGGCCCGTCACCAAACCATCGGGGATCCATACCCCACTGACGCCATTGTCCATCAAGGCCATTGAATCCAGGAAAGTGAGGCACAGGTTGAGGGGTAGCCGTAGCCGTAGCTTGAGATGCATCCCGTGAAGGTGGCGGGCCCTGGTACTGAATGTTGTATTGAATAACAACGCCTGGTGCTTGCCCGGGCAACCACCCCTGAGCAACTGCATTCGGCGGGGGTTGTTGATTATTAACATTGCGAGGTGCTTGGGGTTGATTTCCTGGAGCCACCGGGTTGCCAAAATTAATTGGCTGTCCAGGTATTACTCCTGCCTGAGCACCCGCAGCACGCTGCTGTTCTTGCGCGGGAGTCTCAAGCACGCTGCGTCGACTATGAAAAGAATACAACATGAGTGATCTCGAGATTCCGCAACGCGAATTAACGCACCAAGTAGGGCAGCTTTGCTGACGTTCAAGCCAGGATCGAAGACAATAGAAATGGAAAACATGCCCGCAGGGCAACTTCTTTGGGGTAGTGTTGGGGCCATCAGAATTCTGTTGTGCAGGGTTCGAGTGTGATTCCCCTTCTGGATTCCCAGAGACGCCATGGACGGACATCTCCTCGCGGCAAATAATGCACGTTCTATCTGTCATAGCCGACATTTCTTGTTCGCTCGCGTCAGGGTAGCGCTCATCCATGTTGCGGGTGGCAGCTCTATATCGGACAAGCGCGCGTAATCGTGTCACAAATGACCGCCCGGTAAGATAAACATCTCGGATGATGTTTAGCGGCAACCCATAGAACGCCACGATAAGGAGGAAGAATAAAAGGTATGTACTGAGTTTTAAAAAATCTGAAAAAGAAGTTCACAAAGGTTCGGAATTGATATGGATATTGCGTACCGGTGACCAATTCGATATAGAATACCCACATGCTTTTGTTCTGCCATGGAGGTGCATTCTCGCCACCCCTTTGCCTTGCGCGTCTCAAATCGATGACACAAATGCAATACTTTGCCGTAGTGTTCATAGCGCTCGCCATCAAGATGGCATACTGGAAGGAATATTAAATATAACTTGATGGGACATGCAGAACACGTGCCTCGCTTGCAAACATCATCATGCCCCCTATACCGTTTTTCAGTGTACTTTCAACCGCAACCGCAAACATCAATAGATCTGTGCACCAAAGTATGACAAAAAGAGTGGTCATTCGAATATGAAAAAGTGTAGGTGGGCCGGGAAATGGACGTTGGTCCATCTAGATTATAACTCAGTGCATTGCAACATCAGGCGAAGTAGGACACATACCCACTCAATTCGATCGGAAGCGAGCCAGTGAAATGACCTAACGAACAGCAAAAAGCCGAACATCAAGGCAAACGGAATATCAAAGTCATCCCGGAATATTGTGAACGCCAGTAAAGATTCTGTGATGAAAAACCATAGTCGGTCATAAAGCCGCTAGTGATAATTAAGCGCGGAATCGACCATCGATGTAATAAGAGCTACCTCCACCTCCTGAGGACGAAGAGCACCAAAGAATATCTGTTGCACGAGCTGCCCACACAACAATGCAATAAGAAGGCCGAAATTTGCAAGTATCTGAAAGCTGTTTGAGTACACCGTGAATCACAATTAATACACCACGCACCAATACACTTCTATTACTCTTTGAAAGATAGATTGCGACAGAATAGAAATTACTGTGATACCGGAGTGCATTTGTGATGGTTGCCGAAACTGCAATTGTAGACACTAGACCATAGAGCAGAACTTTGTGATAATTGAATGAAGCCACAATCGGGTGAGCTCTCTGCCGCAGAAAACCGTTGAGGGGCATTCCCAGGAAAGCTGTAAGGGAGGCAGAATATTGTTCGACCGTCGACTCGGATGAGAGTGAGGTGCTGAATGCATTGCGTGTCATAAACTCGACGAGACTTCTCACGGTCACGTCACCAGCGGTTAGTTCATAGTAGAGGAGGCTATAGAGCGTAGATACGAACAAAGCGGCTATTAATTAATTTTGAAGTTCGAAACTCTGGTGCTTACTAGTTTGTCGCCCATTACAAAAGATTCACTTTTATCATGTGGTAGATGTTTCAACAAGTGACTCATCTGTGGCACATCGCGGGAATGAGGGCTCGACATGCTGGCATATATCTTGGGTAATGAACGTAAGTCGGATCATGTTCCCGACCAAAAATCGAAAAGATGACAGGGTTGCTGCATGCAGGTCCACTAGGAATGCACGAACTTGTGATAGGCAATACCAAGGCAATACTGTATCCTGCCAAACGCCTATCGGTAAAATTACATAAATGAAAACTTTCTTAATGTAATAACGCTACTGGAGCATTATGCATACCTGTCACACTCTTCATTCCTTCGGAACTCGTATTTTCTCATGCTAAAGGGTTTATATAAAATGCTTCCATCCCCAACACCCCAAACTTCTTGAAATCGCCCCCCCTCGCACAACTGAGACTTAAAGGTGGAGTGGTCCTTGAATATTTCGCATACTTATTACTGAGGGCATCGTGCCAGCCATGTCTGAACTGCGTAAACGCCAGGATCCTGGCAAAATTGCTGATACGGACCCTCAGAATGTTCTACCCCGAAGTACTTCTGTACTGTCTTCGGTGCTGTCTGGATTCGACCGTCCCCGTCTTGTAATCCTGATAATTCTTGCTGGCTTTGCGGCTTGGTTCCTATCCCCTGAGGAAACTTCGTCACTCTCGCATTCATACGCAATTTGCTCCTCATCGGGTGCTCGTATTTACACTGTGGATCATGCCGTGCCAAACGCCCAGTGCCTTGTTGTGGATGGGTCTTTAATACTGGACGTTGGTTCTTTGGGTATGTCAAAATAGGCAAAAGCCCAACACAAGAAACCGAATCAGACTTATCCGTTACTAGACGATATTATGGCACGTTGGGTTGCCAGAGATCCCCTCCGTTCTTCTCTTCAAATACGTTATTTGGACGAATCTTCGATCGTGGTCCCGGGACTTAGCGGTAAGCTGCGAATAAAGAAACAACTATCTAAAACAACTTTTCAACGCTTCAGATTCACATGCACACATTCTCGAATACGGTGCAAGTAAGCAACTTCTTCTTGAAACTGCCAAGACGATCAAAGGTTTGCATAACAATGGCTCGTCCCGGAAGCGATCTGAGTAGTGTAACCACGATTCAGACACAGTTGCACTCGTCCGACAACATATTTTGGACAACGATGACATACTCAATGACCCTTCAAAAATTATTGAAGGTTGGGGATGGGACCACACTTCTTGGCCAGTGGAAGAATGGCCAACCTCGGTGAGCTTCGTAAAATCATGTGCCGCACGAATCTAAAGTTCATTACTTTGCAGGACGATCTAGATATGGACCCGATAATCCGCGGCCGGCCAGTCATCCTACAAAGCAAGGACGGCCATGCATTGTGGCTCTCGAAGGAGACTTTTGCATTAAACTCTCCGTGGCCATCAGAAATAGAAGGTGGTGTCATTATGAAAGATTCGTCTGGCAATCCAAGCGGTTTTGTTCTTTCCTTGCGGAGATATGGTTTAAAAATAGCTTACAGCAATCATCAGGTGTTGTTCTTGACAAAGCCCAGGACCTTCTGCAGAAACCAGCTCCGACTGAACAGGACTTACTGAGACATTTCAGCGCCACAGTCAAAGATGTCTTGTCTCATGGTTTAACCTCCGTCCATGATGCGGGGTTCAAACCTATTTCGCTCGAGTTTTTCACAAGGTCTTCTAACCATCCTGGTATAAAAACATATTTGACGTTATTCATGCAGACAGGCGGCGGCAGGAAATCTTCCCGTAAGTGCTTAAGGATGCCGTCATCGTGTAATTCACAACAACCTATAGTTCCGAATTTATGGGATGAGATACTTCAATGAAAACGATCCTTACTGGGGAAACCTCTCAGAGCCTATTATCAATGCAGGCGACGGCAGGCTAAATGCTCGCAGTGTCAAGATATTTGCTGACGGTAAGACGGCGTGGCGACAGTATTAAGCTGTCAAACTGACTAGTTATTCAGGTGCTTTACGCTCTGGTGGAGCAGCGGTGAGAATTTTTTTGGCCGTGTTTGTGTTTTTCTTGATGTCTCTCAGCTTCACGAGCCGTATCATGACAATCCCCACACGAAGGGATTCATGCGTGTGGACCCCAAAGTCCTGACTGATGTTGTACCCAAATTTTTAAGAGACGGATGGCAGGTTGTAAGTGCCGGCGATTGCAAAAATAAAAAAATACGCCTCATTTGTTTTTGTCTGGAAGAACATCCATGCAATTGGGGACTATGCCAACGGCGTGGTTCTGGATACATTCGAGGCTGCATTGAAGGACGTCGATATAACTGCACTCAGACCTCGTCTAGAACATGCCCAAATTCTGACGCAAACTGACTTGGAACGTGTCGGAAAGCTCGGAGGTGAGCATTTTAGTTTCCTTAATGTCAATGGAAGTAGAATCGTCGCTATTTAGTTATTTCAAGCATTCAACCTACACATGCGTACGTTGAGCTATTCGCCGGAATGTGTTCGCTACTGACATGTGTCATATGGGCGAAATAGTATCAGCGATATGTGGTTTGCGGAAGAACGTCTTGTGAGTTCATGGGAATCCTACCTACTGGCGTTTGCAGGTGTTGATCGTTTTCCAGGGTCCTGAGCGAGTGAAGGGTTTATATGCCTTCCGCTCCTTACTCGACCACGGCTCTCGACTCGCCATTGGCTCTGACTTCCCGGTGGAAGACATGAACCCGCTCGCTGGGTTCCATGCAGCCATTACGAGACTATCTCCTGAAGGACAATCGCCCAATGGCCCGTCGGGATGGTATGGCTTTCTCGTCCACAAATTCCCCATTCAACTCATGTATGTTTCTCAGGTTTCCAGAACAACGGCTGACTCGCATGGAAGCCTTGAGAGGTACTTTATGAGAGTACTCGGATATGAACGTCACTGATATGGAAAACAATCAATAGGCATGACGATCGATGCTGCGTATGCTTCATTTACCGAAGACAGCCTGGGTTCTCTTGTTCCAGGAAAACGGGCAGACTATGTGGTGCTATCACAAGACATCATGACTGTTCCTGTTGATCAAATTTTGAGGACCAAAGTTCAAGCTACGGTGATCGATGGGCGTGTCGCCTTTGGAAAGGTTTAAGACAGAGGTGGTGGATGGAGGTGTGCTAGGTGCCACCAAAAATTCTTGGAGTTCTATACAGACGGACTCCCTTGCTTTCCCCCAATTAAATACCATTTTTGTTTTGCTTTCGATGTTTTGTTTTGCTTTCGATGTTTTTTCATGCTTTGTTTTGCTTTTTGCATTTGTTGTGCAATCGATTGTGTTGGTTTATAATGTGTCTGGCGTACGGAATAAGTGAACAGTTCCTTCGTATGCCAGATTCACTGTAGTACTTGTTAGTTGAGCCAGTAATAATACATTAGTACAAATAAAAAAACCCCTTCTAACCCGCAAATAATGTTACAAAGTAACAAATCATCTTTAGACAATTTACTGACTTAAGTGATTTTCACTCACCTTCGTCCTACGTATATATTAATTCTCTAATACAGAACATGAATGTATGTGAATGTATCTGACATATGGCAGACAGCCACACTATATATACGACATGAATGTCTGACAGATCATTATAATGCACTTGACTCGTCGGCGTGCCGGCAAATGTCGGATATAACAGGCAGGTAGAACATTCAATGTATCAGGTGATGTCTGAATTCGGTAATTTTGGTGGCACTACTGCATCCGTGCCGCAATGCCCAACATGTCCTCTACATTCCTCTCAAAGGCATTCCGAGAGGCGCATAGTTGATGAATTCGTAATACTGCTAGGTCAATTATATTGTGTATGATTAGAGTAGTTGTCGGAAATGAGCGTTGAATGTATGTTTCGGTGTGACGAGGTAGAGCCAGCAAGGAGATGCTTGTTAGATTGTATATGCTCAATGATATCAATTTATATTTCACATTTTACGTGTGTTGTAAGTGTCGAGCTCAAGTTACTTTCCAATTTCATGACTATATCGTATGCTAATTGCAAACAATGGCAAGTGAATTGCAAGAATGACAAAATATGTACCAGTATTCCGTTAAAATCACAACTATTACATGAGTATTGGAGTACATCAGGAAATCACGCGTTTCCTTTTCTAGCTTTTTCACGCTTATTTAAGAGACTTATTGCTAATCATCACTTTTTCTCACTTATATTTTGGACATAAAAAGCTCGTGCAATTAAAATAAGTAGGCAAGTGAAAAAGTAAGAAAAAGCGGAAAAGTAAGAAAAAGCGAGAGGATTGAAAAGACATAGAAAAAAAGTGAGTTACATTACCAAGCTATTTCGAAGGCATGGTGGTCAGCATATTTGTTGACATAAAATAGGGTAAATATATCGAGAACGTGGTGAGATTTAACTAATGAGGGAAGCAGTTCAGTGCCATAGACCGGAATAAGATGTGCAGAACGAAAAATAGCCTCAACATGAATCACCGCATAGTGTGCATGATTACCGTTAAAAGACGGTGACACCATCCACATCCCAGTATCTTCATCTGGCGTGTCACCGATTCGGTTGAACCACCGAACGACCGCACATGGATAACGTACTCCCCTTAATCGAAAGGAAAAAAATGTTAGTACCTGGGCGATGTCCATACCCCGCATTCCAGGAACGTTCGGGTCAGTAATAACAAACACGCAATCTTTGCGTGCATATTCATTTCTCCATCTGGGGGACACACGAATGTGTTCGCGTTTCATCCCGCCGGTTCCACTCAGGTCACTCGGTGCAAAGAATGTTGAGGCCGCAGAGTGAAAAACTCGTATCCTCCCATCGTAACGAGGGCGGTCCATAATACCTGTGGGAATTTGTGTGGGGTCCTTGTTGGGATACAGCTGCTCGGTGAGGAATTGTTGAACAAGTTCAGCCAAGTCAGGGATGTGAAGCTCATTAGCTAGTGCAGGAATGCTTTGTGGGCGCTTTTTTCCCTCTGTACATAATGATATTTAGTAGTGTATCAAGGTTGTACAAATGAAAAAAGACTTACGAGATGTTCGAGCAAGCTCTACGTGTGCAAGGACCGACATTGGCACATCAATATCCTCAGAGTCAGCGCTGACATCCGGGTTGAGTATACTGGCGCTGGCGCTTCGGGACATACTGGGCAGCTCAGGGTCGTGTTGATCTGCATTGGTCTGCTCTTCCACATTGGTTTGTGCAGGCTGCGCACACTGTCTATCTGATGGTTCTATAGCAAAGGTCAAACAATCTAACAATAAACGAAGTAAAAATGAATCACATACCAAGTGCCGCAAGAATGGATGATAGACATGTACCCGAGAGCATCCCGCGAGTGCGGAAATCCACACGTGATGCCGCCAACTTGTCAAGACGCTGATTGGTTAGTAACATCTGACCCAGAGCCTTGTATCGGCTGGACCGTCTCCAAGGCTCCTTGACAGCCTTTATATGCTTTGACTCCGTAATAGAGGAGCAGAGGCCGTTCGGAGCGCCAAAGAGTCGGATAAGATAGATGTAGTGAGACATGGCGTGTTGTCGGGGAAGTGAAAAAGTTAAGACCGTTCCAGTAGTCTTGAAAATCTCCCGATAGTGGTGAAAACGGGTAAGGGCATCTTGAATTTCACCGAGCGACTTCTCCGTGATCACATTGCGGCGGACAAGGTAACAGAATTCGAGGAAGGCACGGAATGCACGCACGACATCCAAGGGGACGTGACCTTCAATGGCCGGCAAATATACCTTCATAAGGGCCTTGGAATCGTCGCCAGTCCACTGTTTGAAGTGACGTCCTTGAGGAAATCTACGAAGTCCAGGGAATGGAGGAACTGCTGCAATTCTATGAAAGGTTAGAGTAAATCAAAATGATGGTGCATAAACACACCTTCGGTCAATATCATCTAAAATTATGTTAGCCTGCATCTTTCCATGTGTGCGCAGTAGGTATTTCTCTACCCATGTAACTAAATGGTCCTTATATGCCCCCTTGATAATCTGGTGAAGAAGATCAGGTGCGAGGAGTTCGTGGATGTCGGCGCGGGGAAAATCGTTCGTAAATGGCTGAATATAAGAATTAATTCTAAGTACAAATGAAACCGAACAACTGAAGTACCACAAGCACGTTAATGAGACCATACTCTTTCCACAGTGTATCAAAATCGCACTCTTCGATGAGTGCATCTGCGTGAGTTCTTGAACGAAGGAGACTAATCTCGTCGAGGTCATCGCTATGGGAAAGACACCTAGTAATATTTAATATAAGAATGAATCCAATAGATAATCGGGAAAAATTACTTGGCACACCAGTTCCGAACTATGCATGCGAGCAACACCTGTTCCTCGTAGTCTGCGATATATGGCCCGAGTCCATATATGACACGGCGATAGTGGCCGTCCCCAAAACAAACAATTTCAGGCTTTGTCATGCCTGGCTTCAGATTCTTTAGGATGAATGAGAGGGACGAATGAAAAATTTGACGTCGGAAGCTTCGAAAACCTGGTGTCTCAGCATGCTGTTTCGTGGCTTCACAGGAGGGTAAGGACAGTAAAATGTGAACATGTGAGCACATACTTTTTGGCATTGCAAGGAATCCCACCACGGCAACAGCGTTGCGGTGTGCACGGCGAACAGTATTCTGGACATTCCCAATAGATGCGTAGAGAGGGTAGTAATCATTTTGCCCCGTTGCAACCGAAACAGTGGTCTTATCACTCCCGAGAATGACGGGCACGAACGCCGAGCCATGGGTATCTGGGTCCTCAGAAATCTTATCCTGAAAATATCTCTCAAATCATGTACATTAACGATAATGAACATAGTACATACCGCTTGAGACCAAGCCCAATCCCCGGACATGAAGTCCTGCCATTGGCGTTCGTCATTTTCGGTTGCGTACTCACGGTAAGGTTGGAGATCGATTTCCATAGCATAGTCTGGATTAGAAAGCATATTGTTAACAACATTGCGTGGATCACGAAACCAAACGTCATAGGTATCTGTCATCCAGGGTGCGACACCTTGTTCTGGAATCTCGCCAGTATATTTTACCGAAAACGACTGCCATTTAATGTCTCCGAGGGGTGTATCGTCGATGGTCTTGTAAAGTGCACGGTGGTCAGGAAACAAAGTTGTTTTGCTACCCCCTTCAATCAATGAAGCTGCCCATATATTTAACAGCTGGTCGATTGAATGCATGGGGGTCTGGTTTTTCGTAAATAGGTAGTCGGCGAGCTCAAACTCTACCCGACTCTTGTAAGGCGTCCAGTCATCTGATGCCTTGTCCGAAAGTGGTGGAGGCGGAGTTCCTCGTGGAAGGAAGTTACCTTCACGATCACAGGGGCGAGCTTCATAGGTCACAAGCAATATATCAGTACTTGAGAATTATACAGTCCATAAACTTACCAGACAGAAGCGGATGATAATTTCTATACAACCGGTCACCAGGCCCAACAAATTGAGCAGTTGGTTGCAAGGGATCTTCCGGTCCCAAGTCCGTGTCATTGGCATCACCAAAATCCAAATCAAAGGACAATGCAGGACTTGGTGAACAAGGGACAGATGCCTGAGTCACTGCATGTGGATGTAAGAATATGGGGTGCTTCGCATTCATGTGCTGTGTATACCCTGATCGGTTCTTGAACCAACGGTTACACCCCGGCTTCGTGCAAGGGATGCAAAGTCCACTGGCCTGGTGGCGCAGGTAGCTTCCTTGTGACCCAGTTTGGGACATGCTGGTTGAGGTATTTGGAGTTGGGGAGGGTAGGACTCGTCGGTAGGATAGCCAATATCTGGTCTGGCGGATTGAGTTGATGGTATTCGGAGTCAGGGAGGGTCAAGCTTGTCGGTAGGATGGCTAGTACGAGTGAGTTGATGGTATTCAGAGTAGGGGGGGTAGGACTCGTCGGTAGGATAGCCAATATCTGGTCTGGCGGATTGAGTTGATGGTATTCGGAGTCGGTAGAGTTGAGCTTGTCAGTAGGATAGCCAATACTACCAGCTCCAGCGGATTGAGTTGATGGTATTTGGAGTCAGGAAGGGTCGAGCTTGTCGGTAGGATGGCCAATACCAGCTCTGGCGCGTGAGTTGATGGTATTCAGAGTCGGGAGAGTTGAGCTTGTCGGTAGGATAGCCAATATTGCCAGCTCTGGCGGATTGAGTTGATGGTATTTGGAGTCAGGAAGGGTCGAGCTTGTCGGTAGGATGGCCAATACAAGCTCTGGCGTGTGAGTTGATGGTATTTGGAGTTGGCGATAGTGCAGCTTGTTGGCAGAATAGCCAGTACTAGCTCTGGTGTCTGGTGTCAGCTTGGGGCAGAACCAGTTGGGATGATAGTCAGTACATACCGGCTCAGATGCTTGAGTTAAGTGCTGGAGGATGCAGGCGGACTTGGAAAATGATGTAAATCGGTATTGAGGGTTACCCTTGGAGTTACAATGGGTTGTTTGTTTGCGTTTAGGAAATTTGCAAAGTCTCTGACTAGTAACTCTTACATACCTTTTATCAGGTCCTGCCCTTCGCTGCTTCTTTCTTCCTGCCTGTTGCCTGCCTTTAATCTCCGTTATGACACCTCCTGCCTCCCCTCGTCGTACACGCCCAAAAAATGCGACACAGCGCCCTGGACTCATTCTTCTTGAAGGTCAAAAAAAACGACGCACCAAGGCCCAGATCGCAGAAGATCTACAGCATGCAAAAGATGTGCAGGCTGTCCAGGCAGCGACTGCACAGCGTGGAATTAGCCACATTGCTGGCATTGAGGCTGACATGCAGGCACAGCAGTCGACTCAGGCAAGTGGGAGGGGGAAGCTGCCCGTAAAGCCCCGTCCTAGACCAGTGAAGAGTAAAAAAGCAGAAGTTGTAGCGACTAATGAACTTACCTTGGAGAGTCCTATTGTGCCGGCAACACAGGTCAAGGCCAAAGGCACAGGCAAATATGGCACCATGGGTAGGGATGCTGATGGCGTTGATGCAGGAGATGGCGAAGTGATCGGAAACGAAGTTGAGAAGTCAAAGAAGACGAAGAAGCTTAAGAAGGCCAACCTCATTTCGCGCGAGGTGATCAGTGCTGCAACGAAGCATATCATCAATCAAGGGAAGGCACCTGACAGTGACAAGAAAGGAAATCTCTATCCGTCAGTCATTTCTCTTCTCTCACCATCATGATGTTAATGCTCACAGAATCCACGCTCCACTTCATGACGCTTACATGGGCGCTCAGTAGTAGAAAACTTAACGTTGCTAGAAAGATCGATAACTGGCGAACTCTTGTTAAACCTCAGGAGGAAGTTCATTCCGAACTTCAAACGACAATAAAAAATCCTGTTTTAAGGGCCGTCCAATCTGCTTCGGGCAACACTTTGTCAGTGACAACTTTGAAATCGAGTCAGACTGCAGCAACCACAGTCTCAAGTGCGAAAGAACCCCCTCCCACCTTGATCAAATCTTCAGACGGACTGGTATCAGAGGAGGACGAGGAAGAAGATGAGGAAGATGAAGATGAAGCAGATGAAGACGAAGAGGAATTACCAGAGCAGTTGTATGGGTTCACGGCCGACAGGAAAGACAAGGCGGCAATGCAGGTAAGTGTCAGACTTGATCCGATCATTGAAATTGCTCAATTTGGTTGTAGAGTGTTGTAGCGATCTCTGAATTTTCGGATGATGAAGTGGCCGAAGCACCGGCCATCATTCCATTCAACTTATTACCATTCACGCAGCAAGCAGATATAGTAAGGTTTGCTTTAGAACAACCTCGAGCTCCAATCAGTACTACCTCCAAAAGGAAAATCGAGGACCTCGTCGGATATTACAGCTCATCCGAAGAGGACATTGCCCCCGTTGTCGTTGATGCAGAGTTGGATTTGCTTTCGGCGTCTGAGGTCGAGATTGAGGATGTTCCCAAGCCAATGCGCACCACTGGCACCGCAAAGGTGAGTATTTCTTAAAATTCTGTTATATAACGACACTGAGGCGCCTGCTTATAGACGAGTGTATCGGTCTCTGTGAATCCGAACCCATCCAAGAAAGCCAAAGTCGAACCGGCTCGCCAGGACCTGTCCAAGAAGGTGAAAACAGAACTCGTTTCTCAAAAGAAGGCCAAGGTCGATCTACCTTCCAAGGACACTAACATTCTGGTTCCCGCAACCCCTCAGCCTGACTTAATGTTTGCGGATATGGCGACAAAGCCTAAAACTATAGGGCAATGGAGAAACACAGATCTCCCGTCGATGATGTTGGAGGACGGCGCATGGCGCAGAACTTTTATACCAACAGTCTTTCTATGGGCTGGCGCTCAGCCAAAATTTTGGACCATCGAGACTGAGCAGTTACTTCCAGCACTACAATCTATCTTTGACGTTGCTTATCCAGGAACAAATCACAATATCCAACCAAAGGGCCCTATCATAGGCTTGGTACGTCTCACTTTTGCTTTTACATTTGAAATATTTTTTCTAATGTCATGTTATCCCAACCAAAGGTAAATCAGCGTCTATGCTCCTGGCGCAGTAACTTCGGATCTACAGCCATCGCCCTTGTTACTAACTTCCTCGCGGCCTCCAAAGCTGATGAGGATGATGAGGACGAGGACGACACCAGTGACTTTGAGCAAGTGCTGGCAACTAACCTTCTCGAGGACTACGCTTTCCTCTATGAGGATCCGGAGACCCGTGACCCAGACCAGATCTACCGGTCCATATTCATGTTGGAAATGATCGAGGCCGCCCACATTAATGCCATTGCTGGATTCCTTGATGTACCTGCGCTCAACACTCATGGTTTGCATTTGAATGGAATGCAGGCTGTAATTGCTGCATGCGCTGCTGCAGTAGGTCCTATCTCCAGATTCTGGCTTTTATTAATGGTCCGTTTCTATAGCTCGAACGTGCCTTTTCTTTCGCTGCAAAACCAAAAACCTCTGCTGACAACCAAAGCACTACTGCCGGCAGTACAAAGGGCAGCAGTAAGCCTCGCAAAATGCCCCTGAAGCGCAATAAATCCTCGGGCAAGGACAGCACTGCAGCGTCGGCCTTTTCAGAAGCAAACTGTGGGTTGGTGACGTCTGAATATTATGATTCCTTGCAGAGGCGTGGGTCGAAGTACACAATGGACACAATTGCCATGGTGCGTCGGCGGCAGGCAGCATCCTCAAACGCTGCTGCTGAGGAGGTAAAAACCAAGGGGGGACGTGCCCTGCTTTGTAAGTATTTTTCACTCATCGTGTGCTCTACTAGTAGTACTGACACGTCTGATAGAATGTTCTCTGTTTTTGATGCTTGTATCACTGTTTCCGCTCACTTTCCGCCGGTGGTACTATTATTAGTAGTATGCTCCAGACGCTTATGCACTCCGAGTTCCATCATAATGATCCCCTCCCCCTCTACTAGTAGGCTACTAGTAGTACTAGTAATTTGAGCCATCTTTTTCTCTACTAGTCGCACATTTTCAATACCATTCGTCATTTTGGATCACTTATTTCATACTTTTAAACTACTTTTTTTTGACTTAATGCAACTTTTGATCCCTCATATCGTGCGTTTTTGAGTGGGTTTCGCCAAAAAAAAGTTGACAATAAGTCAAGCATAAGTAGAACGTAAGTAGAATTTGAGTAGAGAGATCTACTGAAAAAAGTTGGTTCAACTTTTTTCGACCTGACGCAACTTTCCTACCGAGTCGTGCGAAAAGTTGGACATAAGTAGACAAAAAGTAAACTCGTGATTTCCTGATGTAACATTGCAACCGTGTTATAACATAGGTTGACAAAGGGCAACCGCTCGTAGTCGGTTGTGACGATTGTGTCTGCTTTCAAATTTCATCAGTTGCAACACCATGCGGCCATTGGTGGCGCGGCAAGTTGCGGCAGTGATGTGGCAAAATACCTGAGCCTGACCCGGGTCGACCTACTTTCTTGTGTAATAACGCTACTGGACCATATTACCTGTCAGACTCATCATTCTTTGGAACTCGTGGCTATTTATATAAAATGTTAACAAATGGTGACATTGGCTTCCATCCCCATCACCCTAGACTTCTTGAAATCGCCTCCCCTTGCACGACTGAGACTTTAAGGTGGAGTGGTCCTTGAATATTCCGCATGCTTATTACTGAGGACATCGTGCCAGCCATGTCTGAACTGCGTAAACGCCAGGATCCTGGCAAGATTGCTGATACGGACCCTCAGAATCATGATATTCTACCCCGCAGAAGTACTTTTGTACTGTCTTCGATGCTGTCTGGATTCGACCGTCCCCGTCTCGTAATCCTGATATTTTTTGCTGTCTTTGCGGCTTGGATCCTATCCCCCCAGGAAACTTCGTCACTCTCACATTCCTACGCAGTTTGCTCCTCATCAGGTGCTCGTATTTACACTGTGGATCATGCCGTGCCACACGCACAGTGCCTTGTTGTGGATGGGTCTTTGATACTGGACGTTGGTTCTTTGGGTACGTCAAAATAGGCAAAAGCCCAACACAAGAAGCCGAATCAGACTTATCCGTTACTAGACGATATTATGGCACGTTGGGTTGCCAGAGGTCGCCTCCGTTCTTCTCTTCAAATACGTTATTTGGACGAATCTTCGATCGTGGTTCCGGGACTTAGCGGTAAGCTGCGAGTAAAGAAACAATTATCTAAAACAACTTTTCAACGCTTCAGATTCACATGGACACATTCTCGAATATGGTGCAAGTAGGCAATTTCTTCTTGAAAATGCCAAGACGATCAAAGGTCTGCATAACAATGGCTCGTCCCGGAAGCGATCTGAGTAGTGTAACCACAATTCAGACGCAGTTGCACTCGTCCGACAATATATTTTGGACAACGATGACATACTCAATGACCCTTCAAAATTTATTGAAGGTTCGGGATGGGACCACACTTCTTGGCCGGTGGAAGAATGGCCAACCTCGGTGAGCTTCGTAAAATCATGTGCCGCGTGAATGTAGAGTTCATTACTTTGCAGGATGATCTAGATATGGACCCGATAATCCGCGGCCGGCCAGTCATCCTACAAAGCAAGGACGGCCATGCATTTTGGCTCTCGAAGGAGATTTTTGCATTAAACTCTCCGTGGCCATCAGAAATAGAAGGTGGTGTCATTATGAAAGATTCTTCTGGCAATCCAAGCGGTTCTGTTCTTTCCTTGCGGAGATATGGCTTAAAAATAGCTTACAGCAATCATCAGGTGTTGTTCTTGACAAAGCCGAAGACCTTGTGCAGAAACCAGCTCCGACTGAACAGGACTTACTGAGACATTTCAACGTCGCAGTCAAAGATATCTTGTCTCATGGTTTAACCTCCGTCCATGATGCGGGGTTCAGACCTGTTTCGCTTGAGTTTTTCACAAGGTCTCTTAAACATCCTGGTATAAAAACACATTTGACGCTATTCATGCAGACAGGCGGCGGCAGGAAATCTTCCCGTAAGTGCTCAAGGATGCCGTCATTGTGCAATTCACAACGGCCTATAGTTTCGAATTTATGGGATGAGATACTTCAATGAAACCGATCCTTACTGGGGAAACCTCTCAGAACCTATTATCAATGCAGGCGATGGCAGGCTAAATGCTCGCAGTGTCAAGATCTTTGCTGACGGTAAGATGGTGTGGTGATAGTATTAAGCTGTCACACTGACCAGTTATTCAGGTGCTTTACGCTCTGGTGGAGCAGCGGTGAGGATCTCTTTGGCTGTGTTTGTGTTTTTTTTTTGATATCTCTCAGCTCCACGAGCCGTATCATGACAATCCCCACACGAAGGGTGTCATGCGTGTGGACCCCAAAGTCTTGGCTGATGTTGTATACAAATTTTTAAGAGACGGATGGCAGGTTGTAAGTGCCGGCGATCGCAAAAATAAAACAATACGTCTCATTTGTTTTTGTCTGGAAGAACATCCATGCAATTGGGGACTATGCTAACGGTGTGGTTCTGGACGCATTCGAGGCTGCCTTGAAGGACGTCGATATAACTGCACTCAGACCTCGCCTAGAACATGCCCAAATTCTGACGCAAACTGACTTGGAACGTGTCGGAAAGCTCGGAGGTGAGCATTTTAGATCCCTCAATGTCAATGGAAGTAGAATTGTCGCTATTTAGTCATTTCAAGCATTCAACCTACGCATGCGTACGTTAAGTCATTCATCCGAATGTGTTCGCTACTCACATGTGTCACATGCGCGGAATAGTATCAGCGATATGTGGTTTGCGGAAGAACGTCTCGTGAGTTCATGGGAATCCTACTTACCGGCGTTTGCAGGTGTTGATCGTTTTCCAGGGTCCTGAGCGAGTGAAGGGTTTATATGCCTTCCGCTCCTTACTTGATCACGGCTCTCGACTCGCCATTGGGTCTGACTTCCCGGTGGAAGACATGAATCCGCTCGCTGGGTTCCATGCAGCCATTACGAGACTGACTCCTGAAGGATTATCACCCAACGGCCCGTCGGGATGGTATGGCTTTCTCGTCCACAAAATCCCCATTCAACTCATGTATGCTTCGCAGGTTTCCAGAACAACGTCTGACTCGCATGGAAGCCTTGAGAGGTACTTTACGAGAGCACTCAGATATGAGCGTCACTGATATTGGAAACAATCAATAGGCATGACGATCGATGCTGCATATGCTTCATTTACCGAAGACAGCCTGGGTTCTCTTGTTCCGGGAAAACGGGCAGACTATGTGGTGCTATCACAAGACATCATGACTGTTCCTGTTGATCAAATTTTGAGGACCAAAGTTCAAGCTACGGTGATCGATGGGCGTGTCGCCTTTGGAAAGGTTTAAGACAGAAGTGGTGCATGGAGTGGTGCTAGGGTGCAACCAAAAATTGGCTTGGAGTTCTATACGGACGAACTCCCTTGCTTTCCCCCAATTAAATACCGTTTTTGTTTTGCTTTCGATGTTTTTTCATGTTTTGTTTTGCTTTTCGCATTTGTTGTGCAATCGATTGTGTTGGTTTATATATAAGAGATGGCATCCGGAAATAACCGAAAGTAATTATATGGTCCACGACGCGTCTCGACATGTCCCCACATTTACCTTTTTCATTACTGATAGCATTTTGGAACACCTTCTGCACCATCAAGTCTAAGGCTCTTGCTTAATAAATTTATGTCTGCGTATCAGTCGCCCCTTACGGGCGAGAAACGAAAGCTGCCACTCGATACTTCAAGCAGGAAGAAAGTCGCGCTTGAGAGTACACTCGGAGGTCCCTCGACGTGTCGTGCAAGTGGTGGTAATGGAGGAGAGGCGTACTGGATGATTCAATGGTATGTGCGAGTCCCAATTCGAGTTCTTCATCTTCACCTCAAGGTACTAGGAGATACCCCCAATACAAGAAACACAAAACCTGGGAAGGAGATGCGGTTCTGGTTCTCACAGGCATCAGAGGGTCCATGTTCGACCTAGAAGGAAAGATGTACGTTTTCTTTTCTGGCCGAGAAAACTGAGGATCAAGACTAATCTGCGTCGTCGCGCTTCCAGAATGGGGGCTGGCTCCTTAAATGCGCCCAAGGCTGAGGAAAATGGAGAATATACCTTTGGAGGGAGAGAGATCAGGATTGATCATTCAATTTCTCGTGGAGAATACATGTCTGGAAAGTGCTATGGTCGAGGAAGCGCGCCATCTCCTGCGATGGCTGGCAATAACTCCATGAAAGCCTCTTCGCGTGTGACTCCTTTGCCATCAACGAAGATGAATGTACCTTACAAGATGCCAATGAAAGCCATAGACAGAAAGGCCATTGATCTTCATCCTGTCAATCTTCTGTCCATACGGGACCCTCCCTCCACGAGCTCTTTGAAAGCAAACGTGCCAGCCACTTACTGGACTGCTAATTGGTGAGCAAGGAGTGAGGCTATTGCATATATGCTGACTCTCGTAGGCGGAAGCCGCAGAACAAGAAGCACAAGACCTGGGATGGTGATGCATTCGTTAGCCATGTCGGTGACAAGCTCACTGTTATATCAGAAAAGGGGAAAATGTAAGTAGGATTTAATTATCTCGTCGGCCACCTCCCTCTGAATAGCGGTCACAGACTTGGCCGTAAGGAATGGGACGGACTCGCTCTACACAGCGGGTACGGCTTCAGCGCCGGTGGCAAACAAATTGAGTTAGACTCACAAGTGTTAGCATCGCGAATGCCTTCCGTCACCGGGGTGGAAGATACATTGCCGGAACTGGAGGAAGATGTGTCAGCGGTGCTATCCTCACCATCCAAGCCCTCATTTTTGCTTCACGTGAAAGGTGCTCTTCCTGGCAAAGAGAATGATATCACAGTCGCATCTCCAAGTGCTTCAAAAGCGTTTGTGCCCCCTGCGTCGTTTTATGGCCAGAAACCAAATACAAAGCCTGATGGACCGTTGTAAGTTCCTTCAGCTTCTTATTAACGTGGGTCATAAATCGGCTAGGCATGATCCTGAAGCAGAGGGAGCAATTGTCATGAAAGCGACGACCCCAGAGCATGCTCAAAAGTTCAACAAGAAGTACGCTCTATTATCACACTTCTATTGGAGCAAACCTGAGGTATGGTATCTTTGCAGGAACTTGCCCGCTGTAGCAGTCGTCCTAGACCCTATCATTGCAAGACATCTTCGTCCACACCAGATCGAAGGTATTCATACCATCTGAATATGTTGTTTCTTTGATGTCACAATATGTTGCAGGCGTCAAATTTTTGTATGAATGTGTCATGGGCCTACGAAGACATGAGGGTCAAGGGTGTATACTCGCCGACGAGATGTATTTGTTCAATCTGTTCGTTTACGTGTAATCGCTGATATCCAGGTTCCAGGGGTCTGGGGAAAACCCTGCAGGTCTGTTCGTTCACTCGACGTAGTTCCCCCTCGGTGACATCTTTTACAGACGATTGTTCTTGTGTGGACACTCCTCAGTGAGTTCGCTGTCTCATATCTGTGTTACAATCTCCAAGCCGGCCACCGTGACAGAGCAGAACCCCTACGTTGGCGCTGGGCCAGTAATCGGCAAGGCTTTGATCGTATGCCCTGTATCACTGGTCAATGTCTGTGTCTATTCTTCAGTAACTCTCGCTATGTTCTGATTCGTGAGCAGAATTGGCGTGCTGAATTTCACAAGTGGTAGGACAGAATCGTGTTGATGCAAGATGTATCTGAATTTGGACTTTAAGGTTAGGGAGAGATCGTGTTGGTGTTTTCACAGGCGACAAGGACAAATCCACCATCAAGCAATTTCTCAACTCGTATGCGTTGGCACCAATTGATTGGGCTCCCCACTCATTGAAATATCAGACGGTTGCATCAGGTTTTAGTCATTGGCTATGAGAAGCTTCGGACTATAATGTAAGTAGCACATTTTTACACTGTTGTGCATTTATTTATGCTAGTCAGAGACGATTTGGCATATTGCAAGTGAGTATTCTTTCTTCTGCTGCAGCGAGTGCTAATCTAAGGCTGCGCGTAGTCCTCCGATTGGATTGGTTATTTGTGACGAAGGTCAGTTGATGTGGGTAGAATATATATGCTATTGACTCCTCGGCAGGACACAGACTGAAGTCGTCAAACAATAAGACCTCGACAATGTTCAAATCGTTACGTACCGTTCGAAGAATCATTCTGTCTGGTACTCCTATTCAGAATGATTTGAGTGAATTCCATGCCATGGTGCGCATGAGGCACCTCTTTTATCGCCTTCCTGATGCTAACTTATCAAAGGCGAACTTTTGTAACCCAGGGCTGCTCGGTGAGCTGCAGAGTCTTACTTCACAAGGGACGATCAATTGATAGAATAATCGCAGATGATCACGCTACATTTCGTAGAGTTTATGAGGTTCCCATCCTCAAAAGTAGAGCACCAGATTGCACAGAGAAGGAACTCGAGGTTGGCGAGGCTCGGTCAGCTCAGGTTCGTGGAATAATTGTGTTTCGTTCTGCTGCTGAAGGACACCAAAAGTTGTCTTTGATCGCGAAAAGCTTCGTATTGCGACGGGAAGCCAGCATTCTCAAGAATTATCTTCCACCAAAATGTATCCTATCTCCCTAACTCCAGCTCAAATATCTGACGAGCTGAACAGATGAATATGTCGTGTTTATCACTCCGACGCAACTGCAATTGTCCATATTCTCGGCTATTCTTAACCCCGATAAGCTAGATAGACTGATTGATGGACCGACCGCAGAGTCGCTTGCATTGATCAACATGCTCACAAAAGTCAGCAACAGTCCCGTGTTGCTCAAGGCCCAAGTAGATAAGGCAAGAGCGACAAATACAAATGCAATTCGCCGCCCAGGTATCGATGACGCCTTGAGTTTATTGCCTAAAAATGTCCAAGTCGAAGACATCTCCATGAGCGGTGGGCCTGATGTTCTTCAATGAGGTTTGATTGGCTGATTCATCTTTATGTCAGGCAAGCTTCTGGCGTTGTCACATCTCCTCAAAGCCATCAAAGAGGTAAGTCTTTTGACTAATTGGACAGCTTGATTTGACCGCTATTTAGCGCACGCAAGAAAAGTGCATCATTGTTTCACATTATACATCAACCCTCAATTTGATCGAAGCCTTCTGCAAGAAGAAGTCTTATACTTACTTCCGGCTCGACGGGTACAGTTTTTATTCCACGTTGTAGTATTTTCGATTTTTGTCTGACATCACACCGTCATAGTCAGACACCAGCGGCGAAAAGGCAAGAATATGTCAACACCTTCAACAAATCATCTCAGTACAGCCATTGTAGGTTACTCAGTTCGCACTTATGAGCGCCAATCTGACCTTGTTGAGAGAAGTTCTATTCCTGCTGAGTTCAAAGGCGGGCGGCGTCGGACTCAACCTTATCGGCGCGTCAAGATTATGTTTGATAGATTCCGATTGGAACCCGAGGTGTGTGGCATATATAAAGATACAATAGCCCTAAATGAGATATTCCATTCAAGTCATGACCTTCAGTCCATGGCACGCATTCATCGGTGAATAAGCAAATCATCAAAAACATCTTGTCCTTATTAGATATCATAGCGATGGGCAGAAGCGGCCAGTTTTCATCTATCGATTTCTCACTGCAGGAACAATTGATGGTGAGTCTCTCTGCTGACCAGATGTGTAATGCGCTGATATGCTATCTGGGAAGAGAAAATCTATCAGAGGCAGGTGACCAAGATTGGACTCAGCAACTGTGAGTGAATTATCTGTTCTGTCGAATTCCAGTGCTCAATTATGGCTGTCAAGCTCTTATGGGTTCGGTAAGCCAATATTTGTTTTTATACGTGACGGAGTTTATATCATCACATTCAAGGGATCATCCGGCTCAAAGTCAGACTCATTTTCACGGAAAGACGTACTTCTTTTTTTTGTCTAGGAGGTGACTGGTAATTGACGTACCAATTTACAGCTTCGGGACATTTTCCGAGTCCATCCTGAGACAGGCTGCAACACTCACGACCTCTTAGATTGTGTATGCGATGCCGTTCCAAAGCATTTCGATGACAACATGACGAGTGCCTCCGGGAACGATATGGAAGTAGGTGAGGATGACGACGACGACGATCCAGCAGGAACCGGCTTCGTCAATGCATCACAAGTCAAACCTCGCCACATCGAGAAGATGGATGGAGCAGTAAGGCTTTCAATTTGATTCTTCACCATCCACAGAATTATGCTGACCATGGTTCTGCAGTACATGAAGAAGAAACAGGCGGAGCTTGCATCACTTGGAGAGTGGACACACATCAATTGCCTGCGGAGATTAACAAGCGACAATATCCACGATGTCATTCTTCGGCATCTCATTCTTCCAAGTGTGAAGGATGACAACGAAGACCTCGTGCAGCCTAAATCAAGGCTCGATTCACTTTTGTCGTCTGTTGACCTAGACAATATCACAGGCATGGATGAAATGGCACAACCGTTATCTGTTCGTGATGTCCCTGGCGGCACCATTTCGTTCCTTTTCGAAAAGACGTCCGTTTCTACCTTGGAAAAGAACAATGTGGAAGAGGACTCGATGGTTTGATAACACTTAACCATTTTTCTTGATACTTACGATGCACTCTACATACGAAAATTTTCTAATGATCCGAACGAGCTCAAATTTTATAACTAGAAGAAACGGCTGTCTTCCTCTTGGTCTGCCTACGGGACACTCAAACGAACTAGACTTTATATACAAAAGAGATGATCCAGATCGCTTGCGAGAACGAGATTGTCGAGCATACAACCGAGTACAAGAATGGAGGTTTGAGTCTCGTCAATAGCAGTATACATATGCTTGCATATAGTAATAGTACTGATATACCCTACCATAAAATTTTGCCCTGTTATCAACTTAGACTGATGACCAGCCTGTATCACCTATTATCAACTGGTGCGAGTGCGTTGTACGAGTCGATGTTTACAATGTTACAGGTGTCACACAGCACGTGACCATAACGTTTCGTGTTAACGTTTAAACCTTGCCGCAAGGATTCTTCAACGATGTGTCCAGGGTCTTTGGGAGGTAATATGTCAAAGTCCGGTGCGTGGTTTGGTTCTGCTCTAAATTTTACTCAACCATTAATGCAGGTCGCGAAGTTCGAACAATCTTATGGTTAATTAGGAATTTGAGAGGAGCCATTCCAGGAAACGGGCCTTTCGTATCAACATTGACGCCAATCGGCGAGAACCCAGAACTCCGCCTGTCAATCTTTCGTATATAGTTATTGGCGCAACTACCCTTTCTACCACTCTTTGTCTGTGATGGTGATGAAAGCCCTTGATACTTTTCAGGCTCTCAGCGAAGCAGAAGCCGAGCTAGTTCATCTCAACAAATACGCCATTATGTGGTCTTGACGGATGATGTAGACGCGCTTGTTTTCAGTGATCAAGAAGCCTGCCTCGCTGCCTCTCTAATAGGATGAGGAAGATTCTAACGGCGTACCCCCAAGCGGGTTCGATCGGCTGTTTAACCAGGATGAGACCCGAGAAACTTTCACCATTCCGAGACAATTTCGCTGTTGGCTCCGAGCTGATAAGAACAGAAGGTCATGTATTCGCCAGCTTCCAAAGAAGAGAAAGACATAACCGACTGCAACTCAATTCCATATCATCAGCCCACCGAGTCGCGATATCTCGCATCCCCATGTTTAGCCCTGCTTCGATCCCAATATCTTGAAAGTATTCGACGATTTCGAGGAAGAGATTTTCCGGCTAATATCTGTCTTCACCGGGATATTTCCAAAGCCCCTGCCCTCTTCGATCGAATGTGAGGTTTGACTTCTGTATAATGATTGTTATATGTAGTAATAACCATTCAGCGACATTTCATGCACCCACATCTACGCAACCCTGGCGATCTTTCTGAATGCACCGCATCTTACGGTCCCTACACCTTCATTTCTCCTGACAATCGTTTCTGCGTCAACGTGTCCAACTCTACGTCAACCAATCAACATTTGCACCATCTAGCTCTACCCTGTGTCACTTTCTCGTATGTCACTTGACACACCATGCAAAAAAAGGCCAAAGTAATACATGTGTGGCTTGCAACATATATCTCGAACCTGTTCGAGCTCCGTCCACGTTCCAGTCCCACCAGAGTTCCATAGGTATTGCATCTCCAACTTATGGTTGACAGGAGCATCCGCAACCTGCTGATGGCAGAGAATCTGCGAACTTCCTGATGGGAATGATACCAGGTCTGACTCATGGTGCTGTGAATGTTGCTTACTTGTCACGATGTTGAAAATTTGCGAGCGGTCGACCTCTCGTGTAGATTGAATATGCTTGGAGATTGTCTACGGAGTCCCACAAGCACTAAGTGCAACAATGCATGACTGGCAGCAGATATCTCATGTTGGTGCATTATATTTAGTCACATGTAATTTACATGTAATTTACATCAAATTCGCGTTTGTCTACTTACACGGAGACCCTCAAGGTAAGGCCGTATTACCGACAACGACAGTCTATAATCGAATGAGGTACAAGTTCAATGGGAGGTCAAACTACGTTTGGCTTGATCATATCAATCAACTGTTTTGCGACCTCTGGAGACATGCCACAACGCTTCGTGAGATGAGGGATAAGATCCTTCCTTCTCACACTCGAACTCCCTATAAGTAACCCCTTTAGCTTGCGCATCAACCACACGAGCAGGCTGTGCCCTCTCATACATGCCTGCTTCTGCCCGTCAGCCGTAAAATTCTTGACAAGGTTGCGGATCGTGATGCGCGATTCTTCATAAAGGCCTTTGTGTCTGTCGTCCGATCTATTGGCAGCGGTGATGCACGCATGACCGGCGACCTTTATTTGATACTTGTTGAAGGTGCCCTCGTTTCTCTCCCACCAGTCCTCCATCCTTTGTTCTCTTTCAAGGCTTGTGACGGCGAGAACAATGGGAACCTTCTTCTTGCAGAGGAATTCGTGAAAGAGCCAATAATTGCCTTGAAGCGTAGTAGTGATTTTGCCGGCGCGAACGCAGAATAGAAGCAGGTCAATGCCGCCTCGCCTATCCAATTCCCTGACGAGCTTATAGGCGTTTTCGACAGATTCGAGGTACGCTTTGATTTCCAGCTGCGATTCGTCGAGCCCGATGGTTTCGAAAACCGTATACGAGTCACCATCGAAGTCGATGGTATACTCTTTCCACTGCATTGTACGACATTGCGTGTCAGGAGATGTACGTGCTACCTCCTCTCCCGCCATGAGGTTGACGAGTGAGCTTTTGCCTGCTCCCGTCTCCCCAAAGAGTACGATAGTTTTGTGCCTGTTCTTGCTAATCAAAGTTAGCAAAATGTGGCGCGAGGAGTAACTAGAAACCGAGTACCTTGCAGCCATTTTAGGAGATACCTGCCGGATAGTGTCATGTTGCCTTTCGCCGGCATCCCACAGTAGACGTTGACCCCCTTTCGAGCAACACTTCTCGATAAGTTGACAGACGGCGTGGTATGAATTGCAGGTTTCCTCTTTGTGATTCGAAGCCTCACTCTGGTTTGGAATACAAATATGATTTCGCGTCAAATCTATGCTGAGGAAGCATCAAAGTTATCACTTACAGTGCATAGTTTACCACCAACAGACAACATTGCAAAGATGGATCAACTCCAGACAAGACAGGAAAAAGCGAAGGGCAGTTCTTGACTTTGCGTTTGGTGTTTTTAAGGTACTAGTATCTTCCGATTAGTTGAATCATTTGTCAGTAGTAAGTACGTCAGACTCGGACGTACGTTCAGGTGCCAAATCAGGGGAAATGAACTACGACGCAAGGGTACTGCATGTTCCATACGCTGTTAGAACGACGTTGGATGCACATCCTCTAAGTAGCTGGAGTTGACTATCGCCCAGGTGCAATGGCTGTGTAGTCCTTGATAAGGGTATGATATTTATTAATTAGCAATGCAGAAGGGGGTCAACCGATCGTGTATCATGAGGTAATTGATAAAGCTACAGACCGTGCAAGACGTATTACAAACGCGAAGCGCCAATCTTCTCTTTGAAAAAGCGGTCGCAGTGACGTGATAGTCGCAACGTGCGTGATTTAATGTGCTGGCAATCCCTGAGGCCTGAAGCCCAAATATGAGGGAATAAGGCCCGGCTAAGGGATCATTTTCATCAGAGATTGAAGGGACTACGAAGGTCGATAATGTGCACTGGCGGGCATCCTGTAAAAGCACCATAATCAGCATAATCCTCAGCAAGAACTCACCGGTTTACTGATGGGTCAGAGAGTATCTCGCATGACGAAATTGATGCCGAAATTGCGGCTCCCGAAGAGTTGAAGAAGACTGAAGAAGTTCGGGACATCAACGAAGTTACAGTGCTGGATCCAGAGCAATGCTGGAGGGAAATGTTTTTGAGTTAGTAGATAGATCGGGTCGAACTATTCTAGCTAGATTAGGTTGAGGTGGTTGATTACAACAGCGAGGATGACGGATGGGACAAGGCAACATCAGTGATGTCACCGTTTGGAATGAAACGTGTTTGGCTTACGCTCCGAAGTACCACTAAAGAGGGCGTATTCGGGGGGTTCCGCCAGCCAAATAATTGTGTGGCAAACACGAAGGAAACCAATTTCATGTTTGAATATCTTTCTGAAGTTCACACATGAGACATTCGCTTCCCAGGTTGCGCCATACTAGCGCATGGACATACAAGTTGATAATCGCAACGACAGCTATAATCGGCTAAGGTATGAGTTCTTTGGGAGGTCAAGCTAGTTTTGCTTGATCATATTAGCCACCTGTTTTGCAACGTCTGGAGATATGCCACAACGCTTCGTGAGATGAGGGACAAGATCCTTCCTCCTCACATTCGAACTCCCTATAAGCAACCCCTTCAGCTTGCGCATCAACGATACAAACAGGTTGTCCCCTCCCATCCATGCCTGCTTCTGCCCGTCGGCAGTAAAATTCTTGACAAGGCTGCGGATCGTGACGCGCGATTCTTCATAAAGGTCTTTGTGCCTGCCTTCCAATCCATTGGCGGCAGTGAGGCACGCATGACCGGCGACCCGGATATGATATTTTTCGAAAGTGCTATGGTGCCTCTCCCACCAGTCCTCCATCCTCTGCTCTTTTTCGAGGTGTGTGATCGCAAGAACAATTGGAACCTTCTTGTCGCAGAGGAATTCGTGAAAAAGCCGATAATTGCTTTGAAGCGTAGCAGTGACTCTGCTAGCGCGAATGCAGAATAGAAGCAAATCAATGCCGCCTTGTCCATCCAATTCCTTGATGAGCTTATAGGCGTTGTCGACAGACTCGAGATACTCTTTAGTTCCCAGCTGAGGTTCTTCGAGCCCGCTGGTATCGAAAACCGTATACGAGCCACCGTCGAAGCCGATAGCATAGTCTTTCCATTGCATTGTACAGCGTTCCATGTCAGGAGATGTGTGTGCTACCTCCTCCCCCGCCATGAGGTTGACGAGTGAGCTTTTGCCTGATCCCGTCTCCCCAAAAAGTACGATAGTTTTATTCCTGTCCTCGCTTGTTAATATCGAACAAATACAGAGCTTCACCTGGAGACTACGTGCCTGTCAGGAGCCGGTGGTCCAGTGGTACCAGAACTGGAACTTGAAGCCGTGCCATGCGGCTTACTAGTAGTCCTACATATCAATATGAGAAACCACAGTACGAAAAGCATCTGAAGACTACATACTCTGAAGCCATTTAAGAGGGATGCTCCTGATAGTGCACAATTGAAGCGTTTTACCGACACTGAATGATGCGGCAGCTCTTATAAAGATAGACGCAGACTTGCAGGAGACCACGTTTCTTGCGCCCATCCTTCAGACGCCAACCCGTGGTATTGAAAACAATACCTGCCATATTCTCAAACAACTCGAGGCAAACTCGTGTTAAACTCGAGGATCTGATTAGTATGAACCACCTGTTGAAAGAGATAACAAGTAATAGTTCTTGAAAACCGAATCTCACGTTCATAGTGTACGCGGCCGCGAGCTGCAACTACGTCAAAATTGCGTATAGGGCTGTTTTCTTTCGGTCCCTGCATAAGGTCGTACTGTTTGCAAGGGTCATGGCACCTGCCCGCATCCCAGCCTATCGGACGGAAGATCGATAAACACTTCAGGGCGCTGGTAGTAGTGCTAAACCAGGTTATAAAACTGAAATTGGTGTCCTGCTTCGAATTATGTAACTGCGGCATAACTGAAGCAGCCGGGATGTGAAAGTTCCCGACTCCCGAGTGCTCGGAAGAAACCGGCACCATACATTTAATAGTTTTGTCCAGCTGTGCCCGTCATAATTATGTACGCCTATATTGACCAACTGTTTTGCAACTTCTTGAGACATACCTTCTTTTGTAAATCAAATGAAGGCTCGGAGATTGTCCACGGAGTCCAGCAACACAAGGACTGAGTGCAACAATGCGCGACTGGCAACAGATATCTCATGTCGGTACATCACCCAATGATTTTCATCGAATTGGCGTTTGCCCAGGCATATTTGCGCGGAGACCCTTGACCTGCGCATTTATATAATGCGGCTTGAGACCATCACACTGAAATATGATATAACTGTTTGCAATGTGTAGTATGTAGCGATCCATAAGGGTAAGCCGTATTATCGACAACGACAGTCTATAATCGGGATTAGGCATAAGTTCAATAGGAGGTCAGGCTTGTTTAATCATATTAGCCAACTCTTTTGCGACATCTTGAGATATTCCACAACGCCTTGTGAGATGAGGGACAATATCCTTCCTTCTCACATGTGAACCCACTGTAAGTAACCCCTTCAGCTTGCGCATCAACGACACGAACAAGCTGTCCCCTCCCATCCATGCCTTCTTCTGCCCGTCGGCAGTAAAATTCTTAACAAGGGTGCGGATCGTGACGCGCGATTCTTCATAAAGGTCTTTGTGTCTGCCGTCCAATCTATTGGCGGCGGTGATGCATGCATGGCCGGCGACCTGGATATCATATTTTGCGAAGGTGGCGCGATTCCTCTCCCACCAGTCCTCCATCCTATGCTCTCTCTCGAGGTTCGTGATCGCAAGAACAATGGGAACCTTTTTCTCGCAGAGAAATTCGTGAAAGAGCCGATAATTGCTTTGAAGCGTAGCAGTGACCCTGCCGGCACGAACGCAGAATAGAAGCAGATCAATCCCGCCTTGTTGATCCAATTCCTTGACGAGCTTGTAGGCGTTTTCGACAGACTCGAGGTATTCTTTAATTCCGAGCTGCGGTTCCTCGAGTCCGATGGTATCGAAAACCTTATACGAGCCATCGTCGAAGTCGATAGTATACTCTTTCCACTGCAACGTACAGCGTTGCATGTCAGGAGATGTATATGCTACCTCCTTTCCCGCCATGAGGTTGACGAGTGAGCTTTTGCCTGCTCCCGTCTCCCCAAAGAGTACGATAGTTTTAGTTTTACGCCTGTCCTCGTTTGTTAATGTTGGAAAAATAGGGAACTTCATCTGGAGACTACATGCCTGCCAGGTGCCGGTTGTCCAGTGGGATGGGAACTCGGAGTGGAAGGCATGGCTTCCAGGTTAGTTCTACATATCAATGAGACAATTACAGTACGAAAAGCATCTGAAGACTACGTACTGTGGATGCATTTAAGAGGGATGCTCCTAATAGTGCTTAATTGCAGCGTTTGGCCGACACTCGATGATGCGGCAGTTCTTATAAAGACAGACGCAGACTTGCAGGAGATCACGTTTCTTGCACCCATCCTTCAGACGCCAACCCGTGGTATTGAAAACGGCACCCGCCAGATTCTCAAACAACTCGAGGCAAACTCGTGTTGGACTCGAGGATTTGATTAGTAACCACCAGCTGTTGAAAGAGATAATAAATTATAGTTCTTGAAACTTGGCAGATCTCACGTTCATAGCACACCTCGATCACAAACAACGCAGAGCTGCAACTACGTCAAAACTGCGTATAGGGCTGATGAGTCCATCCAAGTTGGTGATCGGTATTATGTGACGTGACTCCCGCGTCGTACTTATCTGTGACGGCCCTCAGGCGTGACATTAGCTCATAGAATAAATAAAGTCTCACTCTCCATGTTTCATGCCTTGGAACCACCCGTCTCATCCACCATTGAACATGTCGCAGATGCGGCAAACGTCCCCTTCTGACCAAAGAAGTCATAAATTTGTCGCAGCCTGCTGCCTTCTGAACTTGAGATGTCATTTTCAACATGAACATTTTCTCCCCGACTCGGACACGCATTTTTCATTATCGCCGTTGTCGGCACCTAGGTGCCCCAACCAGTGCAACAGCCGAAAATGAGGCCAGTGGAGTGCTCTTGGGTCTCATCAGCCTGCCACTTTTTCTCCACGTTTAAATGTTCCAGTCTTGACACCACATCAGCAGCAGCAAATGCTTTACTCCTCCGCACAGCAGCAGGCCCTACATGCACAAGCGCAGATGCAGGGACATTGACAATCCAACAGAAGTCCGTTATACGTTTCATTTATGTAAATGATGTCAATTGCCAAAAACTCAAATTTTGTGGTGGCCTGCTGATCTAAGCGGTTATATTGACATAATATATTTAGGCTGCTCGCCAGCGACCTTCGTGATCCTCTTATGAAAACGATTCCATAGCCAGGACTTCTCCCATCCATCGGAGCCGCAGTCACTCAATACGGTCCCGGGAGAATGGCACAGAAAGACCAACGATAAAAGTTTGGTAACCCCAATTATTAGCCCAAATAGGTCCTAGTACATTAACCCTACTACTACAACAGATGCATTTAACTAACCTCTTAACCGGTTATAGTAACCAACAACAACAACAACTTCGGGGTTGTTCCCTTAGATTTGGGCCTCAGGGATCGCAAGCACACTAAATCACGCATGCTGCTACTACCACGTCTCTCGCACCGCTCTTTCAAAGAGAGAATTGGCGCTTCGCGTCTGGAATGCGTCTTGCACGGTCTCAATCAATTACCTCATGATACACGACCGACCTCAGGGCTGCCGCATTGGTTTATACCCTAGTCATATCCAGGACTACGCTGCACCTGAGCCAACAGTTAACTCCAGCCACTTAGAGCATGTACAAAGCCAAACGCATACGCAGCACGGGTCTTACGCCATCCAACGGCGTATGGAACATGCCGTATCCTTGTGCCACAGTGGTCGATTTTCACTGTTCCGGTACCTAGTTGGGAGATACTACCTCAAAAACGCCAAACGAAGTCAAGACCTGCCCTTCGCTATTTCCTGCCTTGTCTGGAGTTGAGCCATCTTTGCAATGTCGTCTGTTGGAGGAAAAATATATACTGTAAGTGGTGACTCTGGTGGTTCCTCAGCATAAATTTGACGCGAAATCACTTTCGCATTGGAAACCAGAGTGAGGCTTCGCATCACGCAGAAGAAACCTGCAATGTTGTCATTTTTGGAGAAACGGGCGCTGGTAAAAGCTCCTTGATCAATTTGGTCGTTGGGACGCAAAAGGCGCTGACATCCTGCAACGCTGTGGGATGTACGACTGAAACAAATGTGTACGACGTTTTAATTCAGAACGAGGCCTTGAACGTAAAGCTTTTCGATACAGTCGGTCAGTGCAATTCGCCGCTCTTTGGTGTTTGTTGCTGAACTGGATTGCAGGTCTCGGCGAAGGCTCTGAGGGAGAAGTCCCCGATAAGGACGCTCGAAAAGTTCTGAAAACACTCCTTCGAGATCTTATGAAGCAAGATGACATCCATCTCCTCATGTACTGTGTGCGGGGTGTGAGAGCGACGAAGGCGCTCTATCGCAACTACGATTTAGTCCGCTCGGAAGTGAAGGAGAGAATTCCAATCGTTCTTGTCGTCACAAATTTAGAAGACAAAGAACCAGAGATGGAAGAATGGTGGAAGCATAACGAGCGATCCCTCTCAGACTTCGGGATGACCTTTGATGGTCACGCATGTGTTACCACAACGACTATTGATGAATATGCAGGGGATGAGCTTAAGCGGCGTCACAAACAGTCATACCATGCCGTCTGTCAACTTATCGAGCGGTGTCGCTCGAAAGGGGCTGCAAGGTACTCATTTTCAGCTGCTCATCGTGCCACATTTTACCAACTTTCATTAGTAAGAACAGGCGTAAAACCATCGTACTCTTTGGGGAGACGGGAGCAGGTAAAAGCTCACTCGTCAACCTCATGGCGGGAAAGGCGGTAGCACATACATCTCCTGACATGCAACGTTGTACGTTGCAGTGGAAAGAGTATACTATCGACTTCGACGGTGGCTCGTATAAGGTTTTCGATACCATCGGACTCGAGGAACCGCAGCTCGGAATTAAAGAATACCTCGAGTCTGTCGAAAACGCCTACACGCTCGTCAAGGAATTGGATCAACAAGGCGGGATTGATCTGCTTCTATTCTGCGTTCGTGCCGGCAGGGTCACTGCTACGCTTCAAAGCAATTATCGGCTCTTTCACGAATTTCTCTGCGAGAAAAAGGTTCCCATTGTTCTTGCGATCACGAACCTTGAAAGAGAGAAGAGGATGGAGGACTGGTGGGAGAGGACACACAGCACCTTCGCAAAATATGATATCCAGGTCGCCGGACATGCGTGCATCACCGCCGCCAATAGATTGGACGGCAGACACAAAGAACTTTATGAAGAATCGCGCATCACGATCCGCAACCTTGTTAAGAAATGTGTTGCCGACGGGCAGAAGCGGGCATGGATGGGAGGGGACAACTTGTTCGTGTCGTTGATGCGCAAGCAGAAGGCGTTACTTACCGGGGGTTCACATGTGAAAAGGAAGGATCTTGTCCCTCGTCTCACGAAGCGTTGTGGCTTATCTGCAGATGTCGCAAAACACTTGGCTAATATGATCAAGCAAAATGTAGCTTGACCTCCCATTGAATTTATACCACATCCGATTATAGACAGGCTGTCGTTGTCGATAATACGGCTTACCCTTATAATTATGGATCGGTACACATATGATAATGTTTATCTGCCTGTTATTCGGGATTTCCCCCATTTCCCTTCAAAGACTCCGCCCTGCAGACTTTGGTCCCAGACTAGCGAATCAGACACAAACATAAACACAATTCCACACGCGAGCCCTGCTTGTTTTCATACAACTCGCACAGGATCATTGATCATCTACAACGCGTTGATCGGCACCGCCCGTTCCAAACCACCTTCCTAGCCTACACGCGGGAATGTACTACCAAAATGAATGTTGAATACATCTCGACCTTGTCCAAGACATGATCGAGGCTCACGAAGTTCGCTGTAGCAGTGTCAGCAAGTTTAAGTACTGTGACTGGGAGGGTTCGGAGTCCAGACCAGGGACCCAGGTCCGCCATCGTTTTAAATTCACCTGTATGCCAGTCTCGCCAACTCGACAAGCCAGCTCCAGCTCCGAGGCGCATGTGCGAACTGCCATTGCATGACCAACATGCTGCAACAGGTTGCATACTGATATGCCGTTCAATGCTAGCTTTCTCGCATCTATGGCCGCATGGAACAACATGCTGAATACATGCATCGTGATCGATATTTAAATTTGGCGCCTCGAACACCAACGTTCCGGAACATTTTACCTGAGGGTATCAGACTGGGGACTCAAAAAACAGAACACGCTTGCAAGTCGAGACTGCCTCTCACTATTAACCTTGTTCCAAGTTGAGTCTTTTTGATCATGTCTTTATCTACTCAGAGCCGACCATGTACTGTAAGTGGTGTCTGACTCTTCGTCAGCATACTGCTGACTTAGTGCTGATCAGAGTCCCGATGGTATCGACGATATTCGAGCCAGAGAAGTTTTACATCCCACGGAAACATGCAATATTGTCATTTTTGGAGAAACAGGAGCTGGTAAAAGCTCCTTGGTCAATTTGATCACCAGGAAGCAATCGGCGGCAACGTCCTCCGACGCCATGGGATGTACCACCAAAACAAACGTGTACGAACATGACGTTGCGATTCAGAACAAGACCTTGAAGGTAAAGCTTTTCGATACAGCCGGTAAGCGCAGTTAATCATTCTTGGTGGGCCTCACTGACTTCATTGCAGGTCTTGATGAGGGCTCCGAGGGAACGGTCCCCAATAAGGAGGCTCAAAAAGTTTTGAAGAAGCTCCTTCAAACCCTTGCGGAGCAGGATGGCATTCACCTCCTTATATACTGCGTGCAGGGCACGAGAGAGAGCATGGCGCTCCGCCGGAACTACATGTCGTTGTATTCCAAAGTCAAGGGGAAAGTTCCGATCGTCATCGTTGTTACACGTTTGGAAAACCAAAATCCGGACATGGAAGAATGGTGGAGGAAGAACGAGCAATCCATCTCAAACCTCAATATGACCTTCGCTGGCCACGCATGCGTCACTACAATAACCATCGATGAAAGTGACAGTATCGACCTCAAGGAGCGTAGCGAACAGTCATACCATGCCCTCCGCGAACTTATCGACAAGTGTCGCTTGCCCAATGAGAAAGGTTTCCGCGACGTCGAATGGGCGTGCGATGACCATGAAAGAGACCACCCGCGAAGCGTAATTGTCTGCGACTCTGCTGTCCCAGCCCCCTTGAATGTTTGCAACATCGCAGGTGTCATCAATGGCGCATGGGTCAGATCCACGGTAGTCATGCGCGGGCATTACTACATGTTTCAGCGCGTAACTGCACCCTATCCACCCGCAAAACGGTCCAAAGGAGGTGTCGGTTTCGAACCTTGCTTGTTAATTTTTTATGTGGACAAGAACGAGTCTGTCAATACGCAGAGAACGGAAGTGCAGAAGTTTCGCAAGGTCTACGCGAAATCCAAGGTCGGCTTAGTTGTTGTGGTCTGCGGCTGCGACAGTGATGAAGATGCGAAAGGATGGTGGGAGGGGTCAAATGACACTGGCAAGGACTCATTGTTAGCGCCATCCATTACCTTCACTTACTTACCTCGCGATGGGTCGGAACGTTCTGAGAGTGCTCAAGAAACACTCCAAAAGTTGATTTGGGAGCTATCTCGCACTGGAGAACCTTGTACTTCTGTGGTCCGAGACCTTCTCAATCGTGTATTGGGGTATCTCATAAGAGTAGTCTAGCATAATTTCCCAAACATCCGCAGCCTTGAATGTAGATGGTGGTCGGTTCAAACAGCAGGCGATTGAGAGACTTCTGAGTGATTGGGCATTATAACATAACTCTCCAGTAGACCGATACTAAATAGTAAATACATATGTTCGAATTCATGAAGTCCAGTACAGTTCAGATGACAACTCTATACCAGAATTATAAGAGTGAATTATGAGCGACTCCAAGTCTCTTTCTTCTAGTCCACCCGTGGACCTGCCAACCTCACGCTTTCTTGCACATCGCTTTCGTACAACTTGAACGCCTTTTGGAACATGCCCGCAAGCTTGCGAACCTCACGTTCAAAAGCCTCCTTATCTGCCCAGGCCAGACGCGGGTTGAGCACTTCGCGTGGAACACCCTCCACCGCGGTAGGAATCTGGAGCCCGAAGCCGCCAAAGGTCTCATATTCGCTATTGAGAAGCTCCCCGGAGTGTACGGCATCGACGATGCGGCGGGTGTATTTAAGTGGGCAGCGCTTGCCCGTGCCGAACTTACCACCCGTCCAGCCCGTGTTGATTAACCAGCAGGGAACGTTGTGCTTAGACATGCGCTCGGCCAGCATTTCTGCATAGCGTCCAGGCTGACACAGAAAGGCTTAGCTCAGAAGCTCCTAGGAAGAGATGAAAACCCACGTGTAACACAATGAAAGGTGCGCTGTAGCAGGTTGAGAATGTTGGGATAGGTTCAAGCACACCGTCCTCCGTGCCAGGCGTTTTCCTTCGAAATTGACTCAGCGAGTAGCGCCGACGGAAGTAAAAAATACACTTACGAGGTGTAACCAGCAAGGAAATGGTAGCTTGCTTGCTCTGGGGTAAGTTTACTTACAGGTGGAAGGACACCGAACGCGTCACACGTCAACATGATGATGTTGCTCGGTTGTCTGTCCACCATGCATGGGATCTTGGCGTTTGGAATGTATTCGATTGGGTATGCGCAGCGTGTGTTCTCCGTGATGCTAACATCGTCGTAATCCGGCACGCGCGACAAAGGGTTGTATACGACGTTCTCCAGAATGGAGCCGAAACGAATGGCATTGAATATTTCCGGCTCCTTCTCGCTCGACAGGTTGATGCACTTGGCATAGCATCCTCCCTCGATGTTGAACACCCCAGTGTCCGACCACACGTGTTCATCATCGCCAATGAGAAGGCGGTTTGGATCAGCGGAGAGAGTGGTCTTTCCGGTTCCGGAAAGGCCGAAGAACAGGGTGACATCGCCCTTCTCCATCCCGACATTGGCAGACGAGTGGAGGGAGAGCTGGCCAAACTTCACAGGTTGAAGATAGTGCATGACGGAAAAGACTCCTTTCTTCATCTCGCCGGCATACTCAGTGCCGAGGATGACCATTTCCATGCGCTTAAAGTTGATTTCCACCGACGTGGTGGAGGACATGCCCTTGGTGAAGCGGTTCGCAGGGAATTGACCGGCATTGTAGATGATGAAGTCGGGCTCGCCAAAGCTTGCGAGCTCTTCCTCGGTCGGGCGGATCAACATGTTGTTCTTCCAGGTTGTCAGAAGAGGAAATGCATGTGATTGTATTTACATACCATGAAGAGAGCATGATATGCACGGGCACAAATGACCCGAACCTTGATACGGTATTTGGGATCCCACTAAAAACAGTTAGTGCGAGCCCGTACAGTTGAAACACAGGACTTACACCAGCAAAACCATCGAAGACGTAGACATTGTCACGCGTATTCAAATAGTCGATGGCACGCTCGCGGTTAATCTCAAACGTGTCTGGAAACAATTGCTGAGACAAGGGACCGGCCGGCGTGCAACGGAGTAAACTCACGTTCGTCCATCTTAATATTCACGGAGCCCCACCATATATCATCCTTACTCGTCTCCTCATAGACGATTCGCTTGTCCTTAGGACTTCTGCCGGTCTTCTTACCAGAGAAGTTGATGAGTGCGCCGGATGAGGAAATAATTGCGCCTTCATTGCGGATGGCGTCTTCGTAAAGCTGGGCTACAGGTGCGTTGCGCTTCAGCTGGATCCTATCCATGTCAAAGCCTGCCTGCGAGAAATACTCGAGGTCACGGCCAATGACTGTTTGAAATATTTAGGTGGATAGGAGGTATAGTAGTTGGGTGCACTGACGGTTACTATGAAATTCATTGTCAAAAGCCTGGGCGTAATGTTTGTGTAAGATGTGGGGTGTAACATAGGGTGTCTGGTGGGGATGAACCATTGTGGTGGACGAATATGAAGGAGTCTGATGAGGTTGGTCAACAAAGAGTTGTAAAAATCAAGACAATAAAAAAATTGATGATGATGACGACGATGATGATCCGAGCAAGATCCGTGGTGAGGACCGGAGTGAACTCCGCCTGTTCGGGTACCCCGCATGGGATGATTTATGGGGCTGGCATCAGTGACAACAGTGACAAGGCACTTACTCTATGATGCGAATTACGATCGCGAATTAGATGATGGCGGTTGAAACGGTATGCGAAACTCGAGTTTTTGGAGGGTTTTATACCAACGACGAAGCATTGCCGGAACTTCATCCCATAATCTCCCGATGGTGTCACCAATGGCTATGTAGCTACTAGTACACCTTTACTCAGAGCCTCTTTATGTCCACCTCTTTTACAATGCCTCGTTTAGTATTGCTTCTAATGATAAATATCATCATGATTTCCTGTCAGAAACTTGTCCAGGAATCAGCACCAACCTCAGACTTGTAGCACGCCCAACAGAACTTCAAAGCTCCGGTTCACTCCGGGCGCTACGTACGACGGGATACCGCCTGACACCGCCGGAACAAGCAGGGACCAGGGTCAGTATCGATTGAACTGACTTTATCACAAAGTGGAAGAAGGTAAATTGGTATGTATGTCACGCGTACGATATTAGCTTGAGGTAAGCAGCGCGACTCGATTTGCCAGCGCACTGATCATTCTAATTTTTGCCAGGGGAAAATCCTGTTATCTCATGGTCCGTCTGCTTTAAACTCAATGCTCACGGACACTGATAATAATACACATGTTGCTTCCGCAGCATCAAACACTCCATCCTTCCAGTACATCAAGTACATGGACTTGGCTCATAACTACTCATTACCCAAACACTCATCTCTCGGATCAGACCACGGCTCGCCTTTACACGGTCACCGTGCACCTACACAGGCTGAAAAACTGGACCTTCGTATTGTCCATATCGTACATGACTACCTTCGGTTTCCTTTCTCCTTCCATTCTGGTCTCCTCTCATTGCCTTTTCCTTTTCGGTTTCAGTTTCCCTAGTATTTCACGGCTGAATGCTTCAGCTGCCGTGTTGGGTCTCCAGCGCGACCTTAATCATCCCATCAACGCCTTTCGTACCATGGCACAGATTACACTCACGGACTGGTCGTGCATGCTCAATGGTTGTCGCTACCCCTTAGCGGAATGATCAGATCATCTCGTCATCAGTCCTTTGTTCGTGCCCATGAGCGCCTCCCCTGAGCATGGATTTTGGGACGACAGACCCTTCTTGATGTCAATTGCTCTATTGTGCCCACCGATCAGTCTCACTTGCTCGACTCGGGGCATGTCAGCATACGTCATATCCTAAACAGTTCACCACGGCTCGCTTTGTCCTTCCCGAGTGCCGCCTTGCCAGCACTGACGCGACATGGTTTCACACAACTCTCTCGCTTCGGATCTTGGTCTGCGCAAAATACTGCCTCACAATTTTGTTTTGAGCCTTCGCATAACTTGACGACTGCACTATCTACTGCCGCGCCATCGCTACGGCGTCATCTCCCTACGTTGCTCTTTTGGCTCCAAAATCTCTCCCGGTCAACGGAACATATGATGAAAAACTGGCTATTGCTCGTCCTCTGCGACGCTTACATGCTGAAGAACACATCATAGCATTGTCATTCCTACATACCGTTCCCACGACCTCCTTCTCTCAACAACATCCTCTTGCTGCCTCGGACGCATCAATGCTCCCATCACCAGCATCACTTTTCCAGGCTCGCTCGGTTACTTCTGCAGCTGCAACACCTAATAGCCAGGTGGTATTCTCACTCGCGAGCTATGGAACATCAGCAGGGATCCTGCATGGCGAGCTACTAGGCATCATAGCTGCTGTTTTACTATCTATTCAAGCTAACCCGCAAGAACCCCACTCCGTTTTGACAGATCACAAAAATGCAGTCCACATGATACAAGAAGTACTTCCCCTCACATCGGGAACAATCAGCCAGCGCGTTCCTTGTATCGCTGCTTGTTTTCACTTCTACACTCTCCAACACCCGCGCCCTCACTCGTCTGGACCGCTGCTTATACCAACGGCCTTACGCCAGAATGTCTCGCCAATGATTATGTTGATCGGTTGGCCTTGTTTGCACAAAATCGACGCGGTGTTATTCCCTCTGCGCCCCTGGCAACTTTCGCGATGGATGATTACACTATGTTTGCATCCGGTTATGGTTTTGGTGGAAACAACTTGTTCTTTTTCCTCATTTCTAGGTTCGAAGATTCTTATGCGTTAAGCGACTCCTTTCGTCCAGCGCAAGCCCTGACTCTTGCACTGTATGACAGTCATCGCCTGCCGGACTTCCCATATACTCGGGCATCTAGCTCTTTCTCTGCCGTCGTACAATTATATGCCCGATCATCGCAACTTGATACCACAGATCTAGAGGTGCGGCATCAGCGTTTTCGTGATACGCCGCCCTGGTGTCATTTCGGTTGTGATGCCTGTGAGAGCGTTCACGATATTTTTGCTCGCTGCCCGGCCTTCTTGGCTATCTGTCGTGCGCATGGCATGCAGCTGTGTGATGAGACCTCCTCGCTGCTTGAGGGCAAGCCTGCTGATCGTGTGCGAGAGGTCTTGGAACGAGCGGCTCAGCGCCTGTTTTCTGACGACGCGGGGCTTTGGCTACAATATCGGATGCGTGTTTACATGGGTGTGCTACCCCCACTTGCGCGTATTGTGGGCAACATGAGTGAGACAGAAGTGGGTGTATTACCCCCACGGTCTCATGATATGGGTAACCTTGCGTCTGGTAATGCGGGTGTCTTACCCCCGCAGCTGGATAGTACGACGATAGAACCTAAGGTGTCGTCACGATTAGCGCAGGCATGGCACGTGCATAGTATTCGGCTTGCAGGACGTATTTCGTTCCTTCTGATATAGTGACATATAAGTTTTTGGACACTTATGCGTACCTGTTACCAGCGAGTTTGCGTGCTTCGCTTTGATTTCGGACATTTGATTGGATTCGGGACGTTTTTGTTTCATTGGTAGTTGAGCCATCGAGGAACCTAATTACCTGAGCTTATGTGAGCGTAGATGGCCAAATATAATTCCGCTGCGCGCTCAAATTTCAAAGTTCACATACTTCATGAGCGGATTGACTATTCAGGTCACAGTATACATAAATACAGGAGACTACATTCTTAGGCTCATCATTTTTCACGCTCTGCCTGGCATTCGAAGCTATTCTTCGTGCGCGCAGCGGGAAATTTCACGATGACGGAAACCCCATTTACGAGTCACTCCACTCGCAGAATCAACGCAGATGCTTGTGGTCCGCGGTCTAACTCCGCTGTCCTGTATTTGGACAGCGATTCGTCCGAGGCAAGATTGAAATGCGGGTTTTATCCTCACAGCCTTGTGGGATATTATTTAGTATGCATATAATTCCTTCATGCAAACGATAATGCCCTCCACCCTCATCAGAAAAGTACATCTGGCGCTGAGATTGCAATGCACAAAGCCAGCATAATATTGACGTTGAAAGGGTTTAAGAGGAGCTATCAGATGTATTGGATTGAGGTAAGTAAGAATCTGCTTAAATTATCTTCTCTTTGCTGACTTCGCGTAATCTCCTCACCAAGTTCATGGTGTACTGGCTTCGTCAACTCAGGTGGTCGTGAGTCACGTAACGCACGCGGTGCGAACCGAGCTAGCTATGAACTAGATGGACTGTTGAATCGGTGGATACGGCCGCCGGATGTTTAAATAATTAGCTCGCACTTTCAGTTGGGATCAAGGTGCCGCAACCCTCTGTCACGACCAGGGCCAGGACATTAGATAGCAAGATCTAGCAAACACCTGAACTTTCGATATCAAAACGTGGTGAGCATTGACACTCGTACATATCCGTCTAGACCTCGCAGTTCGCCGCAATCTAGATCTCAAACGTGGTGCAAAGATGGATCATAATCGATCCTACTATGTTTCGCATATATATATCAGTCACAAATAGTATCATTATGGGGTGTTTGTAAAATAGCTCGCCCATTGCGCAGCGTGGACCGACACAGTACACAGGTGTGGACAGCGCTATATCTAATGGTCAAATATCACTGACCACAGAAATGTTCCCATAGTCTAATATAATATGGTGAATATCGTCATTTTTGGAGAGATAGGAGCGGGCAAAAGCTCCGTCATAAACCTCTTAGCCGGCCGACAAATAGCGCACATATCACCTGACGCTCACCGCTGTACTCTACATTGGACGGAGCTCCAAGTAACATTCGAAAATGGGACCCGATATCAGGTGTTTGACACGGCAGGCCTCCAGGAGCCCTGCCTACACACCGGAGAGTACCTTTCCGCAATTTCAAATGTATATAGCCTCATCACCACCCTGAAAGAGCGAGGAGGTGTTAACCTCTTGCTCTTCTGCGTCCGCGGAGGTAGAGTAACGGCGACCATGCAGAGCAACTACAGGTTGTTCTTCGAGTTTCTTTGCGAGGAAAGGGTCCCGCTTGTACTGGTCCTCACAAACCTCGAAAGAGAGGTAAACATGGAAGACTGGTACACACAGAATGTGGGCCACTTGGAGAAGTACACCGCAAACGATGATTGAGAATTATGGTGACCCGCCAGTCCCTTTAGACGTAAGGAATATAGGTCCACAACAGGTTCGTGCACCGTGAAATCGCTTAACGAATGGTTGATGCTTTCATAGGGATATGAAGGTCGACCGCGTAATATGGTGCTCTGGGGGGAGAGTGGAGTGGGTAAAATTTCACTCATAAACCTCATCATAGGTCGCGACGTAGCGGAAACATCTTCTAACGCCCTGTCATGTACTATTACACATGCTGCATAGGATGTGACGATCAGCGGGAAATACTTCAGGCTGTGGGATACGGCAGGTGGGCATTCATTAACTCCGAAATTTTGGGATAGTGCAGATTGATAACCATATCGTTAGGGTTAGATGAGGGCTCCGAAGGCAAAGTTCCTGCGGCAGTAGCTGCAAGGAGGTTGGCTCTATTCCTCGGCAGCTTGAACAAGGGAGACGGTGTACATCTCCTTATGTATTGTGTGCGCGGAACACGAGCCACAAAGGCTTTGCGAACCAATTACCAAACATTTTCATCAGCCATTGGTGACAGCAAAGCGCCCATTGTTATTGTGGCGACGTGCCTGGAAGACTGGCAACCAGTGATGACAGAGTGGTGGAATCAGAACAAGGACCAACTTGCGAAATATGGGATGCACTTCCCTGGATATGCTTGTGTTACAACTCTGCCCGGTGGACGTGCTGAATCCCAGGATTTACGACAACGTCGTGCACAGTCCTACGAAGCCGTTTGCAAACTTATTCTGGACCATTGTTCGCAGGCCCCTCGAAAAACATAGCTGTGCACTGTAGCTATCGACGAAACGACGATCTATCGTGAATTGGCTTGTTTTAGATCAGGAGCTCGTACATATGATGGACTGGTACATACGTAGAAAGATACCACGTGATCTGGGTGTGACAAACTGTGACCTGTGACGTTTAGTCTCTGACTCTATGACTCATGGATCTAACTCTAACTGCGATACCAAAAACCTTGAGCCCATCACCATTGATTCATTCTTGAGTCATACAAGACTCATGTATGTGATAACAGCCTTATCTGCTGCACGTGTCCGTCTTCCGATGATCCTGTACACGTACTTGCGTGTGTGAATGGGCTCTGATATGAAAACTGATAGTGCCAGAACAACATGATTTGCCTAAAAGGTCATCGCAGATCTTCTATGATTGGTCGTGACATATTACTTCACGTAGGAATCGCCCTCGATGCACGATAACATGTCGCCAACAGCCATGTATGCGGGCATCTAAAGGCGCTTTCTTTTTGCATTATGCCGTGGATTACGACTCGGTTGGACTTTAAGCTGCGGTCACGGTGCATTGTACGTCGACACACGTGTTCAAGAAGCCTCTGAATCGAAATACGGTGCATAAAAGCAGAGGCCATCTAGTGTTGTGTTCAATACGCCTCTATCATTCAATCTACCATGGATTTACTTCGCAATAGACGCAAACAAGCAGCCTCGACGGAACCCTCAATCGAGCCCTCTCTTGATGTTACGTCTCTCCCTTCCATCTCTGGTTCCATGAGCCCTCCAGAGCCATGGGAGGAAGTAGACATATCATCCACCGACTATGCCCGCAGGCGCAGGGAACTTATGGAAATGATGGCTGACCTCCGATCCATGGGGTGGGTGATTATGGTTTTGATCATAACCTCAAATTGCTCACGCTACCTTCCACAGTGCCGACGCGTTGATTGCCTTACCATCTGTAGTCGTAATTGGTGGCCAATCCGGTTTGTGGTCCCCTCCCTCACCCACAGCTATACTCAACACGAATTTCAGCGGGCAAAAGCTCACTCGTCGAAGCCGTCAGTGGGGTACGTAGGCAGATCGTTTGTTTTTGTTCCTTTATTCATTATCATTTTTAAAGATCAACGTCCCAAGAGATAGCGGAACGTGTACAAGGTGATTCTAATAACTACTAGCTATCGCGGTTATGCTCATACTACTATGTGCAGATGCCCTATGGAATGCAACATGTCTAGTCATGCCAAATCGTGGTCCTGCACCATCACCCTACGTATCGGTTTCGATAGTAACGGCCTAGACCTTCAAAAGCCTACTAATGTGCGATTTGGCCCAACGATCACTGACAGAAGTGAATTCGAAGTTTGGCTGCGTCGTGCTCAGGCAGCCATTTTGAACCCGAATGTTGCTTCTTCGACTTTCCACGCAAAGACCGTCGAGGAACTCAAGAACATAAAAAACACATTGAAGTTTTCCCGCAACGTAGTATGCGTCTCGATTGAAGATCCCGACGCAACTGACCTGTCATTCTATGATCTACCTGGTAAATTATGCTTATCTGGATTGAGACGACATATCTGATGAGCAGCGAAGGCCTAATACAAAACGAAGAACCTGAAGCTGTCGCGTTGGTGAAAAATTTGGCAGAACATTACATCGAGAAAAAAAATACTATCATATTGACCACAATTCCCATGAGCGGTACGTGTTTGAACTGCAAAATTATTTTCTACTGAATTGATGGGCGTGGTACCAGATGACATGGAAAATCAACAATCTATGAGTCTCGCCAGGGCCGCTGACCCCAATGGAAAGCGAACAATCGGTGAGCCACCCATACTGCAGGACAGTGATTAAATGACCTAAAGTTCTTCAGGCGTACTTACGAAGCCTGATACGCTTGGTACTGGAGCTATCAACCAGCGCCGCAAATGGGTAGAAATCATCGAAGGTCGTTCGGAGGAGCACACACTGAAGCACGGTTTTTACTGTGTGCGTCTTCCTGATGATTCCGAACGTGCACAGCGCCTGTCTCGTGCTGAATCGCAAAGGCGTGCTGCTGAATATTTTGACACGACGTCGCCATGGAAGGACGTAACCGAGCGTCATAGGTTCGGCATTCCAGGCTTTGTCTCCGACATAAGCCGACTGCTCATTCAATTGATCGAGGAAACGTGCGTGGACCTTCTTCTAGCTGACTCGTTATAAGTCGCTTACATTGTTTATAGTTTACCGTGTCTCAGAGAAGATGTCGACACGCTCCTCGCGAAATGTATCAAGGACTTCGATGAACTGCCCCCACCACTTGAAAACGACCCACAAATCGAAGTTTTAGGACGAGTTAATACGTTCTGCGATGACTTCAAGAGCTTTGTGAATGGCAGTCACGAAGACAAAAGTCTTGCACAGCGGAATCGTGCTCTCTATGCTATTTTCAAAAGGAATATACGCGGCACTGCCCCTGACTTTAGGCCTTTCAATGACCCGGAAGACTATGTTCCACTGGATGATACTGAAGGGAACATGACTCTTACTGAGCGAGACCCAGGCGTGAAAGCGATGGGCATATATGACATCAGCAGGGTCATCCAAGAGTTTGTTTTCGTATTTTGTTGTAGTTGGACGGCAGCTCAATCATTCATCAAGGGCAATTGGATGGGAGCTTCCGAACAACGTGCCATATCAGGCAAAGGCAAACCTCATTACTCAATTCACCAAACTTTGGGTTGTTCCTTCTGAGCGCTGTCTTGCTGGTGTCAATAATGTGCTTGACCAAGTCGTCGACACGCTCATAAGCACCCATTTTGGACGCTTCAAGGTTCTCGAGGAATATTTTGGGTAAGCGTTGACTGTTTATGACCATCGTCTGGGCTCAAGTTATCTTTGAAATCAGCAATTTGATTCGAATTCAGGTTGACCTCTGCAAGGCGCGTGCCAAAGACGCCGTCAAAACAGCGTTGGATCTGGAAACCATTCCACACTATACTCAGAACACGCACTATCTTCAGACACTCCGCGAAAAATGGCTGGCTCATTATAAGACAGTTCGGAGTAGACCTGTTCTGTACAGGGCACCCGAAGCTCCATCATGGCTAGCTTCTGAGGGCGAATGTGACAATATCCCTCCTCCCTTCAAGGAATTTGACAGTTCGACTTGCCCTAATCCGGTCTCATTGGCTAGTCCTGGCAAGAAAAAGTCTATCAATAATGGCAAGTACTATGAGACGTTCGAGGTGCCTAAGCCCAAAGAAATGCCCGAGACGCCCAAGGCCAAAGCTTTGAGGGCTCTTGCGGAAGCGGGATATGCGGGTCTTCAGGTTTCGGATCTCGCACGGTTATTACCTCCCGACTCATTCGAGGAAGAGTTGGTTGTGATGGCTGACGTTCGAGCTTACTTTCACGTTGCTTATAAGGTGAATCTCGCTATCATCTCCGTTTCAACGCGCTTATCACCTCGAGCAGCGTATCATCGACCATATTCCTTTCACGATCGAGCATGCTCTTCATCATGCCCTAGCAAAACAACTTTCGCAGAGCCTTCTCACGAGCTTACTGACTGATGCCGCATCTGGACCCAACTTCTCTGAGCGTATGAAGGAGTTGGTCAGCGAAGATGCTTCCATTGCTCAGAGACGCCTGATGCTCTCGACAAGAAAAGAGCGCCTATTGAACATTCGCCGGAGACTCATGACCTTCAGTAATAGTGCTTGATCATTGCGAGGCGTCACGACGTATACTTTCATGATATTCTTTACCTCCTGTCGGCAATTGGTGTTGCTGTATTGTACTGTTACATTTCATACTTGCGAACAAAGTAGTCTGATTCTCTACTCGTATCGGTGCATTTCCATTTCTTGTGATAAAAGGAAGAGGCTTTGAGGTGTGCGCGTCGACCAGATTTGTGAAGCTGCGAGGAGTTGGCTAAAGACCGGTCATCATTACATAACCCGGCAAATAAACAATGCCGGTCAGCTTTACTGTGACAGCATCGATTTCCGGACGTTGCTCGTACTCACTACTAGTTTTGATAAACTCTCCGCGTAACTCAGAGTAACGCATTGTCCAGCTTCCAGCTGTGACTTATTTCCGCGCGACAATTCAGTCGTCTCCGTTATCAGACAGCTCACCAGCTAACGATATCTACTACTTATACCTCCCGGATCATTGTGCAATTTGGCGCTCACGCACATCATCAGAACACTCAACACACGCTCGTCGTGGCATGCGACCATAACAGTGTTTTACTTCGTGAGCCTTCTCTTTTATCGTTTTCTGCAGATTTTGAGGATTCAGACTATTCGCCAGCTACTAGCTTTCGCAAACCATCCCGTCACCAATTGATACCATCCATGACTTCGATCCGTTGGAAGCCACAAATCACGTATCGTTCCCCCACCGCAGGGACAACCGCTCTCCATCTAGAAGTGCCACCAGTTGGCTCTCATGCATCTTCGTCGAGCCATTCTCCTTCCCCTCAATCGCTTCAGCATTGGACAGTCCACCAACCCAGCCATTCTAAGAGACATAAGAGATGGACGATGGGCCCTTCACTGCCACTTTATCATCCTCTTGGTCGTCTCGCCCTATCTCTCCCCGATTTGGATCCAACTGCGTTCGGGCTCCCCGCGCCGGCAGTAATAATGGATGATCCCACGCGTCGATCTTCAAATCGCGCACGTCGCCCCGCGCCCAAAGTACGCGACGCAAATGAGCCAGCTTCCTCCCCCGTCCCCTCTATCGATTTAATCCCTGTCCCCGAGCCAGAACTCAAGGAAAAACCTAGTTCCCGCAGGAGGCGCCCTGCTGGGGGCGGGAACAAAAGAAAGCGCAGAGAAGTTGATGACGGTGATGCGACCTATCCTGCCAAGCGCTCCCGCAACCCAAGGAGCTCCGCTGCCAATACCACTGCGCGCACTCCTACTGCCGGAGAGCCTTCTCCTCCCTACTCTGTTGATAATTCTGCTCTTTCCCCTGCACCTGATGACCCTCCGGAAGAAAGACGGCCCGAACGCCGGACCGCTAAGTCACGTGGTCTCCCTCCTCGTAGGGATTCTAGTGGAAGCGAGGCAACTGTTACTTCAGTATCGGCCTCGATTGTCGCGGGCAGCGTTGCACTTCTCAAAGACACCGGTGAAGATGCCCTGGACATTGACACTTCGCCACCCAGTGGGCCCAGGGACACTGAGCGTACCACCCGCAGTGGAGACCTCAGCAGCAAAGACGCGAGTTCAGATGGAGGTGATAAAGCCGCAAATAACGTTCCAGGGTAGCGTGGCACTTCCTTTGTGTCTCCTGTATATGTATGTATATGAGACATTTTGGTTTATTTAACGATATGCATTCCTTGTCTATTGCTATTTGTTCCTGACCACCTTTTCTCTCATCGTTAATATTTACCTGTTCGATCTATTTACTCCCTCATATTATCTCGTTGACTTATGTAGTATGGTTTGCTTACGAACAGGATAAATTTTTATGAAGTATCTATACTGTCTCGATCGACGAGGTGATTGACCTGGAATAAATTAACGGATGGCATTCATAAATATTTACATGTTCCAGTAATATTAATGGTCCAGGGAACTCGGAGCTTCCACATGGGGTGGATGTAACCTTTAATTTTATAAATGTTTCTTCTGGGTTAGACGGGGGAACGGATACCGCGTGTGTAAAATGCACGAGTTTCCGATCTCGGAGCTCGAGAATGACGAGTTCCATTATTCGGTTCTGGGAACCGACCCCACAACAAATGTAGAACAACGTACTATCAGTGCAATGAAGAGCGGCGATCGCAAAGGCCCTGTGCTACCACTTATCATATAGGTCAGTCTAATCAGACTTGAAGTAGTGCCCAGCATCGCCTTCAAGTCAAGTTGCGGCGCTCGTATCATCTACTAAATGAACTGCCTCCATAATCCCCCAATGCGTTGCTGATCATGAGTACTCCCTACAGCCAGTACTGTGTTACGCCACACTGAGACAAGACACGTTGCATCCATGCATTGTAGGGACTTTCATATCTGGCGCCTGGACCGCATCAACGTCTGTTCTAACAAACCGGGGAATGATATTACTGGTACATGAAAAACGCCGAACACGCTGCAAGTCAAGATCCTCCTTGCGCCGCTGAATTTCGTCCGCAGTCGAATCATCTTTGCGATGTCGTTGTTTCCCGGCAGAGAACTACCTAGCATTGTGAGTGGTGTTTTGCCCTTCCTCAACAAAAAAAAAGTTAACCCGAAGTCAGTTACACACTCCAAGTCAGAGCGTAGCTTCGCATCATACAGAAACATGCAACGTTGTCATTTTTGGAGAGACGGGCGCTGGTAAAAGCTCCTTGGTCAATTTGGTCGCTGGGACGCAAACGGCGGTGACATCCTGCGACGCTACGGGATGTACAACTGAATCCAATGCGTACAATGTCTTAATCCAGAACGAGACCTTCAAGTTAAAAGTAAAACTTTTCGATACAGTGGGTCAGTGCAGTTTCGCCTTTCTTTGCTGTTTGTTGCTGAATCGGATTCCAGGTCTCGGTGAGGGCCCTGAAGGAACAGTCCCCGACAAGGATGCTCGGCGGATTCTGAAGAAGCTCCTTCGAGATCTTATGAAGCAAACCGACATCCATCTCCTCATGTACTGTGTGCGGGGTGTGAGAGTGACGAAGGCGCTCTGCCGCAACTACAATTTAATCCACTCCGAAGTGAAGGAGAGAGTTCCAATCGTTCTTGTCGCCACAAGTTTAGAAGACAAAAGACCAGAAATGGAAGAATGGTGGAGGGATAACGAGCGATCCATCTCAGACTTCGGGATGACCTTTGCTGGTCACGCATGTGTCACCACAGCGACTATTGACAGATATGCTGGGGATGAGCTCAAGCGGCGCCGAACACAATCATACCACGCCGTCTGTCAACTTATCGAACAGTGTCGCCTGTCGCAAAGGGTTCAAACACCACTGTCTGATGTCGGCCGAAATGGGAAAACCCCTCGTGCCCATATTTTACCAATGTCGATAAGCAGGAAAAAGCATAAAGATATCGTACTCGCTGGGGAGACGGCGGCAAGCGCTGGTTCACCCGTTCACCACGCCGTGGCAGAGGAGATAGCGTCGACAGCTCCTGACTTACGACTCTGTACATTACAGTATACAACAACTGTTGACCTGCATGACGAGATTTTCAAGGCATTCGAAACCATTCGGCTCAAGGACCCGCATCTGGAAATCAAAGAGTATTCTATCCCCCCCGAAATGGGTACAAGGTGTGTAGTCATGAGATACTTCTTGCGCCATATCTCTCCAACACTCATGAACAGTGACGATGATAAAAATATCATACTTGCTGAGGAGACGGACGCAAGCGTTGGTTCGCACGTCAACGTCATGGTGGGAGATGAGGAAGCGCCCACAGCTCCTGACATGCAGCGCCGTATGCTGCAATGTTCAGAGACTGTCGACCCAGACGACAAGACCTTCGAGGCGATCGAAACCATTCGACTCGAGGACCCACATATTGGAATCAAGGAGTACCCCATCACTTCCGACATCGATGATGAGTGCGTATTCTTCATATCTTCCTTGTGTCATGTTTTGCTAACTTTGACGAGTAGGAACAATGATGTCGTACTCCCGAGGGAGATAGCGGAAAGCAATAGTTCACGCGCCAACCTCGTAGTGGAAGGTGGGGTAACTCCCACAGCTCCTAACATAGAATGCCGTATGCTGCAATGTTCAAACATTGTCGACTCGGATGACGAGACTTCCGAGGCGTCCGGAACTATTCGACTTGAGGATCCACATCTGGGACTCAGACAACCGACATTAATGAGTAGGAAGAATGATGTTATAGTTGCTAGGAAGACAACAGCAAGCAATGGTTCTCTCATCAACCTCATGGTGGGAGATGTGGTAGTACGCACAGCTCCTGACGTGCGACGCCATTTACTGCAATGGTCAAGGACCGTCTACTTGGATGACAGGACTTTCAAGGTATTCTTACGCCTTGTGAACCTGCCTCTTCGAGTCAGAGGATATACCTCTATCGCTCCCAAAACGGGTACAAGGTGCGCAGTCTTCAGATTCTCCTCGTACCACATTCCAATTTGATTGGTAGGAACCAGATTCCAAGTATCCTGTTCTTTCCTCGACGCAAAGACTTGCATATGGAAGTCACAGCGTTCATCCCTCCTAATATGTATGCAAGGTGTGTAGTCTTCAGGTGCCCTTCGTACCGCAGCTGTCTGATTTTATAAGTAGGAACAAACATACGATTATGGTGCTCTTTTGGCAGACTGGAGCAAACAAAAGCTCACTCGTCAACATTTTGGCGAAAGAGAAGGTAGCGCGCCCAGCTCCCGACATGCGACGCCATCTGCTGCAGTGCATCGAGGCCGTCGAATTGGGTGACGAGACTTCTGTCGAAATTGCTCGACTCGAGCACCTGCGTTCAGCCATCATAGAGTACCTTGTCCCTCCCGAAATAGATGCAAGGTGCGGAATCTTCAGATAATTTTCGTACTACAGTTTGTCTAATTTGAACAGTAGGAAGAAGCACGAACTCGTCGTGCTCTTTTGGCAGACGGGAGCAAGAAACAGGTCACTCATCAACCTCAACACGGGAGAGGCGGCAGCATCCACACCTAATATGCGACGCCGTATTCAATGTTCAGAATTTGTCAACTTGGATGACAAGGCTTTCAAGGTGCTCTCACGTTTTGAAGATCCGCATCTGAGAATCAGAGGATACCATATCCCTCGAAACATGGGTGCAAGGTGTGCAGTTTTCAGTTGCTCTTTGTTCCGTATTTGTCTAATTTGACCAGGAATGACCACAAAATCGTCACGCTCTTTTGGCAGACGAGAACAAGTAAAAGCTCACTTGTCAACCTGATGACGAGAAAGGAGGTAGCGCCTACAGGTCCTGACATGCAACGCCGTATGTTGCAATGTTCAGAAACCGTCGACTTGGATGACAGGACTTCCGAGGTATTCTTACGCCCTGAGGACCCGCCTCTGAAAATTATAGAGTACTCTATCCCTCCAAAAATAGTCGCAAGGTACACAATCTTCAGATGCTCCTCGAACCATAGTTGCTTAACTTGATTAGGAGGACCAAGCGTCAAAGTATCGTGCTCTTCGGGGATACAGGAGCAGGCAAAAGCTCACTCATAAACCTCATGGCGGGAAAGAAGGTGGCGCGTACATCTCCTGACATGCAACGCTGTACAATGCACTGGCAAGAGTATAACATTGACTTCGGCGACACGCCTTACAGAGTCTATGATACTATCGGACTCGAGGCACCGCAGCTAGGAATCAAGGAGTACCTCGAGTTTGTAGAGAATGCCTATCAGCTCATCAAACGATTGGATAAACAAGGTGGCATTGATCTGCTTTTATTCTGCGTTCGCGCCGGCAGAGTCACTGCTACGCTGCAGAGCAATTACAGGCTCTTTCACGAATTCCTCTGCGAGAAGAAGATTCCTATTGTTCTTGCGGTTACGAACCTTGAAAGAGAGAATAGGATGGAGGATTGGTGGGAGAGAAACGAGGGCACCTTCGACAAGTATCAAATAAAGGTCGCTGGACATGCGTGCATCACCACCGCGGTTAGACTGGATGGCAGACACAAAGACCTTTATGAAGAATCGCGCGTCACGATCCGCGACCTTATTGACAAATTTACTGCAAACGAGCAGAAGCAAACATGGTCAGGAGGGGATAATCTGTTCGTGTCATTGACGCGTAAACTGAAGGAGTTGTTGAAGGGGAGTTCACATGTGAGAAGGAAGGATCTTGTTCCCCATCTCACTAAGGGTTGTGGTATTTCTCGAGAAGTTGCAAAACAGTTGGCTAATATGATCAAGCACGACGCAAAAGCTACTTGACTTTACCCTTTCGACAACTTTATGCTCATCCAATTTACCCTTGCCCTTTGTCGTTGATATATGGATTGATATTACGTATTCCGGTACAACGCTCTCACAAAGAACACCACATGCACAGTCACTGGGGCAGACAGTTGAATTAATGAAATTTAAAGAAACATTGCTGCTTCTGTATATCTGAGTGTCGAGAAGTCTAGGAAACTGGTGAAGGGGCCCCCTAGGCGGTATGCTTGCGATGAAGTGATATCTGGAGACATACCGAGTGTGCCATACGCGAATACGGTGAATAGCCACTGATGCCCGTTCCAGCGCCCAGAGAAGGCCAGGCTATGGCATGCATAGCTCAAGTTCAATGAATTCTAAGAACCAATACAGCGAACGTAGATGCAGTGGCGATTAAGACGCACGTTCTCTCGCGAAGCAAAGCAACGAATTGTAAATAGCGGCAGTGAAACGGTGATGGGCCGAGTTCAGCACTTGGATACGAACTTTGTACTTGTGGTACAAGAAGTTCGAAGGATCATAATAATAATAATGACGCTCACGTTGCGCCCATGATCATTGTTATGTGTAGGAGGTCACCGGTGGATCGACCACTCGATAATAATAACTTATGATATCGACAGCCATATGGTGGCACGTTCTTCTGATTTGATGTCGAAAAAAGTACTTCCGGGTGAGATGCAGACCGAAAACCGTGGCTGGGCTGTGAACGTTTGAACGTTTGAACAGTGAACACGCAAAAAGTTGAACAGTCTTCATGCTATTCGGATGATCCTGAGATGTCACGTGCTTAATAGTACGGGTAATGGTACGTACATTTTGCATTTGCGGCGTTATCGTGTGTAGCCGCACCGGCAAGGTCATACTCAAACGAAATATGCCGATGAGTCGGATGATCGCGCCCATGGATGTGCCATCTTACGTTGAACTTGACCTAACTCCCCAGTGCAATCTCGGAAGGTTGAAAACGACTGGAATGACCTGTAGCCTGCAGTTGAGACGTCCGAGTGCACATAGTAGTGCGTATATGCATATTATAATAATGTGACTTATCTATTGACCTCATTCGCCAACATCCGAAGACCCGTGTCAACCCATCTGTTTCGCCGTTCGCGATTCCGAACCATAAGGTTCAACGTTCCGTTACTAGTTCCATCAGAACACTGTTGTGTTCGACTCGGCCCTTCAGCTATCCCATTAAGCATTGACTAACGTTTGGATCAGAATCTGCGAGCAAACTTGTTGTCCTGTGAGGGAAGCATGGCCAATCAAGATTCTTTTCCTCCATCGCGCGATACCCGTATTATAGCCTCCGTTGGGCACAGATCAAATCAGCCGCGGAGTGACTTCGTTAGAACATCTTCGCGCCATATGCAACGGCTTCACGTCATAATTTAAAGGGCAGACTATTAATCCTAGAAAAACGCCCTACCAAGTTTCATTCCAGATCCGCAACGCTCTTTTCCTCAGTAGAAGTACTACTGTCCCGGCTGTGTTTTCAAGCAACCAGTCTGGGGTTCCCAACTATCCTCACATCCCCGCTTGCCCAATTTTGCGTCTTTTTACTCATCACTGTCTTTAAGTGACACACTCTTTGCCTTCGGCTTTGCAACATTCCTTCGCCAGATGGAGGAATTGCCCTCAACGGGGAGAAGCGTATACCGAGAAAACTTCGACAGCAGCAGCACCCACACTCTTGGTGGTCGGTCGACCGCGTCATTGAGAGGTAATGTGACCCTCGTCATACCCTAATTTAGTGGGACATAATCGTGACTCTGCGTTACAGGTCATGCTGCCCCAATTGCAGGAGCTGGCTCTGCCGTCGTTCAGTCAGAGTTAGATCTATTCGCTGATCCATTTGCCAGTACTACTCCGGCTGGAATAACAATCAATGCCCCTGCACATCAAAAAACCGAAGCCGATATTCCTCAATCAGAGCATCAACCAGCAGATACAGATGCAGCAAGATTGCCTGCTGCTGCACCTAGACCTCATCTATACAAGCGAAGATGGTTTATAGTCACTTCAATCGTTGGCGCTTGTTTGGGCATCGCATTGCTTTTCATCGTTCTGTTCCCTGTGCTCCGCGCAATCGTTCAGTATGTAATTAACCAATCCACGCTGAATATCCAACAAGCGGCAATATTGTCTCCTTCAAATACGTCGTAAGCGGGTATCGTAATACACAGTAAACATGCTCACTGATTTATCATGCAGCTTCACTTTAGCAATTCTAGGCGTCGTAGGTATTTGCATTACATTGCAACTGTGTCTGTTGACCATCGGCTTCAGGTATCTCATACTGGTATCTTCTCCGCCACAGTGGCCTTCTCGCAGCCAGTAAACGTGAGCTGGATAAATGGCAGTGTTGAAATACCTCTCGGCTATATGTCGCTTTCGACCCTGTATGCTTCCAATAAACGGGCAACGATCAACGATACGACGACCTTTTACATCACAGATCAAAACGCCTTCGGCCGCTTTACAAGCTCGATGATTACATCGCAAAATTTCACTTGGAAATTACAGAGTTCTAATCTGAATGTTCAGGCGATGAAGTTCCCTACCGCGCATGGTATTTCATTCAATAAGCTGGTGACCATCAATGGTGCAGTATTCTCATTCACGTAGATTTTGGTGCAACTGACAAGGATTCTTCTGAGGCACGAACAATTTTGCTGGAAATGTCATTCTCAAGGATATGCAACTACCCAGTGACAATCCTGAGGGAGGCATTGATTTTGTAGCTGTCACGCAGTTGAACAATACAAGGTATTCGTATTCTTCAACCTAGAGCCTTCATTACATTCTGACCTGATAACTTGGTATAGCCCTTTCACACTGGGGCTGGGAACAGTAGTTTTCGACCTCGTGTACCAAAACGTCTATCTTGGTACTGGAACGGGATTCAATACGAACATTGTAGGTCGTATATTCTAATCTCTCAATTTCTATGTCTCAACTCGCTTCAGGTCCCTGGTCCTAACAACATCACGCTGAGCGGTATTTTGGTACCCCAGACGACGCCCGCCAACCTTGCATCAGTCTCGCAGCTTTTCACCAATTACATCAATTTCGAAAGTTCGCCTGTAATTGCAATGGGCAAGTCAACACTGCAGCCAGATGGCTCACAGATATCTTGGCTTAGCCAGGGTTTGGAAAGCCTTCAGCTAACGGTGCCATTTAAGTCAACCACGCCGATTAACCCAATTCGGTCTATCCAGATAGGGAGCATGGCGCTTGCGTTCACCCCAGAGACGGCATGGACCCCGCGAACGGATAGTAACTCAGTTCATGCGACCATGCGTGAGTGATTTGTGTGAAAGCAGTGCTGTCATTATGTCTGACTCAGGCGCGACAGAATTGCCTTTCGGGTTTGGCTTGTCTATCGACCAGATTCAGAATGAGTTCACAATTGTCAAAAACGGTTCGGATGTAGCGGGTCTGAATACGGTATGATTGTCCACTTCATTTTCAATTTGCTGGTAACCGTCTTACCTCGCAGCCTCTGGGTGCATCAACATCTTCAATCACTGTGCTGAGCCCGACAGACACTGAGGGCACCATTACCATTACCATTTTGAATAGTGTTTTGAACGCTACAGATCCAGATCATGGCAGTTTTGCCGCATTCAGTAAGTGTACTGTTTTTGAATGGTGCGATTGGTAATTGTATATTCTGCAGACATGGAACTCACGGATTCTACCACGACCGATTTCCTGCTGGTTGGCAATTCTCGCGCGGTCGCGAACATGAGCATTGGTCAAATTACTTTGGACCCGATCAAGGTCAACGTGTCAACCAGCCTCAGTGGCCTGCAAGGTCTGAAGGGGTATACCACTATTGGGGCTGTCGACGTTATTGGCGGAACCCAGCAGGCCCTTAATCTTAGCATCGACGGCAAGAAGGCTTCTTAGCTGTTATTAAACTGTGGCTGATTTCATTCGTAGTGTCCATCTATAACCCTTCCAATCTTGATCTCGCTACTGGCGACCTCCGTTAGTGGTAGCAGCTAATTGTAAGTATTTGAAATTGATACATTTATTGTCACAGAACTCCAACTGCAACGCGGTGGTGCAATCCTCGGAACTGCACTGATGCCCAATCTGACACTGAGCATGGGGAATAACTCGGTTCATTCGATATCTGCTTTTGATGTACGGTCATCTACTGTCTTTGTGCCCACAACTTTTCAGTTAATCACATTTATAGCCTAACAACTCACCCGAAGGATTGCAAACACTTAGCCAGTTTGTTGGCGGTCAAGGTATGTCTTAAATCTTTACCTTTAAGAGGGTAATAATTAGGTTGCCAGACGTGGAGCTTAATATCGTAGGCTACAGTGGGAGCACACAGGTCGCTTCTCTTCTGGAGGCTTTTGAAAGTATGAACATCACTGCCACGCTCCCTGGCCTCAACTCCAGTCTTTTGTCGACGGGTTCTTTGGAGAGTAAGTTGGCTTGCTTGTTTCAGACCAACCTGTTAAACGATTGAGTAGTCCTTTCTACCACTTTCGTTACGAACAACATCAGTCAGGTCACTGTAGCACTCGTCAATCCTTTCACCGCGGGCTTCGACATCACCAGTATCTCATCCAATGTCACCTCGCATGGCTTGTACCTTGGTTCTATTAATACTGCGACAAGTTTTAACTCTGCAGGGAAATCGACTTCGAAGTCTCCTGCTCTCAATATGATCATGAACTATGATCCGCCAACACTCTTCACACTGACTCGCGTGCTCGCCGTGCAGGCAGGTTTGGATCCTACACAACTGGACGGCATCGTAGCTCTTGGGGATTATCAGTATGTAACTGCCACGACAGCGGACTCTGAGCCAGTTCCTCAACAACAGCGGAGAGATAACATATACACGTAAATTCTACAGTTTTCTTTCCGCTTCTGATATTAAATCAACTATTCAGGGGATTCAATCTGCCAAATTTTGTTGACCAAGCATTCAAGCAGTTAAGGAGTGATATAGAGCTATCTGCACAACTTACGATTGGTTCGAATTTTGCGGTGAATTTGCTTTCGATTGCTCACAACAATACTGTTACAGGGAACTACGCGACGACACTTAGTTACACTCAGAATGATGTCCCCATTACCACGGACAGCAGCCTTAACTTAATCTTACCTATCTTGGCAAAACCTATCGTTCAGAAGGTCGTTGGTGGCAGTATCCTGGGGTAATTGACATCGATTATTTTGCAGTTAACTTTCGCTGAAATCGTGTTGTAGTGTGGAATCTGTTCTCATCACTAACCCTCAGGAGACGATGTTTGGTATGTGTCAGAGTGTAATGTCTTCCACATCTTACCGGAAGTTTTATAGGAACACAATTGAATGGAAGCATCACAAACGCCGGGCCTTGTCTGTCCTTCTGTTCCACTTAGCGCATGCTTCTTTAACCCGGTTTTGACAGTTGACGCAACAATCACGTTCAACAACGGACTCACTGTTTCGTGGGGCGGTCAGCCGATCGGCGTGATGAAGATGGACCCCGTTAATGTCGTCGGTGATGTCGGAGCTACTCTCAATGTGCAAACTACGTTTGAAGTTGCCAACGCAGATTATTTGGCCAATTTTACTAAGGTGGGAGAAATATCATTCAATACATTGCAGTTTTTTCTGAACGTATCTAGGTTATGCTAAATAGCGAATCGTTTGAATGGGACATTTCTGGCGATAACCTGACTGGTACGCTCATGCTGAGTACAAGTGTATTGTTACTTACGAGTATTCGGCGGATACATAGTCAGTGCCCTTGGTATGTTAATTTCGCGGAAGCTTGGTACCATGTTATTGATAGGCCCCAAGGCATCGAAGTATCCGGCATCTCTCTTCCTTCCAAAGTGGTCACCTTGAAGGGTTTCAATGGTCTTAAGAATGGTGTGGTTATCAATTCCTTCGACCTCCCATCCAACGACCCTGCTGGTGGAATCCATCTGACGATTGATTCAGAGGTCATCAATGTATGTTTTCCTTGCTCAATCTTGATGTCTCGTTTATATCTCTTGTATTGTAGCCTTCTCAAGTTGGCATTGAACTTAGCTCCATTGCGTTCAACACCTATGCGAATGGTATTGAGATAGCTCCAGTCTCTTCGACTTCGACCATCACGCTAGCGCCGAATTCTACCTCATCACTTGGTCTAGTTGGTCGGCTCATTCCGCAGAACTCTTCAGAAGGGCTCGCAACTGTTTCCACTATTTTCAACAACTATATTCATGGCATGGACAGTCAGGTCACCGTCTATGGCGCTGGTGCTGGTCCGAGCGATGTAAGGTACCTGTTGTCGTCAGAATGGTGCCTGCTGATCACACCTGCAGGTCACTTGGCTAAATGAAGGTATACAAACCCTTCAAGTAGCGACATCGCTACCGAACAAAGGAAAACTTGGCATCATTCAGTCGATTAATCTCGAACAGCTATCTCTCATGTTCACTGAGGCTACAGCATACAATCCAATGTCAGGCAGTAATCTGACGACTACTGCATTCACTCTGCCTTTTGCTTTCCCAATCGATATCACGGCGCTTGCGCAGAATATTACTGCTGGATATGATGGCCAATCTTTTGCTGAACTGGTTATCCCATGGGGCCCCAGCACGACTGACATTCAGAATCGTATCATTTACTTGACGTTTAATGATGTCCCGTTTGCTGTGTATTCTGACCAGCATGAAACTTTCCAGAATTTCGTGGCTGCTACAACGCTGGGATCTTCGCAAATGTTGGCGCTGTCGGGCGCTGCGAATGCCGATGCCTCTACGGCCGTTGGTGTATTGTCTCTAGTGGACATCGAGTTCTCTGTGCAATCTACGATCGCGGGATTGCAAGGGCTCAAGGCGAAACCCGCCTCTGTTACCAACCTGGATGTCAACCACGGATATTCGGATTACTTGCTTATTACAGTGGACACTTCACTTTTCAACCCGAGGTACGTGAAATCTGTTATGAAAACGAATACAATATAAATGAATCTTTACTTGCTCATAGCAACCTGACAATCGGTGAGTGGCAGCGTACATTTGATTGTTGCTATTGACATTTGCTCTCAGGTGCTGGCGATGTTGCGTTTGCATTGCAGTTTGAGTGAGCATCTTCTAGAATTCCTATGCAATACGCACTAACTGGCTGTCAATAGAAACCAAGTCATTGGTTCTGCCGATTTGGTGGGTATTCATGATCTCACAGATCCTCCGTTCGACGTTTACCTTTCCATCTGTAGAGCAACATGATCATCCAGCCTGGGAATTTATCCTATCCTACTGGTATTGTCATTTGCTCTGAGTGTAGACATTTGCTCATCATATCCATTAGACGTCCATTACTCCCCTCAAGGAGCTGCGCAAACAGCAGCAGGACAAGCGATGCTCGAAAACTACCTTCAGGGCGTCGATTCGCAAACAACCATTATGGGGACCTCCAGTTCCACTTCAATTGGCTCTTTGGAACCAGCTCTCGCGCAGATCAATTTGTCACCAGTGACTATCCCAGCCTTGCATCAGAACCTCATTGGCAGTGCCTCCCTCGAGTTTCCAACTGATATCGTTCAAACTGGTGTGGCCTCAACGACTTTCACTTTGGCAAATCCGTTCTCGGCCAGCATCAATCTGCTCGAAGTCACTGCAATCGCGACCTACCATAACCTGACCCTTGGCGCTATCAATCATGTTGATATGTCTTCAAACCCAATCCATGCTAATGGACATTCCAATATTACGTCGACTGTGCTTCCATTTAACTTCAACCTCAACCCGTTGACCATCATTGGGTTGATTACCACTTCCGCTGAAGAGCACAATGTCAACCTTGGTCCTCTGACGAGTTTATTTCAGCTGGTTATTGATAACCCGAGCTTCCACCCACCTGTATGTTTCAAGCTTTTTCTCGACCAGCACCTCAATGACCTTTTCTTCAAGATCAATACGTCGGTGGATACAAGTAATCCAACTTGCGTCAGGTATGATCACAGCATCTCTCCAGGCTTAGAGTTTTCTGATGTAAAAAACACTAGCGGAAACCAATTCGACATCGACGACGCCATTTTGAACGCGTTGAAAGGTTTACAAGTCACACTTGCAGTGGATTCTTCCGTAAAACTTGATGATTGTAAGTGCCTTGACTGTCAGTTGTTCGGTAAGCTCAGTGATTCACTAGACGTAACGAATCTTGCCTTCAATCAATATGGGGTTTCGGCTATTGTAAGTCTGGAACTTCTACTTGCCTCGACGCTTATCACTCGATTGATTACAGACGGACAAAACGTCATTGTATCTGATCGGTGCGGTGGGTGGTCCTATTACCCAAAACCTTGTCAATGGTGCTACGCTAGCGTTCAACCAAGCAAACATCACGTATGCTTCAACCACTTATTTAACATCTAATATGGTCACTGATGGTCGGGATAGGGACATCACAAATGAGGGCTTCCAGCTCTCCTTGCAAGGGTCCTTGACCAACGTTGGCCCTCTAGATGCTCTGATCGAGTTTGTTGACCCAGTGACGTATGTCTTCGCCCGATTTTTATCTGCGTGTGCTCATGTCGGACAGGGTAACGTGGCAAGGCCATGATATTGCAACAATTGCACTGCCTCCAGGTTAGCTGGTTCAAACAGATCACACGCGGGATACTCATTGTGATCCATAGTGTGTGCTGCCGCGAATACCGGGGTACCGAATTATAACACGCAAGGCCAGCTAGTAATCACCGACCAAGTCCAGTGAGCATAATTGTATTCGCGGCATCTTTTGTAGATGCTGATAAAAGTACCAGGTTCACCTCATTTGCGACGTATTTGCTACACAATCCAAGTTTTGATTGGACGATTTCCACTTCCTCCCTCAAGTTAACCGCTCTGGGAACAATCTTCAATGGAGTCTCGATGTCAAAAACGGTCACCTTGAAAGCATTTAATGGTCTCCCAGGCGTCACGATCAGTAACTTCCAACTCCCCTCTGACGATCCAGCTGGGGGAATTACGATATCGACAGACTCTGTCATTCCTTCCCCTGCTCGTTTGTGTAATTCCTTCTACTATCCCTTCTCTTTCTAATTTCTTCTCCCAGAACTTGGCATCGGCCTTGGAAATGTTGGATTTCAAGCCTACTTCGAGAATGCTCACATTGGACGTGAGTGAAAATTCGATATAGTCGAAACTGCTCTCTAATACCTTTTATAGCACTTACCGCTAGTGAGCTCGTCCTCCCACCCGAGTCGTCAGTGACATCCCACCTCAGTGGACAAATGATACCTCAAAGTGGCTCTGGTCTGAGTACTATTGGCAAATTATTCTCAGAATACCTAGCTGCGGACAATATCACGCTGAATGTTCAAGGTGACACTGTTCAACCACCAGGTGCAAACGGACCAGTAACTTGGCTCAGTACCGCCTTTAAGACTCTCACACTTGATGTCATTTTGCCTGGAAAGAAGTTTGACGTAGGTTCATCGACAACGCAGGAGAAATTTGTACTAATGATGAATAGATTATCCAATCCATCGTACTCTCGGATTTGAGCTTGACAATGCAGAACCAGGACCAGGCATATTCTCCGTTGTCAGGTTCCAATAATACCGTGGCACAATACAAGAATCCCTTCGGTTTCTCATTACAAGTTATTCAGTCTACCGTTAACATAGACCTCGACTATGGAGGTACAGCTGCCGCTCAGGTAATGTTGGTTATTGGCCCATACTAGCTGTCACTAACCCTTTTGTAGCTGAACCTTCCTCAATCCGACAACATTGGAGGGGTATCGACTGGGAATCTCGCTGCCTTGCCAATCAGTTTCCATAATGTCCCATTAACTTCAGTTAACAACGGCGCCTTTGAAGCCATGTTTGCTCAAGTGACGGACAAGGTTTCGGCAGACCTAGAATTGAGCGGAACCGCTGATGTGACTGCCAAGACTGCCATTGGCGATGTTCCTATCTCAGGAATTGCTTTCGATGTCCCTTCAAGCCTAAGTGGTGAGTTTCGATACGAACTAGCTTCCGTTCATGCTTAAACCTGTGCAATAGGCATGAACTCCTTTGATAGTAAGGCAACAATAACCAACATCTCGATTTCTGGCAGTGGTGGGAACGGTGGGGATCAATATATCATCTCGCCCCTCACGTCTTCGATGAACAACCCGTCCAACATCTCGCTTGACACGGTTGATATCGCCCTGCCAGTGTACTACCAAGATGTCATGATTGGTCGAGCAGCATTCGATGTGCGTGAATGATTGACGTGGATATAGCCCTAGCTGAACTTCTCGTTTAGCTCTTCAACTTGGTTCCAGGAGAAAATACAATTCCAGGAGAGTTCCATTACGAGCCGGCAAATCCGAATGATACCGTAGCTGAGGTTGCTGTCATGGACTTTATTATAACCTGATTATTGATTTCTGTGACGTAGGCCTTCCTCACCAGCTTCCTGCAAACCGGCAACAGCCTTCCAGTTACTATTCAAGGAGATTCTGCGAGTACACCATTTGCATCACTCCAGCCGGCACTCGAAGGCGTGACTTTGACAAGTAGTGTCACGGGTAAGCAGAATCACGTCTGCCCACCCTTTATTACTTATAGAAGTTGCAGGCTTGAACGTCGATCCGATGATCTCCCACTTATACCCTGAAATCACCCTAGCCACACTCGTGACAAATGAAATCAATCTCAGCTTCGATGTACGTATAATTTCACGCGTGCTCTAGATATAAACTCATACTGTGCAAGGTTACAAACCCTCTCGATACTGAACTCGAGATCTCATTTGTGCAGGCTGATGGCTTGATCAATGGAGAAATTTATGCGCATTTAGACCAGGCATTCAGCTCATTTATAATCCCTCCAAAGCAGACTGTCAACAGTGGAAAGTTTGGAAATGTTAAGCTAGTCAAGGGTGCCCTTGCGTCCCTGCCCATCATTCCATTGGGCTATTTGGACATTCAAAGTGTAGTAACGACGAGGTCAGTGTTGGCACATAACAAGGACGCATGGAGTCACTAACCAATACCGCATAGGGTGGGCAGTGGCGGATACCAAATTCCATGGCTCCATATCAATCAAAACCATGTCACTGCCTCGTATGATCTCGGCGTCAGTCTCGCGGACCTTTCTTCAGCAGGCCAGTCACTAACGGCGACGGCGTCGCTTGGTGGTTTGACCGTACTGGTTCCCTCACTGCCAGCCATGACGGCGGGACTTGGATCCTCCACACCAAGTTCTGGAGTCCTTGCATCTGCGGTACCTGGGCCCTCCGGACTCAATCCAGTAAGCATGCGTTCTAACTGTCCTGGGTTTTAAAACTGAAACTTCGCCCCAATTCCAGTCCACTCTTCCTCTGCCCACCCCCCTGGGAAACACCACGATCGGACCACTGTAATTTTATTGTATCTTATTTTGCGATCTGGGAAATCGAATACGCTATAGTCTGCTTGTTTTCACTAATAGGGTTGTGATCTTTACGTATGTATGTATTGTTGCAATCTCCATACCCCATTGATACTCTGGTGAGCTATTAGAAGGCTGCTCGTTATCTTGCGGTAGGCCAACTGGTTGATAAGTCTTTCAGACCTGTTTGATACATCAATATTTCAATGTCAAACTGTCTTTTCACCCGTGCTAGGCACGTTGACTCGGACGTGCTGGGATGTTCCAAAGACCCCAGAGTCATTTAAAGCTGTAGTTGAGCTACCAGTGAAGACTCTAAAAGGGTGAACGTTTTCGCTAAAGACAGTCACTTCAGTACCGCCATGTGAAGGAACGGACACAGGTATAAGACGGTAGGCTTTAGAAATAGTGAGCACTGAGCGATATGAGGCGGTAGTGATCTCGAGCTCTCATGTGGGAAAAACGGAAAAGGAAGAATTTCATTCCCAGGGGTTTATCTACTTTTGCACGGTCATATTTTCTTTTCAACGCCTTTTCGCAACTAACCATATGGCGTCGTTGCTGGCCATGGTTACCTTCTGGTCCTGTAACTCTAAGATTACTTCTTGGTAGCTCCACTTTCATCTATCAATATACCTTCAGATGCGTGACAATTAACGCGTGACGTCACGCGACTGCGCGCTCTCAACTCGACGTTCCTGCGCGCTTTAAATTTGGCTTTCAATTCTTTCCAACAATGTCTCTCTGGGTAGACAAAGTGAGAAGCTTTTTTACGTTGGGTGGTTGGCCATTCTCATAGTCGCGCAGTTCAGACCAAAGACTTTGGATGACCTTCACTACCACCAGAGTTTGTCTATTCGATTGAAATCTCTAGTAAGTCGCTCTTAGATGTTTTAGGGTCATGTGTCTTATATGGTGTCATACATACAGGCTGCATCAGCCGACTTTCCACACATGCTCTTCTACGGGCCTTCTGGAGCTGGAAAGAAGACACGGATCAGTTGTACTCTAAGGCAGCTGTTTGGGAGTGGTGTTGAGAAGGTGAGAGGAGTCGTATAATTCTATGATTTGCTTTGGATGATGCTGATGAACATGAATCGAAGCTCAAAATTGATCAACGAGTGTTTATCTCACCGTCGAAACGCAAGCTGGAAATAAACGTCGTTCAAAGCAATTTTCACATCGAGATCACTCCCAGGTCAGCTATTCGGCATTTGATACTCTTCTGAATCGTCTAAAATGCTTTGAAGTGAGGCCGGAAATTATGACAGAGTTGTCATTCAAGATTTGCTAAAGGAAATTGCGCAGACGCAGCAGGTAGACTTGAACGCGAAGCATAGATTCAAAGGTACCATCCAACATTGCGTAATAATCAGATGTCAACCTGACCTTTTTGTTAGTCGTTGTGATTAACGAAGCAGACTCTCTTTCCCGTGATGCCCAAGCAGCGTTGCGTCGAACGATGGAGAAATACATGTCAAACATGCGAATAATACTCTGCGCCAACAGCACCAGCAAACTAATAGCACCAATAAAGAGTCGTTGTCTACTTATGCGAGTCGCTGCACCGAATCCAGAAGAAGTGAGTAGACATCAAGCAGCTCTTTTTAAACTTGATGGTGATCGCCTCTAGATGCAAATTGTCTTGGAACATGTAGCGAAGAAACTGAAGTTCGACTTACCTGAAGAAGCATCACAACAGATCGCCGAAGACTCTGGTGGCAACATGCGCAAAGCATTACTCGTCTTCGAAGCCTTGAAAATGCAATCGTATGTTCAATCTGCAACCGTATCGCTCTTACAGCGACTCATCGTGTGCAGGCCAGATCTTTCAGGTTCACTGACAATAGCCAAACCAGACTGGGAAATCTACTGCCACAAGGTCGCTGATCTCATCGTCCAAGAACAGTCACCAGCACGCGTTTTGGAAGTCCGGGCAAAACTCTACGAGCTTCTTGCCCACTGCATTCCCCCAACTATCATATTGAAGGTGAGCCGCTCTGTACAGCATACTGAACAGGTTGCTGATAGTGTCCAGACCGTTGCAGAGCGAGTGGTGGAGAGAGTAGATGAGGCTATGAAAGCCGATGTTATGCATTGGGCTGCATTTTATGTACGTGGGCGTCGGCTGAACTTTTCAGTTTCTTACATGTGTACAGGAGACCCGAATGCGACTTGGCAACAAAAAGATTTATCACCTAGAGGCTTGGGTAGTGAAGGTCATGAGCTTATACAAGGTAGAAACAAATTTCCACCATCCCTGGCAAATACTGACCACAATAACTGTTAGCACTTTATGTACAACTTCGATATGGCGGACTTTGAGTAGATATTATTACAATATTGTAGCACTAGTTTTCTCTATGATATCAGGAGGTCGTCTCCTTGCGGTTGGGCACAGCCACTGCTCCAAATAACCGTTAGCGAACCGATGTCACCGGCCATAATCATTCACCACTCTATCAAAATCTAAGTCCTGCTCCTAGTCATGGTCAGCTTTCATAGCGTCTTGCTGCGAACTTGACTGATTGTTAATTTGGATATCCAAAAGCTTATCTTCTCCGTCTTCAAGACGCTGACAGATCAACGAGTAACCGTCGAGTTGAAGAACGATCTCTCGATTACCGGAGTCTTGAAGTCGGTAGACCAGTCAGTATCGTAGTTCCCATCTCAGCATAGATCCAATGTCACTGATGATGCACTCCCATTCTTCGCCCAGATTTCTCAACATCCGTCTAGATTCGATCAATGTACTGGACGAGGCGAGACACCCACACATGGTGCTTAATGTACGCTTTCTATCCGGTTTCCATATTCATTTCTGTTTCTAGATGGCGGTGAAAAACTGCTTTATCCGCGGTTCCGTTGTGAGGTATGTGCAGCTCCCTGCAGAACACGTCGATACTCAGCTGCTGGAGGACGCAACCCGACGAGGTATGAAGTTTCATGCAGTGAATCCTTTCAATACTCATCGGCGATGCTACAGAGGTTGCTGCTCAAGGAAAACGGTGACAGTCGTGCCCCGTCTACTGGAGGGGCAGAGTTATGCCAATGGATGTCATCGCAGTACTCGACATTCTACAGGAATCCATACAACGGGCACATTATTGGATGATCGGGTATTGAGCCTCTTTTTACATACGTGTACATTATCCTACCTGATATCACAGCGATTCCTGTGCTCGAACATAAGCCAAAGTCTGCCAGTTTCGCAATTGACCGGGATCCAGCATGATTGCTTTTTGTGCACTTCTTTCAGACTGTATCGGTTGTGCAAGTGCCGATAATGCAAGAGTGGCCTTTGCTTCTGCAATGTTTTGATTCAGCGCTACAGATGCCAGGATGGCCGACGCAGCGTCTCTTTCGCCCTGCATGAGCAACAAAGATGCGACTTCTCGCCTCATCTGCAGATTCGAGGGCTCAACATGAAGGGCTTTTTGGGCGATGTTAATTGCCTTGTCAGAGTCACCCTGCCGAAAAAAATCTCAGGATCGTGCACTCAAACAATTTAAGACTGGAATTCGTACCAGCCCAAGATAATGTTGCACGAGGAGATACGGTACGTCTCCTTGAGGATCAAGTTCGAGTCTTTGTTCTACAGGGAGTGACAGAATTTCGGAGAGTGCGGCATCAACTAGCCCATCGTCTTCAGTAAGTATCCCCATTCCAGCTAGAGTGTTGATTGCCATCAAATTTTCTGGATCGGAGGTGATGCTAAAGCGATAGATTAGTTGACTGGGAATCATCAACGTTGCATTCTGACCAATCAAGTAACAAGCCTTTCGCAGACTCGCGGAACTCGGGTGTCCCAATTGCCCACATCGTCTGTGCCAGCAGAACAGTAACCTGTCCTCGGAGAACACGATCGTCAGCGGCACTTTCCAAAGCAGCTTGGAATGCTGCCATGGCGGCCTGAAGATCACCCATCTTGAAAGACGCTAACCCAGACCCGTATTGAGCTTGTACGCGTAGAATCTGTGATTCCCGCTCTGCATCTTCAGGAAGTAGACCTAGAGCGTTCTCGAAAGATGCCAATGATCCTTCATAGTCCTGCAATCCAAGACGGAGCCGCGCGATGTTGGTGTGTGCGATGATAAATTGGCGTTCGACTATGGGATCCTCCTTTTCCTCGTATGCTGCTTCTAGAAGAGTAATTGCACGACTTATGTATTCCACACCCTGTTCAAGTTTTCCAAGGTGTTCGCAAATCAGACCGAAGATATGGAGGCCGCAGGCATCAGCCGGGCAGCGTTGAGAATAGCGCCCGAGGACGAAGAAGGCAGTTAAAAGGCGATCTGTATTGGGTGCACGAACTGTATTCGAATCGTTTACGGTAACAAGAACGCGCAAGGCAAATTGCAGGTCTGCCATAGGCTTGAACCACGGGTCAGTTGCTTATACAAATATAAGGCGGCGGGGATGTATTTACCACGTCTGCTGTCATGCTGACTGCATGCTCAAGTAATGTACGAGCATCTGCTTCTTGGCCGTTTGTTATTGCAATCAATGCTTGGCCAATCCAAGCCAGGGTATGATCCGGATCAAGAGTTTGCGCCTTCGTAAATGCTTGGGTAGCCAAGTCGATGTCGTTATGATGTAAGTAGAGGAGACCAATCTTGGTCCACGCCACCACGTTCTAGATAGGTTGAGTTGAGATTGCAACAGGGATATGTGTCCCACCAACCTTGGTGTCAACTTCGATCGCCTTGATATACGCATGTTGCGACAGTTTCGGCTTTTGTGCAAAGTGGAGATCACCCAATGCGACCCAGAACCTGACATTTCCAGGCTCTAACTGTAGGGCTTGAACCAAGAATGAGTTTGTTGCCTCTAAGGCTTTCCCCGTGGTACCGGATGGCTGTTTCAAAATCCACTCGTGCAGGGCTACAGCAAGGTCGTACAACGAGCTTGGGAGAGCGGCTTCGTCGGAAGAGCCCACTGTGATGCGGTAATCGTAGGCAGCGACAGCAGCTTCGAGTGCGTTCAGCCCGGTGACTCGGTCGTCCGGAGAGAGAGTTGTGAACTTGAATAGACCGGCCAGCCGAGCGCTACTTTGATCTTGTATGATTTCGCAGACCACGGTCACGGTTGCACGGACGTTGTTTTCATCCGCGAAGATAGTGATTACCGATAACTCAAATAGAGCATCAGCAGCGATTTTCCAGGCGACTCCACGATATCCCGGGCTTTCCCGAATGGCGACTAACACAACGTTGACACAGGAGATAAAAGACTGCTCAGCTCGGGTAACAAACCCGGTAAACCTTTCATGTCGGGCTAGGTCGAGGTAGGTCTGCGCAACAGATAAAAGGACACCAGCTTCAGTGGGACGAACATCCAGTATAGACTGGAAAGAGGTAAGAGCTTCTGCAAGCCTTCCCGCTTGCCGTTGGACTTCCCCTATAAAGTATGTACACATCCAGTCGTCCGGTTGAAGCTCGTGAGCTCGACCAAGTGCCCTAAGGGCAGCGGCATGACGGCCGGCTTTACTGTAGGCTTCGCCAAGTCTTAGCCATGAGAGCTGGTCATCGACATCCGCTCGGAGTGCCACTTGAAAAACCTTGATGGATTCCGCATAGTTCCTCCTTATCTGTGCCAAATAAAGTTAGGTTGGAAATAAACGTCACAAGTACATCCTTTACCAGCTCAACAACACCGAGAGCCTTCCATGCCCACGCGTTTGTCGGAAGATACTTTCCCGAAGCTGCAGCATCTCCTTCCCCCATACCCGCACTCATCCCGCCTTCACCATCTATAGTACGCCGAGCCACTACCTCAACCAGATCCCATTCACGCTCATCAGCAAAGCCTTCTGCAAGGCGCCTCGCAGCCTCTGATTCACGAGCATCCAGTTCAAATGCTTTCTGGAAACACTTCGAAGCTCGAGTAGGGTCGGGCGGTGACGCGTGTTCTGAGTAATATAGACCTAGCGAAGTGTATGCTGGCGCATACTCGCGATTGTGTTTGAGCGATGTGATGAAGTATTTGAAAGCTTCCTCGCGAGACTCTCCTGTAATAGGGATCAGTAATATGAGGCAAAAGGCGTGGGTCGTTATACCTCCTAGATCCCAGTAACATCTTCCAATCCGCCACAGGCATCGAGCTTTATTGGTGTCACGGTCCTCGATATCCTTCAAGGTGTCAAAGACCTCTTTCAAAGCATCTACGCCAGCATCCGCATGCATCCGACTAAGGCACCACGCACTCTCCTCTTTTGCTTCCACACCTTTGTCAATATCGTCAGGGAGCTGCTGAGCTGCTTGCGCAAATAGCACCTCCGCCTCCTCCCATTTTTCAGCGTATCGGAAAACATACCCCTTCCCCATCAATCCGTCCACATTGGTAGGATCTTGCTTCAGGACGTCATTTAAGAAATAAAGAGCGCGAGTGTGGTGCTTTGGAGGAAACAGGTGGACGAAGGATGTGGCCAGAATAATGTGAAAGGCCTTGCGCACTCTAAATGGACGATAAGTTGTCACTGCAGTTTGAAGGTTCTAATTCCACATACTCTTGGAGTTCACGAGCTGTGTTTGACTCATACCTGCGCACCAATTCCAGACCGCTTTCAGCGACTTTGATGGCATCTGTGTATTCGAGTTCCTGTAAATGGACTCGAGCTGTGATCATGTTCGCTAGTAATGAGTCCGGGAGTGCTGAAAAGGCATCCTGAAGAGATATGTCAGTGTCAGTGATATCGATATCTTCTACAGCGTGATTCGTGAACTTGCAAGAATAGTGCCATAAGGGTCGCTATCCACCGCAAAGGTCAATTCTTCTGTTGATTCTTCGTCACCATAAGCAGCCTTGTTGTATGTCAAGTATCCTGTCAAAATCAGCGCTAATGTACTTGTCGGGAAGAGTTCTATGAACTGCTTGAGATACGCAAGACCAAGACCCTCTAGAGTAGCCAATTCAGTAATCATGGTTAATTTGATGGCGTGCCCAGTACCAACTGTATCATAATCTTTCCCTTCAAACCAGATGCACCAGGCAAACTCATCCGGAATGCCGATCGTCACGATACCGTGAACCATGTCATCCAATTGCATGCCAACTTGGCGTTTTTCTGGGTCAGTAGAGGGGAGTGCCAGAAACAATTGATGTTTATATCGAACGAGTTTCGATTCTGTGGCGCGCCGCAGTTCGTCCGAGGTGCTGGGGTGATTGAGAATATCGTTGTATAATGCTGGAAGCTGCAAGGTCAAGATTAGCCTGACAACCGGAGTGTTCGCAAGGCTGCTTTACCTTTGACGAATGCCAAATCTCGATGCCAATGTCTTTCTTGAGTTGCTCAGGTTTAGGAGCTCCAAGGCGAGTACGTCGCCTGTCAAACTCAGATTTGATAAACATATCTTCTTCTCGCTCTGTCAGGGATACAAGCTCCTCATATACAGCGAGTGAATTGTGGATTGCCGATTGAGTAGGAAAAATTGAGGTCGATGTGGGATTCGTAGCATCAGGTGGAGGGAGCGTTGAAAGAACCGGATACAAAGTGGAGTCTGGTAGGTAAGAGTATAATGCTTGAATGACCTAAACACGTTGAGAAAGACGTCTTCAAGATGGGCAGATTCATACCTCACGGCGTGTCCCATGTTGTCGGAGAATATCCATTAATTTTTGAAGGGTCTCAGCACATTTCGTGGCGTCGTCACTGTACGATTTCAATTCTCAGCTGTATGCATCACAATGAGAACGCAATCACTTTTTGGCGAATATTTGCATTATGTGCTCCAGAGTATCCGCTAAATCGTTCCACCTCTGAGTTTGTTCGTAAAGCTTTGCGATTCCCTGTGCATTGCACTAGGTGAGAATCACTTATTTGAGGCTAGCAACACACTGTACCTGCCATGCAAGTATTTGATCATCCTTGAGTTCTATGGCCTTTCGATAAAACTGAGGTAAAAAAAATTAGCTTATATGCGCTGCACAACGATCGTCAGGTTTACTTGCTCGCTCGTCTCATGCTGGCCGAGTTCTAAGAGAGCAAGACCAAGAAACACATGGCTGCCCAGCGCAAGATAGTCGATATGAGATTCGCAACACATTCTTTTAGATTGGGAACGCACGCGGTATAGTTATCAGGCTCGTATTCGAGGACCTGTGCAGCGGCTTCACGTGCTTGTTCGTACTTTTTCTTTCCAATAGCATCTCTCGCTGCCTTCAATTTGGACTTCGCGAATGATGACATGATCTGCAGCCGCCGGGCAAGAACTCGACTGGGCGCTCGAAAAGCGCTCTAGGGTACAAACCGCCCTGGCCTATGTGAGGATAGTAATGTATTTGAGCTTACGTAGAAATGAAGCGTCGTGCAGGATGTCTTCACAAGTGTTATGCCCAGTTGATCTACTGCTTGAAGCTGTGGTAGTACTCGTCCAATGTACCAAGATCAAACGGTGGCTTACTAAGCGAGACCGGATCTATTTACATAGCCGTTCTGATTTGCATCGTCTCAAAATTTCAGGCTCGCCAGCGTGATATATATGTTCTTTATTAGCGGCTAGGACTAGACTTGTCAATCGAAGACGATGACGAACCTGAGATACAGGGTTTGCAAAAATAACAATAACGATACAGTGAGAAATGGTGCTACTAGTGCACTGTGAGCTAGTATCGAACTCAGATCTACATATACATAGTAAGTACTACTAGTATAGCGTGACATAAAGGATACATATCGGTCATACAGAGGAAAATGCAGAACGGTCATTAACAGGATAAAGCCTTGTACGGATTTTTCAACAGTGATGTGCGCACAGCGCCTTGCCAGGGGAACCCAAATCTCCGAAGACAATAATACGCAACTAAGCCAGATTTTTGTTTTCATCGAGTCGAAGCTGGACTGGAACTGCGAGGTGTTTCGGTACCTGTTCTGTAGGACCCATAAATAAGACGGCGGATGACTTGTTCTGATCTCTGTCGACGTGCGCGCATCGCGAGCGAGTATGTTGGATCGTCAGGAAGAGAAGTGATACAAGCGTGTGCGGAGAACCGCATTCCGAGGCGTTCCAGATTGTCCTTGTTCTTCGTCCACCACACATCCATGTCCTTGGGATAGTCTTCCAAGCAGGTGACCACAGCGGCGACCGGTACGCGGCTTGCCACAGTGGCTGTGGAGCCAACGATGTCAGTGAAGAATTTATAATCCTTGATCAGTGCTCTCTGGGCCCTCGATCCCCTCAAGCAATATAAAAGAAGGTAGACTCCGTCATCTTTGTACAGCTTCTTGAATGACTTTTTCAGGCGCCATTTTGTAAAAAGGGCCCGGAAAAAACCCATTGAGTCGATCGAGGAAACTTCCCAAAGTTTGAATTGGCGATCTGCAAGATTGACTTCATGGGGGGTATGTTGCAATGTGCAGGGTGCTGCGTCTGGCGACGTCTGTGCAACGTCGCATCCCATAATCAGGTTGATGATGGCGCTCTTTCCAACTCCAGTCTCCCCGAAAAGTAACACGTTCAAAGGACCTGTAACTGACTTGATCGCGTGGAAGAATCAGTACAGATAAACACAATACATCACTAGGTTCTCACCAGCGACGAGACCGTAGAGAAGAGATGATGTGTTGAAGGACTAGAGGGAACGGTATTGCGTGATGGAACAAGCGTTTGCAAGGAAGACTGAAACGACCGTGCAGTTGACTGGTTGATAAACATTTGAGCTAGATTGCTTCAATCACAAACTGGCGAGTTCATACCTGCTCCGCAACCAAGTCTGGATTTTGACGGCTTTCTTGTACCCCGTCATCAAGGACGTCCTATCAGAGTCAGAAACTCTACTCCTACATGACGAGATAAGTCATGAGCTTACATCCTGTTTCAAAGCCTCCAGCTCCCCCGTTATGAAGTTCATAGCCGTTAGGGCACATGGACGAGCAGGTGGATCAATTGACCAACACTGCTCGATATGACCCCAGCGGGGGTCTGTGACGTCAGACATCGCCTCGGATACTTCAGGACGTGGGACATCCTCTCCATTTTGTATTTTTTGAATGACTCTGTACTCGTCAATGTCATGCCAAGGAATAATCAGAGTCAACAACTGGGATGAATGACACATTAAGTGTAATTTTGTGGGCTCAAAACGCTTACACTTACATGGAACATGACACGACCAAAAGAATACATGTCGTTCTGCGTGGTCGGTTTAATATTGGAAGGGAGCTCATGTGGCCTGAGCAACTCAGGCGCAGTCCACCTGACTGCACCAGACCGAACAGTTGATCCTTCAATTTGGGACATTTTTAAATGTCCGCAGAGGACATTTGACAAACCGAAGTCCGTTAGGCAAGCCTTGTATTCTCCTTCCTTGAGATCTACCAAAACGTTAGACTGCATTGTTTAGTGAGTGCAATTAAACGTAGAGAGGATGAGCTCACGCTCGTAATGTCACCGTGAACAACAGGAAAAGAATGAACTAACAGCGAATTTATTAGTTGAGACAAGGCGATCATGAAGGAATTACAAACGATAGTAGAGTCCAGATGCTATGCCGTGAAGCTGGGATAATTCAGTTGAGGTCCATTGCAGCTAAACAGGTCTAAGTTACCAGCTTCAATTTGGATTTGATGGTTAATGTAGCACCCTGTTCTCTGATTAGATGGGACAGCGTGCCGTCGGGAAACCACTGGGAGACAAGTGCTGTGGCTGGCCCGAACTGCTCTGTCGTTCCATAAAGTGTAACGATATTGTCATGAACGAGGTGTGCCCATATTGCAGTTTCTCGTCGAAACCTCTAGCGAATCCACGTAAAATAGTGTTCAAAACAGAAAAAATAGACCCTTACTCTTAAGTCCTGCTCTGAGATGGGATTCGTGTGATGCCTGAAGGTTTTTACTGCGACCTGTAGTGCGATAATGGACAGGCTGATCAGCAAGTGACACCAGCACTGCCCACTGGCCAGACCTTCTTGACAGGGCCCGACGGTTTTCTCCATTCACATCTGTAAACGTTTGCGAATGCACCACTGGCAGCGTAATCATTTATTCCACCGAAGATCTGACCTGTCAGATCTTCTGCTAGTGACAGTTGTATTTCGGGACTAAAAAAGGGAGCTGAATCAATGAAGACTTGTTTCAGTATGAACACCTACGGAGGTGGAAGTTCCGAGGTGGATGCCTAAGTAAAATATATCAGGAACCAACACTGATTGGGATACCGACTTGTGCAAACCTGTGAGTTGTCGTTCCCAGACCGGGTGCTGCACTCAGGGACTTTGTGGTTCCCCGTGGACTCGCTGGACTGCCCTGCGTCCTGTTGACTCGAGGTGCAGGGGTCGTCATAGACAGTGTCGGAACGCGCTGCCGTAGTAGTCACTGTTCTGCCCCGGGAAAGTCCTCTTTGGGAGCCTGAGCGTGTGATAAGATTGACTGTCAAAATACGTTGACCACTTCCATTCTGCACAGCTTTAGATTTGGAGCGTATGTCATGCGATGGCTGAGGTGGGTTCGACATTTGGAGCGTTGTCCGTCGAGTGGTGAGTTCGAGTCTAAATCATGAGATCTCAGAGGGCGCTAGTCTCATATGCTGGAAACTTAGAATTTAAGCTCCAAGCTATATAGCGTGGGGTCATCCTATGTCATCGTGCATGCCCATTGCCCTGTGCCCATTGCCCAATGATATTATTGGCATCCGCTCAACATCCGCTAGTAGCCCACTAGCGCCTGTGAATTAAATAATGGAATTTAGAACTCCTCTAGAAAGTCATGGATGACGACTGATACGCACAGCACAGATATTTTTGGCGGCAAGAGCAGTGGTCGCGAACGATATCTATCAATTAAGTGAAGTACTTACTGTTAGGATGTACGCAGAGAAACTATAGCCTCTTACTGTGACAGTATTTACTAAGCCGAACAACCAGAGAGACTTATTTGGCAAACAAAGTAAAGTGACTATTAGTTAGTAGTCACATTTAGGCTATATCGTATCAGAGTCTCACGTGCTAAGCGCTGAATATTGTTGCTACGCTAGAGCTTGACTTTCAACTACAACGTCAACTCAGCTGGCTGCTCCGGGCTCACGATTTTTCGTTTATTCCCTTGTCTTTCATTTCTAACCGCTCTTTATTATTCCCAGATACCAAAGCACCGTTCTGGGTGTACAAGTCAGTCTTTTTTCTGGAGAGAGTCATGGCGGCTAGGTTCGCACCACAGCCTACGTACGCATCTGCTGATGTCCCAGTCCCTACAAATCGTCCACCTCAGCCCACGGGCACCACTATACGCCGTGCAAAAACCCTCACTCGCCCGGAGCGAAGTGTCGCACCAGTACCTCTCATTAATCCCCAGTCATCCCTCACCCCCTCCGCATCAGGTACTATTCAAACCGGCTCCCGGAGCAGTGGTTTCGACCCATGGCGCTTGTTCGCTCAGATCGTTACTTTCTGGGCTCCATCCTGTTTGCTTCGCTCTCTCGGGGGTCTCAAAGACAAGGGCAAGATACAGGCATGGAGAGAGAAAATCGCCTTATGTTTCATCATTGCTATCTTATGTTTCATCATTGGCTTCATTACCGTCGGCACTCAGAAGGTCTTGTGTCCCGAGACATCCAGCATGAACCCCTCGCGGTACTCGATTCTTGGCTCACTCCCCGGCACGCTGAGCATACTTGGGATTTTATACAATGTCACCCAAGCCAACAGTCCTGCAAGTGTGAACCTCGATCAACTCACCCTTAAAGAGCCAGGACAGGACATCACTCCCTACTTCTATCGCACTGCCAGCCAATATTCCGCGTGCCAAGGTCTCAAATTCCGTGTTGCCTTGGACCAACCGTGTATATCTACAACAGACTGTCCTCTTGGTGCAATCAATGCCTCTTCCACCTTTACGCAACTCGATATCCATGAGACAACTCTTCTGCTTGGTTACGACTGGGACCAAGTCGCCGCCCTCCCAAATTATTTCGTAATTGACGGTGCCGTGCTAAACATGAATCCCTACATGACACAACATCCCAGCCCGGTAGCTTCCGACCCCGTAGATCTCGCAATCCGCACTATCCTAAAGACGCAGGCGAGCTCTAGTGGAAAGGATGGCACCCGTCTATTCTACAACCGTGCTGACATCCTTACAGCAGTTCCATGCCTCTATCAGCGATACTATGCAGGAAACATAGCCAAGATCACCCCCGGCTGCTTCGTCAGCTCCCTCTTCCTATATGTCGGCCTCATCGTCATCCTTGCCCTCGTCCTTGTCCGCTTTGCAATGGCGTGTGTATTTAGCTGGTTCCTGTCTGCAAGGCTTGCAGGTCACCCGGACACGTCGCATCTCAACAGGTCGGCCATCAGTCCGGCGGTGATGCCTGGGGGTGCAAATATCTCAGTTGACAACCGCACGGGTACAGCACCATGGGCTGGCCCTCATGGGTCGAAGAAACTCGTTAAAGCAATCCCTACCCGCCTTCCTGCATCTTCCAGCACGACCTTATTACCGGAAGCTGCACCCGTCATGTCTCTCACGCAAATTGGTGCCGAGTTATTCGCCATCTGCCTCGTAACATGCTATTCTGAGGGTGAAGACTCTATACGTTCCACGCTGGATTCCATTTCTCGGACGACTTACTCTGATGCACGCAAGCTACTTTTTATTGTGGCCGATGGCATGATCACCGGTGCAGGAGAGAAGATGAGCACACCTGATATATGTGTGGGATTGCTGGATGCGGATCCTCGATTCGGCAATCCCATGCCCATGAGTTATCTTGCAATTGGAAGTGGAACGAAGCGGGAAAATAGGGCAATGGTCTATGCAGGACACTACAGTACGCCTTCATTTCTTTGTGCGAGGGCCTAGTGCTAATAACATCGGTCAGCGGTTGCTGGTCGTCGCACACCTACTGTGATTGTTGTCAAATGTGGAACGGAGGCCGAGGCTACCAGTGACAAAAAACCTGGAAACCGCGGCAAACGAGACAGCCAGCTCATTCTCATGAACTTTTTCTCTCGCGTCACATATAACGATCGGATGACCCCTCTTGATTTCGACTTGTTCCGGAAGATCCATACTCTGATGGGTGTCACGCCTGACTTTTTTGAGGTGTGTTTGATGGTACGTGTTCATCTATCACTCCACTTTCGTGTATTGATGTATCCACAGGTTGATGCCGATACCAAAGTATACCCTGAGTCGCTGAAATACCTCGTCAACTGTATGCACCACGACCAGATGATCATGGGCGTCTGCGGGGAGACCCGCATAGCTAACAAACGTGATTCCTGGGTCACCGCCATCCAAGTCTTCGAATACTTCATCTCCCACCACTTAGCCAAAGCCTTCGAATCCGTCTTTGGTGGTGTTTCATGTTTGCCTGGCTGTTTCTCCATGTTTCGACTGAAAGCGCGCAAGACGACGGGTGACGACTGGATACCTCTCATTGTTAAGCCTGAAATTGTACGCGAATACAGTCAAAGCGAGGTCACCACGCTGCACCAACAGAACCTTCTTTTACTCGGAGAAGACCGCTTCCTCACCACCATTCTCCTTCGTACATTCCCCAATCGCAAGATGATGTTCTTACCCCAAGCCAAATGCCGGACTGTTGTACCCGATACTTTCAAAGTTCTCCTCTCTCAACGTCGTCGATGGATTAACAGCACGATCCATAATCTCATGGAGCTTGTTCTTGTGCGCAATCTATGCGGGACATTCTGTTTTAGCATGCAATTTGTGGTCTTCATGGATTTGCTCGGGACGGTCGTACTACCCATCGCCATCGTGCTCACGTATGCGCTCATTGTGGGCATGATCATGCAACCCCCAACAACCTTCGAGGAAGCGATCCCCCTCATGCTACTTGTGTCTGTACTGGGTCTTCCCGCTGTGCTGATATTGATAACAACGAGGAAGGTTGTATATGTATTCTGGATGATTATATACCTCGTGGCACTTCCGGTGTGGAATTTTGTTCTTCCCGTGTATGCATTCTGGCACTTTGATGACTTCTCATGGGGAGAGACGAGGTATGTACATTCCGTTTCGTGCAAGCTGCAGTGCTAACGGATAGGTTACAGGAAAGTGGAAGGGGAGACAAAGGGAGAAGGGCATGGTGCTGGCTCTGGCACCTTCGATGGTTCCTCGGTTACTCTTCGCCGCTGGGAAGATTGGGAGCGCTCACGCTTACGCAAACTCAAGCGTGAGGAACGGCGGCGGCGTGACTTTGATCGTATGCATCCAGCGGGGTACATTTCTGAAAACGACCTACTAAGCGCCCGCAATGAAGCACGTAGTCCATACGGCGACGGATCAGACACGTATTCCTTTGTGTCATCCGAGGACGATCATTATGGTCCGCAGATTGGTGGATACAACGAGAACAATGCTCAGTTCCCTGCTCCGCCTGTCGGTCTGTTTGCCTCTGGGCATGGGGCTGATGGGAACAAGGTGGTTGGCGGTGCAGAGTTGGAGGCGATGTTAGAGAGTGGGTTTGATGATGACGAGAGCCCGCAACGGACCCCCACGAGCGCGATGTACGCCGCACGGTATCAGCTCAGTGATAACCCATCACAGCAGCGTCTCATGTCCTACGCGTCATCCGACTCGGGCTCACGAACACCCCCCGTACAGCATCAACCGTACGGCACACGAATAGAGGACCGGAATCGCACCGGTGAGAGGTATGGCCCGCTGGGCCCGTTAGATCCAGGAGAGAAGTTTTAAATTGGGACGCTTGTTTTTGTGAGGACGGTATCTCATTCGATGTTTCATACATACTGCACATAGTGTCTGTGTGGGTTTTTATAAGTATCTCATATGTTTACCCACAGGGTGCTCACTATATTTGGTACGGAACCATGGTAGATACTATAATCATTCAACACTTGCTGTTAACTGTTTTCTCTACGAATACATGACAGGACTATATATAATATCATGTACATGCTCCAAGTTGTTTTTTTTCTCATTTGATGCGCGAGATTACTTGTGAAGATGAGAAGCGCTACCAGATAGCAGATAGAGAATTTTTATTCTATTTGTGCGATGCAGTGATATATATCGTACAAGAACTATCTGCAATTGTGGAACTTCGTGATGTATGTAGATCGTTTGCAGCAATTTTGATCGCGAGGGATCCAACCCTGTCTTCTAGAACAGTATCGTCTTGGAAGTCTGCGTCATTCCCTTCTTGATGAACCGTATTCTTGCCACCTATAAAATCATCATCAGGCAGTAAAGCTCCATCTTCCGTGTTTAGCTTCGAACGCACAACTCGCACCAGTTCATGCATAGCCATCTGACCTCCGAGCCGAAGATCGCTGATAGCGAGTGATTGATGAGGAGATTACGAGCCTCACCAAGCACTACGAAACGATGTAGAGCATGAAGCGTCGTATATTGCTGGGGATATGAATCAGAAAGGATTGTAAGGTACTGAGATTAATCACTCGTGCGCTGAAAGGTGGCCTGTGTTCGAAGTTTTAAGCTATTTTTTGTCTTCAGCTTGTTCGCCGATTATGCCCATAAATTCCTGGAGAAAATCACCCAGAGCATTCTGAACCAAGGGACCGTCGGTTGCCGACACATGGGCATGGCTGTACTACCTGTGACTATTGTTGAGTAATCAAATGACAAGGTAAAGATGACGCCGCCACCTATTGCTTCGAGAAGGCTTCAACTCCATAGATCTTAAGCTCCGACACTTCTTTATCTCATACAAAGAGTTCTGCTAACGTCTGCGCGCAATGCACAAGCGGTTCCTTTGTCGGAGCTGGCCACAAGCTAGTATCCAGCATTTTAAACAATGCGGTAAACGTCTTGTCTGATTGTGCAGGGATGGATAGACTCGTGATCCGTTCGAGGCGATTGTATGAGATGGGCATCGTTGATAAGACGTGTGTGATTGCATGAAATACAAACCTATGAATAAATCTACTTCGCTCAATTCAATGGGAGATTGTAGGTCAAAGAGGGTGACGGACGATTCGATGATCGTTCACAGAGTACGAGAAGAGTTAGAAGTGCTTACTAAGTAGCTTCAAGTTGCTTGGAACACTGATCATGGCATCAAAAGGAATACCACTTCCTCTTCACGACACCCTACGAGACCTTGCTCTTCTGCGGGCTTCTTCTGTGGACCTCTCTGGTTTGATTGCTGACGATACGATGTCCTCACAGGCTTCGAAAGAGGCTGAAGGGGTTGAAGAATCCACAATCCAATCATACGCGTTTGTGAGAGAAGTGCGGACAGCGTTGAGAATGCACAATTCAGGAGAAGCCCAAAAGCAAGCGACAAGGATCGAGAAGGTACAAGTGGAGCTAGTAGATGTGTTGAGAAGTTTATCGGATTGAGGTGTGTAACAATTTAGCGGCGAGTCAACTTAACTTTACTGATTTTGTTTAGTAGCTGGTTGTGTTTCCGGGCCTATGAACTTCAGATATGTTGACCACGTATACGTCGCAGTCCATTCTTGTTGTAATATTCTCGATCTTCTCATTGCTGCAAAATTCAATGAATACGGTGCGTTACGCAATAGTCTGTTAGCTCAAGTGGTCGTTGTACTACGATGTGCGATACACTGCAAGATATTTTAGTACTAAGTATGTACCCGATAGTGTCCATGACAAGTCCGAAAAAGTTATCCTACGATTGATTTTCGTATTTAATGTGCTGCGCTACCTGCTGAGCCACCTCCTTGGCCATCCCACATCGTTTTGTGAGAACCCCAATGATATCCGTCTTTTTGGGACGTCCAACGACAAATTCCACAAGCTTGCTAATGAACGAAGTAAGCCATCCTTGTCCACCGGTCCACCCTTCCATGGATGCGTTGCAATGAACCTCAACCACTCTACGGAGTATTCCACGCGACTCATCATACTTGTCTCTATGCCTCCCATCCAGAAGATTCGCCGCAGTTATGCATGCGTGTCCCGCGGACCTGATGTTATACTTCTCCAAGTAGCTCATATTCCGCGTGTACCAGTCTTCCATCCTTAACTCTCTTTCGAGGTTTGTGACGACTAGCGCGAGCGGGACTTTTTCCTCGCAGAGAAATTCGAAGAACAACCTATAGTTGCTCTGCATGGTTGCTGTGACTCTGCCTCCGCGTATACAGAAGAGCAAGAGGTTGACACCTCCACGTTCTTTCAAAGTGTTGATGAGGCCATATGCATTTGAAATTGCGGAGAGGTACTCTCCAGTTTGTAGACGAGGTTCTTCGAGGCCGACCGTATCAAACACCTTGTATCGAGACCCATTTTCGAAGGTTATTTGGTACTCCGTCCAATGCAGAGTACAGCGGTGAGAGTCGGGCGATATGTGTGCAATCTCTTGGCCAGCTAACAGGTTAATGACAGAGCTTTTGCCCGCTCCTGTTTCTCCAAAGATAACGACGTTTCGAGTCAACACTGGCGCCATCTTATGTTCGACTTGCAGTCAGCAATATTCGACCCTTCAAGTTGGATATAGCGCTACTCGTACCTGTGCACTGGTGATTCCGCGTTGTGTCGTACAATAGCAATTGCCCCAAAATGATGCTGTTTGTAACAGGTATATATGATGCGAAAGGTGTTGTAACCACGCGCCTTCGGTACGTTTTCATAATAGTTTTATATCACCCTTTTGTCTCAAATTTTAAACACTCACAGGGGAGACACCCGGCTTCTGTTAACCAGCTTCCTTGATCGATCTTTCGGCGACTCGGAGTCGACGGCGACACTCGATATGTGCAATAGAACTGCAGCGAATGCCAGGGTCTAGACAGGCATGCATAAGGCATGCCTACCATACGATTCCGAAGGGGAATCTAGCTATTTCGATGCTCGCCACGTTTTGATGTCGAAGTCCTCGTGTATTCATTCATCGGATACTCCCGCAGTGCAGCCCTCATAGCCGTGGTACAGGGTGCAACACGTTGGTTCTAGCCAAAAGCGCTCGCCACGGAGCCAATTGCTTAAACGCCCAGTAGCCGTTATCCATCTCTTCAATAGATTTACGATCGCACGCGAAGTAAACTTGTGCCAATCTCTTTTTGCAAAACTAATTGGGTCTCTCAGAGAAGATGTCTGATAGCCACGACACCACAGATACGACAGGGAATAAATATTCGCAGCAGGTTCGTAATCTGCTCCATCGGTCAATCCAGTATGCGACTGATGTCATCTGTAGGGACATCAAGGTCGGCCGCGTAACGTGGTACTCTATGGGGAGAGTGGGGTAGGCAAAAGCTCGCTCATAAACCTTATCATGGGTCGTGATGCAGCGAAAACATCTCCTGATGCCCTCGCATGTACTACTACACATGCTCCGTATGATGCGACGATCAGCGGGCAACACTTCAGGCTGTGGGATACAGCAGGTATGTATTCTTTCATGCCTAAGGTTTTGGCCCAGAGCGGCTCAATGATCATGTCTTCAGGGTTAAATGAGGGCTCAGAAGGCACAGTACCTGCAGTGACGGCTGAAAGGAACTTGACTGCGTTCCTCCGAGGTCTTAACCAGGAAGACGGTGTCCATCTTCTTATATATTGTGTGCGCGGAACGCGAGCAACGAAGGCTCTGCAAACTCACTACAAGATATTCTCGGCAGTTATCCGTGATAGCAAAGTGCCCACGATTATTGTGGTGACGTGCCTGGAAGACTTCCGTCCCGTGATGGCAGAGTGGTGGAATGAGAACAAGGACGAGCTTGCAACGTATGGAATGCAATTCTCTGGATATGCTTGCGTCACCACTTTGAAGGATGAACCCACAGAGTCCCCGGATATTCACCAACGTCATGCACAGTCCTACAATGATGTCTGCAGAAGCATCCTAGACCATTGTTCGCAGACTCCTCACAAAACGTGGGGCGCTGATACTATCAAAGATCAGCGAAGCTTCCTCGCGATTTTGCTGCAGAAATTAGCTCGTTTTGTTGGAGGAGCCCACCGTGACCAGGATGCCTTAAAAGCATCTTTGTCGTAGCCAATTCTTGTACAAACGATTTCTGTGGCGTGAAATAGATGTTGGCTCCACAGTACTACTAGTAGTGATATCAAACTTCTACCACTTACCCAATTCTTTCGTACTTAGCATCACGAAATGCCTGCATGACTCTCGGATGATACCCGACTAGCAGAATTCAAGAAGTCATCGCTGTTACTGTCGTGGACTCGTGGTTACGGTGAAATTTGGAAGAGCATCATGCAGGTCGCATTTATGTAAAGGAAATGATTTCGGGCCATTCTGCCGAATCAATAAACGTCTGGAGCGATGCACAGACGAGCAGATCGCGCACTCGATGCAGGCCTCCACATATCGAATTTCAGCCGGCGCTCGACATCGAGAGTCTCAATTCTTGCTGCCTCACCTCAAGCTACAGCATAATCATAATTACGATTCATGCCAATGTTGCTGAAATCAGGATTGACTGAAACCTGTCTGACCGCGTCACTACTGGCCAAATTACGTCCGTCCAACCGTATGTTGCAAATTGTCACAAGCCCCATCACCGTCTTTGATATATCTTGCGGTTTCTTGCCAGCTTGAGCATGTTGAAGATGGCACTTGGCATCCGCTGCAGTACTAGGCTCTCGCTCTGAACTGTCATGACAGCTCCCAGTGAAGGAAATGGAGAGGCTTCCTCGGGTTTTATTATCAATGTTCAAACTTCATTAACGTCAGTCGCGGAGAGCCTTTTATTTCCCTGGCCGTCTGCTCTCTTGTGAAGCTTCAGGCCTCGATATTCCCCTCGTCCCACTCCATTCCTAAACGACATGCCGCATTGGACCGAACTTGTTGCAGAGAAAAAGTAGAGGGAGCTCAAGTCCATTCCACAAGAGCGGCTTGTGTTCCCTCCTCTAGACTCGAAGACCATTGCACCACCAAGAGCTGCATTCGAGAAAGCGGGGCCAACTTCCCCGGCGGTGTTGTCAACACGTATCGTGGATCCACAAGGGAAAGGAGGTGCACGAGGAGAGATGGATCCGAGTGCGTGGGAGATAGGTATGGTGGCGAATATTGATTATGGGACGAGTTAGACACAGGTGCAGGGGAAAGAGAGTTAAACTAAGTGTACGCGTGCCACACGTCTTCCATCATTCAGGACTGATGCGAAGCAGGACGACGGAGACCAAAGAAAAATCCGCAGCAGCTCACTCCTGCATACACAAAGTCTTCCGCTCCATCAGTTGAGCCTGGTGCTTTGGTTTGAATTGGTGTTTGAGATGGTTGTGCCCCAGCTGGTTGACCTAATCGACGCAAGACGGGGGGTCAAAGGTCTGACGAGACATATGAGAAAAGGTGGGATTGCTCACGATTGGTGGGCATACAACTCTCGGTTGGGCTGGACGTTCCTAGTAAAAAGTGAGACGTATTGTGAAAGAGAAGCAGAGAAGACTTGCCTTGAGCTTTACATTGCCATCATCTGTGCCCTAGATGGCCAAACCCGTTAGGAAGAAAAATTAGACAACCAAGCGCATACGCACCATTGCCACAACATTTTTGAGCGCTGCCTCCAGAATCCATACATAGATTTTTTTGTCTATTCCAGCACTGGCAATGTATTTTCCATCGGGGGACATGACAACAGCGAAGAGTTGGTCATCATGCAAGAGTGGATCTCCGACTGCCTGAATGGTCTTGAGATCCCAGATCCGGACGGAGCAGTCACTTGATGCGCTAACCATATAGCTTTCATTGAGAGTAAGACAGAGGGATCTTATGACGCGGGTGTGACCCCGAAGAACAACGAATTCCTGTCCATCAATCGCCCGCCATTTTCGGATGGTGTTATCAGTTGACCCGGAGAATATGTGTGCGCCGTCCTTGGACTAACACAATGACGTCACCCCACTGTCATGTCCCTTGATCTCAATAAGCAGCTTGCTGTCCTTTGACCACACGCGGATGACACCGTCTACACCGCCACTCATGAATTTATCTTCTGGAGAGTACGTATTTGACGGCTTCAACCCATCCATGGCTCTCTATGGGTGGTGCTATTTGTCGACCAGTATCCGGATTCTACCGTCGTATGGTGCCGTCTGTCGATCCACTTGCTATCTCCAGGGAATTGCGAGACCAATCGAGGCACATCACTGGAGCATCATGCCCCTCCCACGGGTCGCCGATCATGCTGCCCTCCTTTATATTCCACAGCCGCAGCCCGCCATCGGCACTTCCACAAATCGCCTACAGTCGACGAGACATCTTTGAATATGGAACGGCCCTGTGGTTGCACATGAGGACGATATCTGAAACTCAGTAACTTGTGCGCAAGTCAAGATCTACATATGAAGGAATCAAGGTTCACAATCAGCTATAGATTCGGAGGAAGACAAAAGGTGAGCTAAAGGATATCGGTAAAGTGCCACTTCAAGCCAATGTGGATATCACGACAAAATGAACGATGAAACTGAAATACCCATGGACATTCACCAATGGTTCTAGCAGCAACAGGACAGGCCGCCTCTATGTCCGCCGGTGTCTACCTGAACTGCTACTGGTTGATGTTGCTGTTGCGTATTGGGATCCTGTGAAGGAAGGTCTTCATCACGTACCAAGGAGTGCTCACTGCCAGGAGCACCCGCTGCAGCATTACGCTAGAGATTTGAATATGAGATACCCAAGAAATAGTCATGACAAAATAACCGAGCGCACCTGTCGACCTTGGGCAAAAGGAACGTCGACAACAGGTGGGGTTGCATGATGGAGTGGTAGGGTAAATATGCGTCGTAGGTGAGTTTTGAAGGTGGTGATGGTGGTGGCGACTGGTGGTGAGGTGGTGGGCGGTGCAGGTGCAGGAACTGACTGAGGCCTCCTCGTCATAGCGAGCCTCAGTCTTTCGAGGCGCCCAAGGCGCCCAACTCGCTGTTGAAGTCTCGGCCGGGAAATCTGAGAACACTGTAATGAACTATGTGAGAGAGAATAGAAGGATACGCCCTTGCACACACTTGATGCGTTCCATAGAAAAAATTGGGTTCTGCATCATGGCCGTCGTCATCTTGGCCGGGGATATCTGCCTGCATAATAGTCAGTATCGAAAGAGGTAAGGAAAGAGGTACATACACCAAGAATACAGTCGTTATGCGCAGCGAGCGTGCTGCATTTCTCCTTGAACTCTGAGTGACACGCGGGTGAGCATGATAGTCATGGGTGACATGACGGAAGACTTGCCGTTGGACCAATCGAGACAGTTGGCCTTCGCAATGTCGTCGATGGCGTCCATCATGTATTTGTGTGCTTCGAGGGCTTCATCGGGTTTACCTGCCGAAAGGAGAGCCTGGCACTGTTTCTGGTGTGCAGTGAGCAGCAAGGACTCGAGATCCCAGCCGAAGAGCTGCAAAAAGGTTTCGGTTATGAAAAACATTATGTATGCATCATGTCGACGGACCACGGTCAAGTCCTGGTATGCGAAATGAATGTATTCCGATGAGAAAGCGTCTGAGTTAACAGCGGCAGTGAAGTGATCAGCGGCTTCGTCGTGATGCGCGCTATCAAAAGCTTTGATTCCGAGTTGAACACGTAGATATGTCTATTGTTGAGAAGATCAGGATTGATGACCGAGTGTGGCCACATGATACCCACTTCCACGACACGACGCGCAAAAGGATCGACATTCGGACAAGCGGCAGCTCGGTCTTTGATGAGCAGCATTGCTTCCTCATGTTGATCCGCGTTGAAGAGTGCTATGGCCTGGAATGCCGGATGAAGCTGATAGCATGGGATACGAATTAAATGTACCTTGATCAAGAGAAGAAATTGGTTGGTTTCTAAATCTTGGTTCGTGAACGTGGATGCAACGTCGAATGCTACCCTTGCTTCTTGGATGTGACCTTTTCCGCACAGGGCGATGCCTTTGGAGATAAACCCAATCAATGATGGTTTAATGTCGATTGACTATATCCCGGATGAATGTTAGCCTTCCGTAAGATGACAATGATGGGTGGGTCCATCTCACCTTGATTGCATCCTCAAGAGCGTTGTCCAAGTTGTGCTTCCGGGCCATAACGAACGAACGATTGGCATACGAAGTAAAGTCGTCGGCGTTGGTGTGGATCTCTTGGGTGAGGAGCTCTTCAGCGATAGATAAATCCCCAGTTATACATGCATCGCGGGCTGTTGTAATGTCAAGGATCTGTACGAAGGATGCTCGAATTGCGTAATGAGAGTCAGAAATGGAAACTCGCCTTTGAATTGCCCTCGCTGGGTACTGCCCATTCTGAGACCTTGTTATCTGTACCTCCGCTGAGGATGCGCTGGCCGTCCACAGAGAATGTGACACATTTCAGGTTAGCTGAATGTTGGAAGACGGCGATGGTTCGTTGATCTGAGAGCCGCCAGAGACGGACTTGATTGTCTTCAGATGCAGAAGCGATGAGGGTGCCAGCGGGATGAATGGCAATGGCATATATATAATCAGTGTGGCCTTCCCAGGGACGATCGACCTGCTGCCAGGTTGATGTGTCCCACTCCAATATGTATAAACTGCCTCCTAAAAGAAGGCGTGTGCCATCGGGTGTCCACGCGAGTGACATGTTCCATAAGCCAGTGTCATCTGGCAAATATGCGACGCGTTCCCTTGTGCCTGGATTATAAATTTGGATATTGAAGGTTGCGATGGCAAGAAGTTCACCAGAAGGCGAATATCGAACGCAGTTGACATGACTGCCACACTTGATTGGATCTCCTTGCATTTGCCACGTTTTGGTACACCGAAACCCCACCGTGTAGTCCGATGAACCAATCACTGCGGAAACGAGAAAATAACCCGATAGGGTTGATGTAGAATTAGAGGTTCTAAACATACTATAACCGGAGGATGCACATTGGGCTTGTTCCTGCGGCTTAAAGTAGGGAAAGGTGAGCCTTTCGGACTATAACACGAGGCGGGAAAGAAGTGATGTGTGGGGGGTTGGTTAGCCCTTTTAGTAGCTAACCCAACCTAGTTAATGATCTGCTTAATGTCATTTGCGAGTCCGCTTTATGTCTGGATATGAGCTCAAACCAATTCCGATTAGAGTAGAGATAGGATGTAACATATGGTACAAGCGCTTCTACTAGGGATCCACGCCTGGGGCTGCGCTGCTCGATGGCGGGCCAGCCTGAATCTGTCGTTCTGTCGTTCCCTTCTCCTCGTCGCACACCATGTTTACAAACCAGACCTCTCAGCGGCGTCCCAGTGGTGCTCCGAATAACCCAGGTCAAGGTGCTGCCAGTACTAGTGTGGGGGTTGATCAAGACAACCAACAGCAAATAACAGAGGCGTACCGTGCTCAATTACACTCCATTCCACACTTGTCCCCACTCCATCGTGTTGGGAATAACTTGAACCCGCTGCAGCACGATGATCCGTTCACAAATAGTCAAGGATTCCCTACCCCTTCACCGGACCTTCGTCACCTGCAGGGATTTCCTACGCCGTCGCCAGATCTTGGTCGTCAAGGGCCATATATGTATGGTGGTGGACAACAGCAGACACCCGCGCTGCTTAGCATGAGATCTGGTGGTCCGAGTCAAGGTGGTTCTCCAGATGAGTATCAGCAACGCTATTTGTTTCATCAGCAAAAAGCAGCACCGCAAATGAATCAAGGTCCATACCAGCATGGCTCCCACACGTATGACGAACAGTTGCAGAATCTTAACTCTATGGTCGCGAAACTCGTCTTTGAGGTAGCAATGCTGTCGGAAAGTAACCAACAAATTCTTCTTGTTAATGCACAACACTCTGTCGCCAACGATACACTTACCTTGCAAGTCAAGACCTTAGAAGATCAAGTTCAAACATTGAAAACTGATATCTCGGAGTTGCAACTTGAAGCTACTGCAAAATCGCAGAAGAAATCGAGCGGAAAGAACATTTCCAATGACCACCCCGCCTTAAAAGTCGGTAAATTGAACAATATTACGAAGCAAAAAAACTCACGCGCTGTAGCAACTGATCCCGCCGATGTTTTGCAACCTTTGTGGAATCGATACTACCTTGAATAGAAATCAGTGACCGGAGGTGTTAGGTGCCATTCAACCACTAGAGAATGGAGCATTTTACGAGACAAGCGAATCTGGAGGCAAGACGATCCAAGTCTGGCACCCAAACTGGTTGGGACAAGTAGATGAAAGCGTGAATGCAAAGTTCATAAAAGAGGTTGCTGACTGTGTCTATAATGATGAGAAGGTAAGCGTTATCGAAGTCAAAGTGTTTCACATTCTCACAAGTTTCATAGCACTGCCGCGAGAGCCTCCACACAAAGGGGGAGATCCCTGACGAGGACTTTAATATGCAGGTCATTATGCAATGCACGAAGGATTACTTTCGCAACATACACAAGCAAGTGTTGAGTCGTAGTGATGTCGGAAAGGCCAAGAAGGCCCAGGAGAAGAAGGATCAAATTCGTCAGCGGACTCGTCGTCAAACAGTCAGTCTAACATTTGTGAATAAATAAGATGTAACTTACTACCATTCAGGCTACAAAAAACCGTCGGCTAGCAGCGCTTGACTGGGAAAAAGAGACTGGTAACGTTGGAGCTGTTGCAATGATAGACACAGATTTTGCATCCGACATCTTGTCATATGATGAGGGTGATCTGAGCGAGGACAAGTTGAATCGAAGAGCGAAGTCTGGGGCAGGCAAAGGTGCAAATATGGCTGTGGGGTTGGAATGGCGTTCACCTCAAGTGAGTATTTGATATGTTCAAGAGCTTGATTGATGTACCAACCTTTTTCATTAGTTTGTCGCATTTGGACGATTCCTAACGCTCCGGAGCTTGAAGACTCCAGATGACAGCAAAAAGGCACTGTCAGAGGCAAACACCGCAGCTACTACAGAGGGAACGTCATCAGCAACAAATCCAGGCACCAGAGAGCGTCCAAGTAAGCGTCGTAGGACCACAGCAGGCCAAAACAAGAAGTTGATCAAGAAGACTTTTGACATCAACCCCGATCAAATGAACAAGAATCCCCCAAAGTCGGCAAGGAAAAACGCACCATTTGAGAATATGGTCGCTAATCACTGGAAGAAAGCTCACCCTATCTATTTGGTGTTCCGGGTGCGCCCCCGTAAGCATCACCCTGTCACCCCATTTAACTAAACCTCCAAGCGGAAGTCACATTCACGCATCCAACCTGATCGCAGGTAGCGGGAGCCATCCGGTTTAGCCTTATACTGGACGAGAAATACATTTAGGCTTTCGTCATTACAACTATGTCATTGTTTCCAATTATAATTATAGTCGTCCTCTCCCCTGCCATCGAGGAATGGGTCTCACAGAGGATTATCAAATTTTCTTCCCAAGTCATTTGACAAGTTCGCTCGAATCGACAGTCTCCCGGCCTTGTGTTAAGTACTAGTAAGTATACTACAGATCATGGAGGACACCCTCTACCTTCTTTGGTTCACCACTTAGATCATCCACTGCGGTACTGCGAAGATCTTTGGCTGTCAAGACCATCGTCACAATCCCCCAGGTGATTCTTTCAGCACTGTAAGTAGATCTTCCATTCTCTCTTCCAAAAATGCAATCTTCTCTGCTGCGATTAACGCGTCTCTGTGCGCTGCATCTTGCATTTCAAGCAGTGCTGCCTCTTTCTCTACTAGCAGCGCTTGCGTGCGTGCCAACATTTGTGTTGCTATTTTCTCTATATACATTACTTATAACTAGTGAATATAATAATTCATAACACGCACTAGCTTCTTGTTCTCTCGCGACCAATGCTTTCCTTTTCGCTTTCTTCTCTTTTCGTATTTTCTTGTGAATATCGGACCTCGAAGACCCTTTGAAATGATCGTATCAGCAGCCGACGGAATCAAATATGCCTATATGACGTACCAGTTTCCTGTTGTTCTACAACAAAAAGAGCATCTCGGTATGCTCTCTGCTTATTCCGTTTTGTTGTGCCCATCTGGTACTTAGCAAACACTATCGAGGACGTTAGATAGAATGAAATGTGCAGGTGGGACATACAGATAGCCCTCTGTTCTGCCAGACACAATTTACGTTGCCTTTCTCTCCTCTCCTGTCGTTTTCTCCTACGAATCTGAGACTTAGAAAGCTTGACAGGTTCCTGGGAAGTGTCTCGCATTGCAATGTGTTCTGAAGTGTCGAGAAGTACATTGCATGATGTATCTGAAAAAGATGAATTTCGTTCCAAGGATGACAAAGAAATGGAGCATACCTGCTTGTTCCATGGTATTAGATCGACCAGGTGGAATCTTTGCAGTCCCGGGGATGACTAGTCTGATGTCTACATAGTCAAAAGTTGACACTAATATTCCAAGAATGGTAAGTCGGTCACCATTTGTCCATGTTTGGACTTCTACCACTTATGTGACTTTGATTCAAAATCATAGTCAGACCAAAGCACCGCGCCGACTTGCTCCCTGAGTGTAAACAATGTCATATATGCATAATATTATACATTTCACTGCCTATCTATTTGGTGCGACGGGCGCACCCCTGTAAACGTCACCCCGTCACCCCGTCCATAAATGGAAGTCCATCACGTAAGTGGCTGTCCGTCACCCTCACTTTTTTTTTCCCATCCGCCATTTTTGCCCTTGGCGCTGTCAGCGTCACCCCTTCTTTTCCCATGAGGTGTCGTAAGTGGCTGTCCGTCACCCTCGCTTCTTTTTCCCATCCGCCATTATGTCCTCTTGGAACTGCCGCAAGCGTCACCCCGTCACCCCGTCACCCTCGCCGTATCCAGTATCTCAGGCGTCACCCTCACTCATTTGGATCTATAGGCGTCACCCCGTCACCCCCGCTGTATCCAGTATCTTAGGCGTCACCCCGTCACCCTCGCCGTATCCAGTATCTCAGGCGTCACCCTCACTCATTTGGATCTATAGGCGTCACCCCGTCACCCCCGCTGTATCCAGTATCTTAGGCGTCACCCCGTCACCCTCGCTGTATCCAGTATCTTACGCGTCACCCTCCCTTATTTGGATCTATAGGCGTCACCCCGTCACCCTCGCTGTGTCCAATATCTTAGGCGTCACCCTCCCTTATTTAGATCCATAGGCGTCAACCTCACTTATCCAGTATCTTCGGCGTTATTTAGAATTTCAGGCATCACCCTGTCCGAGTCGCTTGTGATGGACTTAGTCATATTGTGAATCTCCAGCAGCTTTCTGTGAGCTCCTTCTCAGTCTTTACACTCGTATATTTACGAGTCTTAAAATAAAAACCAGGCTTTCGTGACTCGAGTGACAGCAGGATCACTTAAAAACTTGCCTTCTTCTTGCTATCGGCGCTTTGAAGAAAATGATCAAGGCCGTGACTGCTTCTTTTATGTCTCTTTATCCACGTCATCACCAGCGACTTTGACCCGCGTATATAGATCATAATATACCTTGGAGCGTTCTATTTTACTGCTCTTGTTCATCGCTGTCCTGATGCACATCGGTTTGAAGTCATGCGTCGTATATGATTCATGAAAAGAGATCATTTCATTTTGGTGCATCTATCTCACTGAAGATCGAGTCAGCTCCAGGTGTCATATAATGGATGTATAGAAAGGTCGGGAGCTGGTGAACAAGCTCCTGGACATATTCAATCGTTTTATTTTGGACCATCCTTGATTTCAAAGACCAGATAATGGCTGCAGGTGTCAGCTGCATTGTGTTGCGGACGTTCCATCACATGTCGACATGCTTGTCAGTGATGCTGGCATCCTTCGCAAGCGACGAAAATACATCCAAGGTCATTAAACTCATTTTCTTTATCACCTCTGCGCCACAGATATCAGTTCATGGGAGAACACGTCCGCATGCCTGGAAGCATCTGAGATGCCTGCATGTTCTAGGTCGCCTGTTGATCTATGAAGCCCTTACTGAGACACTAGCATGTGCCGTTCGATCTTTTTCAGCAGGGTCGACGGCTCATGTATATCATTCGTCCATCCCTGTTTGGGCCAAGGACGTGTCCAAGTATGGACTTCCTGGCGATCGATGCAATGAGTCGTACACGAGCTGTGACTACTTATTGAGGTATTCTGGTGAGATATTCGCAACCAGTGTAAAGGATATGGGCTCTGCCCATGCCAAATCTTTAACTGTCTAAAAATAGCTTTACTCCACCATTGCCATTGGGCGCAATGCGCATATCCACGAACGACATTTATTTTCATCCGATGTTCACGGCTGCCATTAGAGTCCCATCCGCCCGGAACATGATTGGACACGGGACCATAATGCAAATGTCACCGATCATTGCGTCTCATTTTTGTACCCTCCATTCATTCCAACATTGAAGAGTTTTTTTTAGGGGGCGCTTCGATCGCATTAACTAGATAAAGACAAGTACGTGTCTTTATGTGGATGAACCTCGAGTGAGAAGACTCATTTCCGGTGACATCAACCTTTATTTTCTATGTATAATGATCTAACCTAACATATCATGAGTGCTCAAACAGAATTGCAATCGCCTTCCTCCGATCACTGTACGTCGAGATCACCATGTCTCGTTTTCGTCTTGATATTTTCGTAAATGCTGTCATTAGTCCATCGTTTTTTTTTACCATGCCACGCCTTCACATTTTTTTTCGTCCCTGCAGGTGCAGGCCCGTATGTTTGAAGTCTTATAAAACCTCGCCAGCGCCATTCATCCGCCATCCAACGATAAAGTATCACATCTATCAATCTATCATCGCATATACTCTGCTTACTGATATAAATGTCGGACAACGACGTCTGTGACCACCCAGGATGCGGCATGGGACCATTCCCGACCTGCGACATCGCGCGAAAGCACCGATACCGCTACCACTCCGTCCCTATACCATTCCTGATTGGTGGGAACGAGTACGTTGTAGGCCAATCCGATGGACATTATTCGTGCCCGCTCCCGGAGTGTAAGTTCATTTCCAAAAAGCGTGAAGCTATTCAGAAGCACATCAACGTCGCACACAACGCATCAGTCAAAATCAAGGTCTTTGATGCTCCTGAGTGTCGTAAGTTTCATTACAGATCGAGCCACCATCAAGTCGCACTGACCTCAATAGTTGTGGCCTCCAAACAGGTTCTCGATCAGGACAGCGGTGTCCGCGATGGGACTGGCAACCTCATATGTCAGTCTTAACACGTCATATTATGCTGTCACATGTTTACCCATTTATCAAGGCCCAGAGGATGTCTGGTCCGACGATTTAGTCCCAGAAGGTCCATCCCGTGAGGATGTCTGCAGCAGAGGTGAACATACATATAATGAAAATTCAAGGTCACCGCTTAACGTAGCGTCCATCTCGCATACGCAGATCCTTCCTTTGATATGGACTCCAGCACTGTCTCATTGTCGCCATCAGTAGACTACTTGATGTCCAACGAGGTTCTAGATTCTCTCGGCGTGTGCTTTCACAGCCATTTGAGGTTCCTTATCTGCTACTCGTGCAAGGTCGCATTGACCTCCGGGATGGTTTCTGGACACAGGAAAAAGCACCATCATGCGTATCAGGTACGTTCATCCCTTGTACGGCCGCACTCTAATTTGACATGGGCATCCCACGTAACTACTAGGTACCTTCATCCACCATGGAGTCATTCCTGGACTATTGTTCGCGGTCAAATGTTCACGAGAAGCCAGAGCATGTCAAGCTACCAACAGCAGGTGGACCACCTGTACAGATGATTGCGTCCCCCGTTGAAGGTTTTTCATGCACTGCATCCGCTGATTGCGTGTATGCCGTGAAGGATTTAGGAACCATTCAGCGCCATAGTAGAGAGAAGCACAGCGTTACCGGCTTACAGGAGATCCAGTATCGGTCTTGTCTGGTCCAACATATCTTTACTGCTGTTGGCAACTCGTATTTCGAGGTTGGGCAAAACGTCATTCCATCTGCGAGACCCAATCTCAAATCCACGCTTAAGGCTACATTCCTACCTGCAGTTGAGCTTTCATTGGTCGTTCCAGCCAATACCGAACGGGAGAGGACTCCCCTGATACGCTTCATGGGTTGGGACAGGTTCGAGGTAGAACTCCGGATGAATCCAGCCCGGAGGCGGGCAGCGGAACAAATCAAAAAAAAGCATAGCGATGATGAATTTGGCGGAATTCTGACCCGTCTCGCTGCTGCAGTGCAAGACCACATGGCTAGGGCATCGACCATCTTGGATGGTCATCCTCATAGGTTGAGCCTGTCTAAAATACTGTTGTATGGTGACGCAATACCGCGAGAAACGTGAGCAGTGCTATCGCACCATAATAATTCCATTATTGACCGTGATGGACGCGTATAGGGACAATCATTGGAGGCCTGTGTCGGATGAAAACGTCGAGTATCCAGGCTTCATTGTTCAATTCATGAGGGCGATCATGCGCGTTCACCTCGGATTCCCATTGGATTTCTCGTTCGAGCTGTCTGCTGCGCAGACCCTGTGTCTCGAGGAACTTGTGACTGTGCTGGGCGACGAGAATGCCTCCCCACGAAAGAGGATGATTTTCTACCATAATTTGGCGTGGTCCCTAGTCGATACCGATCCAGATTTGTGCGTGGGCCAGCGATGGGCAAACCCTATCAAACGAGCCATCTGGCTCAGGGCGTTGCGTGCGGACGGAAACTTCTGTGAAGCGTCCGTCCTCACACCAGATCTTGCAAAGTTTAAATATCTTTGCAACGTCACATCCCTCCTTGAGGCGCTGATGGACAAAGACGAGGATACGGACTCAGTACATTCAGACGACCATGAGTGAGCAAGTCTCCCCATTCATTCGCTTCGATACACTTATCATGCCTTTTTATCTCAAGCCGCGTTGCTCGTGTTCATGATCGGGTGCTACGCCTCGGCCGTCCGACTACGTTCAACATCATCTATGAGATGCAGCAATATGCGTCCTCTTTGGTGTTTAGTCAAACCAGAGAACCCAATGTCTATGTCGATCCAGACGTCAAGTCCATCACGATAGGCGTCCACACCATGCACATGGACAAGCTGAGAGACGGGATACAAAGGCTCCTCCAGGTGTCAAAGTCGCGCTATTCCGCCCTCACCAATGACATTTTCATGTTGAAGATGGTGCCAGAGCAGGTCAAGGACGACCTCACCAACTCTACTCGTGGCTATTCGCTCGTATCGGAGGACCCCTTTTTTAAAAATCGCCACGCCATGTTCTTTTACTTGGTTGATCACTACGACCTGGCAATGGTCGACAACGCAGGACGAATCGCATGGAACATCCCCGGCATCAAGGATCT